GTTAGGTCTGGGAACTCACAATTGGCATACCTCAATCCGAGGGGCGGGATAAACGGTTGTCTTTCAATATCCCTCGGCACGCAATAAGACAGCGCTACAACCAACCAGAGCAACGAACGGCTGTGGCTGAGTGAGTCCCATGCGTTTTCCCACCAGCGGAGCTAGTTGATATATTAAACTTTTGCTGTATCCGCTCGTCAAAACTCCGAACACATCTTCCTTTTTTAAGAATGACTTAAGTTACGTTCTCTTAACTCCAAGTCCTCCAGAGTCGCGGCCAAAGCTGATTCGAAAGACCACTGTTCGCCAGCAGCATCTTCTTTGTTTTCAAGTAATGTTAGATGGGAAATCACCTATGGAAATCACGCGGAACCGTCACATCTCTGCCGTCATTGTTAAGCCCGCCCACCAACTCTATACACAATGTGATTGGCCTGACCAGAGTTTGGTTTTTCCAGCTCGAAAAGCCAACGGAGAGTTGCTAGACCACACTTTGCTGCAAAATAATTTTTGCTGCCGCTAGGGTGCGTCTAGATTTCTAGGCTAGATGTAGCCTACATATCATTCACACTCGACTGTATCGCAAAACCACACAGCTCTCAGTTCTGGAGAGAGGAGGGGGAATAATGACAGTGGCGGGGTTTGTGTGACGTCCACCTGTGAATGCAGACACGACGGCTGGATTACACTGAGATCCAATCACAATGCCTCCGAACCTGGACACGCGCGTTTACACTTGTCTGTTCAATTTGTATGTGGACAACATCCGGATACTAGGTCTCTCAATCTAATGCCAAGTGTAAATGCAGCCTAAGCGACAGAGCTGTCCGTTGAAGTCGCAATTATGACAAAGTAGTATGTCCAAAGCTGTATACTCTTCTGCTACAAACACACTCAAAAGTATGTACTTTTTCTTCACAATAACAGGACATACTTTTGGGGCATAGTATAAGAATGTGAATTTGGATGCTTTCTAGGCATACTAGAAACCTCCAGGCAGGTGTGTTGAGGAAAGTCGGAGCTAAACTTTGTAGGACAGTGGCCCAACAGGACCAGGTTTGGACTTTGGGTTTGGACATCCCTGCCCTATAGGAACAAGGAACAAGTTAAATATGAAATCATTACAAAACACATTTCACATACAAAGGTCCAGGTATTTCCCAGTGTGAACAATCAAACAGTTAAAGATAGATTTAGCATAATCCCTCATAGATAAGAAAATACAACCCTGAGCACATTTGTACAGCATTTATCGGCACGGTTACAGATCCGTGCTCCTAAAAAGGAAGTTGCTGGAGGATTGTGTACTTTCTGCCTCAGACCAAAATGCACAGAATGATCTAAGAGATGTTGTAATAGTGTCACACTCAATTCATGAGGCGGGTTCAAAAATGACTCATTTATATTTTATAACTGGAAAAAAAGAGCTGGCCCTAGAAACGATCTGAGATGAAAAGTTAACATCAACTTCCAAATCAAAAATCAAGCTTTTCAGCAGGAAATGCACACTCTGAGATAATCATGCAGATTAGACGTTACGAAAAATGACTGCATCATCTCTAAAACCACTGACGTCCTCTCAGACAAATGGCAAACGCTCAAGACGTTGAGAGGAAATTGCTGAGGTGTGTTACTGGGAAACGACCCACATATACAGGCCAGCCGACTTCCTCCATGCAACAGTGAGCTTTACTGAAGAACAGACCTGAGCGATTATCTTTACAGTATCAGTGTCCTTGTAAGTCAGCCAAACAAGTGAAAGCCAATCTCTTAGCTGATAACAGTGGCAACACATTTACACGTTGCATGTAAAATGCATGCACGTATTTCTTGTTAAAAAGACCAAAATCATTCAGTAATGTTCAATATCCATGAATCATATCTGTTTATTATTTAAGCATGCTGTTTGTTCGGGGCTCCAGCACATTTCTCAGTCAAAGCAGTTTATTCTCCCATGACCAGATCAAGAACAGCAAGTGGAACCTGCAATGTAACTTCTTAAAAGCTTTCGTTGAGAGCTAAAATCAAGGCTGATTAACAAGACTTTTATATTAGCATGCTCACTTGACTGTCTTGTTGCATGGTAAAGTACGCGGTTGTGTTCTAGTTAAGCTGTGACATACGTGAACTCCCCACCCTCTCAATCTACACCACAAGAGCTAGAACTCGGTAAGCATCTTATCGCCCTATGATACCAAAAATGCTGCACACTTGATTTTGAGATACTTGATGGATAAAAATGCTATCCATAAAAATGCGATCTCATTTATCATACTGGCTAGATATGTAGCTTTAGGCCTATAGGTTTTGCCTATGTCCATGATGCCCAACAAGTTTTAAGATACCTATGATGCTCAAGAATGTAGTTCACTAGTTTTCCCTATGTTATGCCCCCAAAATAAAACTAGTTGAAAGATATTTATGATGCTCAGCACAGCTTTTTAGGCAAAGTCGCCCAAAAGTGCTGTCTAAGTAGGCAGTAATTTATGTTTTATTGTGCTGAAATATGACAACTAGGTAGGCAGGTCACTGGGTTTTTCCCATGTGCATCATTCCAAAAAATACCGTCTAACTTAGCAGCTTGCTGAGTTTTGCATATGCCCATGATGTCCAAAAAATACAGAGGCAGAAATAGGCAGAAAACTGTTTTGATGCTAAAAAATGGCATTTAAGTAGGCAGTTCACTAGTTTTGCCCATGTTATGTGTGTAGGAACACTTGCTGTGAAACACTTATGATGTCCTTTGTTTTGACAAAGACACCCAAAAATGCTGTCTATGTAGGCAGTACATCATGCTGTATAATGCCAAAATGTGCTATCTGGGGTTAGGCACTAGGCAGGTGACACAGGTCATTAGTTGTTCTTTCTCATGTCCATCTTTCTCACACACACACACACACACACACGCACTAAAGTGGCGCCCAAGATTCCCAAAATATTTTCTAAGTAGGCAGCACACTACATTTCAGATGCATAAAATGTCCAAATAAGAAGTCACAGCATGTAACTCATTAGCTCACTATGACACCCACAATGTTGTTTACGTAGGCAGCACATAGGTTTAGCGTCCAAACATGCACCCTAGGTAGACAGCTACTGTATGTTGCCTCTGCACGTGATACCCCAAACAGTAGGCTAGACAGCTCACTGTTTGAGACGTAGCCTACCCGTAGCTGGAAGTTCCAACAGCAAAATAACAAAACATAACTGAAAATAAATATATCCTTCATTTACGATACACATTTAGAATGCGAGAATAACTTTTGTTTTTCGTTTAGTGTTTTTCAAAGTATCTTTTCATATCTATCAAAAAACACACTTGTGAAAGTCATTAGTATAAGAATGAATCATTACATTGTGTCTGTCAGCAACACACATAAACCTGCTCGTTACCTTCCCCTCCGCCACGCGCCACACCGCCGTCATAAATAATAACCGTGAGATGAGAATCAACATGATCCTTCAGCGACCCGCGCGACTGAATGCGAACTGACCATCACTCACGCGCTGCGCGTTCCGGAAATGTTGCAAGACAATCCCCCTGCATGTAACCAGGAAGCTACGCCGTGTGAGTGTGTGTGTGTTAAGTTCATGGTTAAGTTACACACAAACACAAGACCTCTGAGGTCCCCCCATGCTCACGAGCTCCTCGTGAACTCAAAAACCTATTCAAACCTGGAAACGATGAGTTAGGGGGAAAAAAAATATATATATATATATACTACGTATTTGAAGAAGAAATAAACAAAAGCATTTTCAGAACTATGTTTAGGTCACCAAGCTAATTTGTGGAAATTGAGAATTTTCAGTTCAATCACTCAAATGTTATATTGAATTAGGAAAATGCTAAATAAAAACATTGCACTGGCTTCATAATTATACATTTATTTAGTGTACAAATCCATCAGGTGTAGTCTACTGTTTTACTAGACCGGTAAACTAGGTGTGATGGATGGATGGATGTGTTTATGTTTTATTATGCTCAATTATGTCATCTAGGTAAGCAGGTCACTAGGTTTTCCCAATGCCCATCATTCCCAAAAATACCGTCTAGCTTGATGAGTTTTGCATATAGCCTACCAATGATGACCAAAACACAGTCTATAGAGTAAATAAAGACATATTTATTTACTTTATATTAATAAAGCATCAGAACACATTCATTTACAAAACATCCATGCACACTGCCAAAGACAAACATAAAAAAAAAGCAAACCAAAATAAATAAAACTGACACACAAGCAAAAGTAAATGGTTGTGAGGTGAAGCGTCTTCTGAAGGCACTCTATTGCCGTTTTTAAAGTTGTCATTTAAAGGTTGTCAGCCCCGACCTCCTACAGAAGTTAAATCAGACACCTTCTTTCCAGAGGCGAGGTCGGTTTTTTTAAGACATGCATATTAAACACCCACGTTGTAGAACAAAACCATGTTTAGAAACATACAGATGAAGTCTCTTGGTTCTCGACCACTCAAAACAATTCATGCACATCATCGCATTTTAGCTTCATTACACCAGACTTATAGGATATACGTTGTGAAAACTCAAAACACCTCCGTGGGCGTTTTTCTCACCCTGTCTGTACCTCCTGTGCTCACATTCGTCATACAGTGTCTTCAAGAGGAAAGGTACATTAAAAAACAACAACATTTTTGACATTTTTGCTGCAGCAGCAATTCAGATGTGCATTTCGAAAAAACAAAAACAAATGAACAAACGTAAATTAAGCGTAAAGGCCCGTTCACACCAAGACCGATAACTATGAAGATAATATTAGCATCATCTGATGATATCGTTTTGTTCAAAGCGCGTGTTTGTATGTCACTTTAAATGCTCGAGCTCGTTACAGCAGGATGGATTCTGATTGGCTGCCAATGTTTTTATCGTTCATTAGCTGGATAAAATCGTTCTGGAAGTGATTCCAACGATATCGTTTCTCTGCTGTTATCGTTATGGCTGTGGTGTGAACTCTGCTATAGGCTACTGTAATATTTTAGAACTATAACCTTATCGTTATCTTTATAGTTATCTTATCGTCCTTGGTGTGAACGACCTTTAATCATCTTCTTGATGTGCAAAAAGGCCAAACTCGTTACTTTGCGCTTTACATCTGGAACATTCGCGCATTCTGTAATCGACTCTCAGTTCATTCAAGGTAGCCTAACCAATACATTGTCAGCATGCGCGTTTCTCAAGAAGAGAAACCATGATCTTAGCATCATGCCACGATCTACCAGGAATACTACACCTGGCCACTTGTGAGTTTCAGCCTTGTGATTCAACATGGAACCTTGTTGAAGGCTATTCTGAAGTTCATGCAAGAAACCACGTGTTCAAGTTCTCACTTTCCAGTTGCTGGCACAGGAAAACTCAAGCTCAGTTCCTCCTCGGCCTTCTCCTGTGCACTCATTGTTATTCTGACCTCCTGTGAGGGGGGATTTGACTCTTGCTGTGGTGCGCTGATAAGGGGAAGGGCTTCTTCGCAAACTCCTGCCTCTTCCTTTTTATCGCCCGAGTTGGCGCCTAAAATCACTGTTCCAGGAGAGTAGATGTAGATGGACCCTAAAATAGACAAATGATAATGAAGTCAACACAACTTTTAAACTAAAAATCAAAACAGGTCTTATCTATTACCCTCTGCAAAAATGCATCAAACTTATACTGCCCAAACCTTTTTGTAGCCAAAATCATAAATATGTATGTATGTATGCATGTATGGCTTTGAGAAACACACCAGACTGACTGACTGGGAAGAGAGGTGCTGCAACAATATTAAATATGTGAATAAATAAGGTGTTTTTTGAACATTCAAGCAGCAGATCCTAAAAACTAAACCAAGATTTTGTAAAAGGGCATGTTATGGCCTCTGGCTATAGACAGAGAGGAACCAAACTGTTTATCAACTTCAACAGGAGCAGGGAAAAGCTAAAAGGAAATCCTAAACAAACAAAAAAAGTTGTAAAAGAAAAAAGTCCCCACATAACAGGAAGTGAAAATGGAATTTAGAGAATAGTGGAATTGCAGATAAAGTACAAGGAAACATGAGGTGTATCTGCCCTAAAGGTTTAGTGACAGAACACAAGTTAATAACACATTTCCATCACATAACCAGTCTAAAACATTCAAGCTCCAACACGTCGGTTGTAACAAAACAAAAAAGAAATACTATATGGAAATTATTGAAATAGTTTCTGGCTTGTAAGAAGTTCCCCAAAAATGAGTTGTCAACATTTCCTCATCAGACCCTGTATCATCATTTGTGAATCACAAAAAAAAAAGATGATATTTTGCCTATATATGTGTGCGTGTGTGTATATATGTATATATATGTATATGACACACACACACACACACGTATATATATATATATGACACACATACACACACACATATATATAATGTACACACATATCTTATATAAACATAAACGTTTATGTTAGATGTGATTAATCAATTTGACAGCACTAATACAATCACTTAATTTTTATATCAGAAAACAAAAAGAATTAATCGATCTCATTTACATGTACGCATTTAGAAGATGCTTTTGTCCAAAGCGAATTACAAGAGAGCAACAAAGCAATTTGTCAAGGAGCCAACAAATAAATTTCAGGTTTGTAGAGAAGATGTTTTGTTTTTTGCAGTGTCCACATGACACATGCAGATCTGAGTGAGCAAGAGACTGAACACTTTTGGGGCTTCTTGCTATGATCTACTTTTTTGTTGAATCACGACAGCATTTTTATTCCTTTAAATCATTTGCAAAGATCCTGTACAATAAGTTCCAATGCAATGCATTAAAGTTCAGAAATGGCTCTAAGCTCAAGGAAGGCTTCCAGGACTCACCTACAGTGTTGCTGACGTTCTCACCCTTCCCATTGTGCTTCACTGTGACCTGCTGCACACCACTAGATTGGGGTGCCATCCCCATACTCTGACCTTTGACCTGTCTGACATCACTGCCAAGCGGTCTCTCAGTCTCAATGCTGTGATCCGTTGAGGTGTTGGATTGGGAATTGGACAAAATTTGGTGGTCACCTGCTTTCTGTCTCCAGTGCTGCTGACCTTCCTACAGTGACCATAAAACAAAATTAAAGGGGAATTTTCACTTTAAAGAGGACCTTTTATGACTTTTTTTTACATTTTCAAATTTCTTTAGTGTGTAATGTTGCAGTTTGAGGTCTGCAAAGTTACAAAGCACAAAGTTATTCTCTATATCAGTGTCAGTGTTTCTGAACTCCCTGAAACGCTCCATTGTAGTCTTGAGTTTTCTTCCGGGAACGAACACGTCACAATATTCCTCATTTTAATAATTCCTGCCCAAGGCATATGCAGAATAAAGGGGCGGGGAATGGTTGAGTTAGTTAGTAGTGTGTTGAAACTCACATGCTGAATTCATAACCGCATACTAGCATACTACTCTTGCTATTTCTGACATGGAAAGATAAGGTAAAAGTAGTACTACCGGTAGTTTAATTCAGCAACGGTTATGGCAAGGGGCGGGACATTTCCCAAACACGCTCAAAGCGCTTGACCAATCACAACACACTGGTCCAGCCGACCAATCAGAGCACATTGTGCTTTTCAGAAGGAGGGGCTTCATAGAGACAGGAACTAAACGGAGTGTTAATGAGAAGAGCTACAACACTAACATCAAATATGGGAAAAAATAATGTGTTTTTTGAACATTCAAGCATAAACCTGTTCTAGTAGAGCCCAAAAACAAGACTTTGTAAAAGTGCATAGTAGGTCCTCTTTAACACTTTCAAAATCAAGTTAATTGCATTTATTGTGAAAAAGTACTTACATGTTCTCCATGTATTAAACCTAAAATGAAAAAAAAAAGAAATAAGTAAATACGCTGTGCGTGTCAGAGAGTGAGAGCAGCTCGTGTAGGTGCACGAGGACAGTGTGAAATGTATGTTTCGTGCATATAGGCGTTCTGTGGTTTCTCAGGTTGCCACGGATGTGTTGAATGCATGTCATTCTGAAACACTCTGAATATATATGTTGAGTGTGATCTTATGGGAATTAAAGCACGTGAGACACAGTGCAATTGGCTTTACTAAGAAGTGATCTGGGTGGATTCCAGGCCTCTTATAGCCGCTACACTGCACTTTAGACATGACAATGCTGTGCTTCAAAAGGGTTTAGATTTCTTGGGTTTAGATTTCATTATTTGAAAATTCCAAAAACAATTACTGATGACAAACACAGTATCATTGCAGGGTTGTGTTATTTGTATTGATTTGTAGCCTGTTGCTTGCTTAAGTATTTATAAGATCCAATGCATTATAGTCTTTATATCATACCGAAGCATTTCGAAAGGGTTTTCAGGGCCTTGCCTTTCATCAGCATACAAAATCCAGTCATGAACAAGAGCATCAACAGTAAGATTAACAGCAGGATCCAACTGGACTGGCTTTCTTCTAGGTCGGTGTCTCTTTGTAGTCGATTGCCCTCTGGTGATGACAAAGAGTAACACAATGTCATTTCACTCAACAATGCTATGTTTTATATTCAACAATACCATTGATTTGATTGCACTAACACTATTGGATGAGATTATTCTTTATTCTTATATTCTTTTTTTCGCAGAACAGCTTTATAGATTAAATTAACTAATTTAATAACTGATGATCTTTAAAACGGAACTGAATCAACACTGAACTGACTTCAGCTAGATGATTTTAGAGCTGCTATACAGCCGAAATCAACAGTTTGCATTGAGTTATTTTCCTGTTATCACTATAAAGCTGCTTTGAAACATCTGTATTGTATTAAGCGCTATATAAATTAAGGTGGCTTGACTTGACTATTAGTTTAATAGTTATTCTAACAAAATGTAATTACTTTTTATCCTTAAAATGACAAAAAACAAGTCTAGGTCCCATTTCACCCTAAACTGAAGAAACGAAATTATAATTTTTTTAATTAAGGCTTTTTATTTATTTTAATCACAGTTAAGCACACTTTCCCCACAAATTGTCATTACAATAACTTTTTATTTTTGAGTCCATGATTATTATGGTGATTCTCATTACTGTGATACAATGATTTTATTTATTATTTAAATAGGCACACATTATTAAAAAAAAAACTTTAATTTGAAGAGGTTTTTTTTTTTTTGCATTAGGGTAATACATTCATACATTTCATGAAAATAATGCTACAAAAACTAAAAGGTCCTAAAGTAGGCTTCATTTTCTTTATGCAAAATTGATGCTTTTGAAATTTTAGGTAATATGACTATGCTATATTATTTACAGGTTTAATTAATTAAATAGCTTGTCTCCGCCACACACAAAAAAAAATATATATATCTCACAATTATAAACTTTTTTCCTAAGAATTGCAAGTTTATATCTCGCAATTCTGACTTCCACAGGTTGAAAAAAAATTCACTTTAAGATTTAAATATTTTTTACATTACATTCCAAAAAGACATCACTGTATATACAATCAACACATCCCAACAGTACCTGTCCTCGGCGTGGGCGTTGTATTGGAAGAGATGGTAGTAATGATAATGGGAGAGGTAGATGATGCTGCCATCTTTGTTGTGGCATTCATGCCCTCTCTGTCCTGTGTTGCTGTGCCCTCTGTGCCCTCTGTGCCCAAGCTACTGAGGGTTACTATTTTTTTCACTGTAAGATTAAATATTTTAAACATTCCATTCCATAAAGATATGATTGTATATATACAACACATCCCAACAGTACCTGTCCTCGGCATGGGAGTCGTATCGGACGAGATGGTAGTACTGATAATGGAGGCGGTAGATGATGCTGCCATCTTTGTTGTGGCATACACACACTCTCTGTCCCGTGTCGCTGTGCCCTCTTTGAGCGTTATCATTCCCAACTGAGCACAACTGTGGAAAAGGGCACCGAGAGAATGCATGAGACAAGAGCAGCTCAGCCTTATCATGTTGATATAATATTGTGTGTTTGTAAGACAGCACTGGTTTAACATTCCTCAGATATCTAGCAGATAATATGCAAATAACTCAATATTATGTTTACTTTTGTTAACCTCAACCTTCCCAGAAAGCATGTTCAGAATTCTAAATGTAACCATCAGAGCTTATATCACTGTAATTTGCATATTGAATTGTGATTGGTCTTATCGTCCTTGCATATATTTAACCATTCACAGCTGTCTGTACACATCACATGGACTGTGTGTTGATTCTCATACACAGATGTGTGATGAGAATGGTAAAAAGTCTCTGATGTGGTACTTTACGGTTACAATAAACCATATACTGTAGTATAACAGACCGAATGCTGAAGTTGCGTTGTACAAATAAGTGGCAAGCAGAAGCCAAGATATAAAATGTGTGAGAGATCGAGAAAGTGAGTGTGAAAAAAAACAGAGATAGAGATAGATAGAAAAATGAAAGAGAGTGAAACTAGCGGATCTTTATCTTACTGTTATAATGAATTTATGCTGTTTACATTCTCTTTCAATTTTTAATGCTGAATTGTTATATGAAGGACTAGCTGCTTATTGCCAATAAAACATAATTAATTGTGTAAATCACACATTTACACAAAGCATCCCTATTAAAAAGTTTGAGTATTTCAGTCCCTTAAATTATGGTGGCTAGTTTAATGAAGGTCAAAACAAGATATTCTGGCCTCTGTTTGGATTGACTACAAGTCTGAGGGACTTGCATGCATTAATGATAATTTCTAAATATTTTTTAAAGGTATTGTGGCAAACTAAAAAAAAAAACAGTATCAGACCCATGGTGGGCCATGAATGTTCTAATATGCATGAATGTAACTCACTCTTTATGAGGCTTGCAGGCTGGGTCCAGAGAGGGTTTGCTGGAGAATGTGCCCGTCTCACAGGGAACACATGGTTTATGGCAGTATGTGACATAATTGTTGCCTTCCTTACAGTAAAAACCTGGTTTGCAGGAGCACTCCCGATTGCTTTCCTGAGTGCATGGAGTAACTTCCACCTGATTTTTATCCTCTGTTTCCACCCAAAATATTCAAGGACATACAGAGCCATCAATGACAATAATTGTACTAAAACATTCAAACATCTTATAGATTTGATTTGATTAAATTAGTATGAAAAACTTTCAATTTGAAGTGTACTTTTCACATTACACATGATCCAGATTAGGGACAATTCACACAGAAAGTGCTTTTGCATTCTACTGAGCTGCTTTTCTGTTGTTTTTCTATGTAAACATGCATCATAGACGGACGCCTTTGGTCGCTGAGCTCGTGCCCGACACACAGCGATCTAAAAACGTGGTGCTCAAGTTAGAACAAGTTCAACTTTTGTTGCTTACACATGAATAATCAACGCGCGTAAACAACACATAATTGGCGAGAACACAACGCGTGAAACGTGAGACGCCAGCAGTGAAATGGATAAAAGCGCTAGGTCTCGAGATGTGTTACTTATTTTAACTTAAGCCCGGCATTATTAGAACGCTTGTTACATGCAAAAGACGTCCGTCTAGGAAAACCCGTTCTGTGTGAATGGACACTAAGGTTAAAGTCAACATGAAATTTACTCTGTTTACTTTCTTATTTCACATTCCCAGTCTTGTGCACGATTCGTCAATTTTTACAACAAGTGTTAATAGAACACTTTCCTTTAGGAAAGGGTTAGGAAACAAGAAAAAAATGGGGTGTGACTTGATTTTATCCAGTGGAAATTAAAGTGATAGTTCACCCAAAAAATTACTCAACCAAATGTTGTTCAACCCCGTAAGACTTTCGTTCATCTTCTGAACACAAATGAAGATATTTTTGATGAAATCTGAGAGCTGGATCACTCCTCCATAGGCTTCCAAGGGATTGAAACTTGCCGGTAGTGATGTATGTCTCGAGACCACTTCTACGTGGTCTCGGTCTTGTCACGGCCTTGACGGTCTTTGGTCTTGGTCTTGTCTTGGTCTCGGACCTCTCGGTCTTGTCTAGGTCTCGTTGTCTCAGACCGACATAGTTTTCGGGGGATTTAGCAATATCAATATCCACGACGATATATCCGCAACGGATTGAAGCGCGCGTCCGAGTGAAGACAGTGCGGTGCGCGAGCCGTATCCGCGCCACTGATCGCAGCGGCAACGAGCACTTTGATCACTTGATTTAAAAAACACATATCATGTACAGTTTTTGATGTATTAATATTTAGTAAAACACATATCAGTGACATGATGGGTTTTAACTTCATTCAGGAGATTTTGGGTAACTGCACAACTGACAGATGACTTTGAGCGCACCGCCAACGGTGTGTGTGTGTGTGTGTGTGTGTGTGTGTGTGTGTGTGTAACCATAGCGACAAAACAACCAACTTTCGGATCCTGGACTTTAGCTTATAATTTCGTTTTTAAAAATATAATTATGTATTTAAAAGTTGCAGAATGGATTCATTTGGAGACTTCGAAATCGGCAGAGATAGGCAGGCAATGCAAAACAAAATCTTACAAGTAATTGCTTAGCTTCAACAACACTAGTCTGTTTTTTTTCCCCCTCCGGTCTCGGTCTTGGTCTCGACTTGGTCTCGGTCTTGGTCTCGACTTGGTCTGTCTTGGTCTTGGTCTTGGTCTTGTCTTGGTCTCGATACACTCTGGTCTTGGTAGTGTCTTGGTCTCGGTTTAGGCGGTCTTGACTACAAGTCTACTGGCCGGCCCAGAAAAGTTATTAAAGACATTGTTAAAGTAGTCCGAGTGACTACAGTGGCTCAACCTTAAGTTTATCAAGCGACGAGAATACTTTTTGTGTGCAAAAAACAAACAAAAATAACGACTTTATTCAACTATTCATTTCCTTCTCTGTTGGCCTCGAGTGATTTCACGTAGTGTAACAGCGCAGCGCTTCTGTGTTGTACGTCACAAGCATCACACACATGACCAGCGTCGGCCAATAGTGAGCCTGCGTGTGACGTACAACACAGAAGCGCTGCGCTGTTACACTACGTGAACTAACTCGAGTATTAAAATTTTAATAACTTTTCTGGGCCGGCCAGTTTCAATCCCTTAGAAGCCTATGGAGGAGTGATCCAGCTCTCATATTTAATCAAAAATATCTTCATTTGTGTTCAGAAGATGAACGAAAGTCTTACGGGGTTGAACAACATGAGGGAGAGTAATTACTGACAGAATTTTCTTTTTTGGGTGAACTAACCCTTTAACTGATGGCGAAACTATTCCCCTCCCGAAAACTTCCTTAACATCCTTAGTGACATCATCCGAAGTAAAATGAGGCAGAGGGAATTATTACACATTGCTGAAAGATAATTACATAGAAAAAAAAAGAAAACTTTTTTCTATGTAATGATGAGCACTGATGAGTCACACAGTAAGACCAGGAATGTGTGTAGGAAGCAAGTAAATAAAGGATGACATTAATCCAGAGTTTTGTTTACCCTTTCAAAGCATACTTGCATTTAAGTGCTGGGAAATTTTATGCAATCACTAACCAGAACACATTTGTGTGCAGTATTCACATGTCAGGATTCCCTGTCTGGATTTCCGGTAACAATTACTGTTACACTCACAGTCGGGTTTGTTATAACCTACATGAGAAACAGAACACAGAGATCAAAAGTAATCTCCATGTGATATCGCTCTGCTGGATGTGCAGGAGTAAAAGCATTTATGCAGCATGATTACAAGAGTTTTGAATTGACTGGTAGCAGGTTTCAAAGCACACACTCATACACAAATTACAGATACAGACATTCTGAAACTTGAGGGAAAAGCATTCAGTTAAAGGCTGAGTAAACTCCCTATAGTCAATTCGCACAAGTCAAGGCTTTATGGTGACAGAGAGTGCAAGCTTTTGGTCAATCTAAAAACACGACAGATGATCTGCTGATGTTTTCTAATGCCAGTTAGAGATGGATTGATTGTTTTAAACCACCCATCTGTTACATTTACATGTTGACTGGCAGCATGACACTAGATTTTTCAATTTCACAAGGAAACACGTGTTGCAAAACCTTATGACTGTTCTGGATGGTTTCAATGCGATTTCTAACTAAGGTGTTCGGAATATTTGATAGGTGTTTTTTTTACTGCCCAAGACGAAAGAGTCCATCTTCAAGAGTTAGTTTTTTGATAACTCTGGTACATACAGTAGGAGTTTTTGTCAATTTCGGCAGGCAAAAAAAGTGTGGCCGCTTAAAGTAAGAGCTCTCTTCTCCTCAATCATTTCTATCATTTGTTGCTTGTGATGCTTGCCTCAAAATATACCACTAATAGCATGAATCGTATGCAATACAAAATTAGATGGAGCTAAATGGAATGGATGAGCACGTAACCACTGTTTTTACTATAAAAGGACATTAGGTCATGCTTGCGCTAAGGATGTTTAATGTCTGTGTCATTTTCTTCAGACATTACACATAAAAGGTAATGGCTACAGAGGGTTGTGGTACTTATTTTGAGGTTAGTTTTTTTTTCATTGCACAATTGGAAAAAGGTTATTCAGATTATTATACTTTTAAGAACTGTTTTCTGAAAGGTTCTTTTGGGGAACCCAAAATGGTTCTTCCATTGCATTGAGAAACCTCTATTTTTAAGAGTGTATAGCTGTTTTAAGACTCTAACTTGGTCAATCCTGATAAAAACATAAGATATATCTGTTTAAATGCCATTTACGTCAGTCTCAGCGTTCAAAAGAAGGGCACTTTTGTTTCCTACACTCTTTATCATGGCTATTTTTCCATCAGTTGTTTCAAGATAATAATCTAAAGACATCTCAAGAGTGAGAAATGGACTGAGATCAGTCATAATGGTATAGTTACACAGAAGAATACTATAGGCCGACTGTAATTCAGAAATTTGATCTAATTCACCTCAGGGCAATATGTTGAGACATGAAAGATGCTAAAGATGAAGTGGTATAAACTTACCATTGGCACATTTAGTTGGACAGCTGGCGTGTATACATGGAAAAAGCTGTTAAAGAAAAACAAATAAAACTGATTTGTACATGAATACTATGAATGCTAATCATAAATATTGTCTACTTATATCAGGTTAAATCGTCTACTTTCTGCATTTTTCTTTGGCGTTTAATGTTTTTCTGTATTCTGTTGATCATTAAACCAGATGTAGTAAACTATAGGCTTACAACAGTGTTTAAACTTGAGTGTAAATGCGCAGTCGTACCCAAGGTGATGACATGCAAACAAGCCTCTATGATCGATTCAGGCAACAAAAAAAAAGGTTTGGTTACGCATGTGCCCTCCAGATATAGTGAATGATAACAAGCTTGACTTAACCTAGATGTCTATTTGAAAGGAAGTAAAGGTTAAAATAACACCTTCAAAACATTTGTTGCAACCAACGGAAGTTTTTTTTCTTTAGACTAGGTTTAAGATTGAACTCTTAGGAGTGTGTGACATTAAATAGAGGTTTCAGCGAAAAGTGCATGACCTTAGCATTATTAAATTTACTAGGAAGGGTGTGCAGTGTGCAGAGTCATTTGATGACAAGAAATGATTGTTTTGTAGGTTTGCCAACCTGCTTGACAGCCTTTATTACTTTAATTACAGATGCTTTTAAGTGTTTTAAAGTTCAAATCTATCATCAGATGTAAGCAAATGAGCTGACAAGTGACTGACATCTTGATTTAATGAATTTATAAACAACAGTTCTGTGCCGCCCTATCGCTGAGTGAAAACAGGTACAGTCCAAAGGGAAATTCTAGGAATAATGCCACTAGTTCTAGGGAAAATGCCATTGAAGGACAATCGATGGGATTGTGGATCTGGATGTTTACATGGCACTCAGAGGACTGACAAATTCACATATGCGTGTAATCGTTTTCTGTCAAACTGCCTGAGAAAGGGGTCAGATAAGAGATAGGTCAAATGGAAATTTCTCAACCCAGGAAACACCCACTGAAAAATTATTATCAGGTTTGCTATATGACCTGGTCACTACAGAAAACCACACAAAATGTACAAGGAAACAAGTAATGAAAAGCAAGCCAAGAGACACAGTTTCATTCATGCTGTGAGTGGGTGGGTTGGTTTTGCATAGGGGATCCCTGGGTATCAAACCAACCAAACTAAAAGTCCATTATATCCAGGGTTCACCTTACTGATTTCTTTTAAAAGATCCTCTTATAGGTTATTTTATCTTGGTTATATTGTGGTAGAACTATTACAACTCAAAGCTCTCCATCTGTACCTGAGGGCAGAAATGACTAGGTACAGACGAAGATTACCAGTAATTGAAATGGTTTGTTGTCCTCTTACTAAAATGACTGGAAAATTCTTTTGTGACTCAATTTTGAAGTGCACTTGCTTGTTTAAAGCCTCCCTAAGGGTCAGTGTGCTGGGACTGAGAAACAGCGTTTTGCATTCAGTGCCTCTTGGTTGAAACTCTTTCAATATATCTTAGCCTAGTGTGAATATTCAATAGAAATCAACTGATATAGGCTGCATGCAAACTTTTAACTAATTATTAAATGTCATTAAAGACACAATTGTCTGTGTCTCAAAACCTAGTGCCTTTCCAGACGCATTTATTTGGACTTTAAACATCCCTCATCTTCACAGGAACCATTTCGACTGTATATGGTTGTTTTAAAGTTATAAATGTTTTTCCATTTGTTTTCTGAAGTTAACTAGAGAATTAAAAACACTGTGGAAATTGAATAACAACTTATGTGGCATCAAATTGTAACACTGTAAAATTTTGGCGCTAATTGGAACCTTTATTTTGAAGCTCACTAGAGTTATGATTTATTCTAAACCGACAATAATAAAAGTCTCATTGGGGAGGGGGGAAACACCCGTAATAAAGTAATAATATTATTGAAAAACGTCTAGTCGAAAGTAGAAAGAAAAGCCAAACTCACCAGATAAAACAGCAGAATAAAAGTGCTTCTTGCTGAGGTAGATTGTGTCATGATCACCAGCAGATGCAGATTCTGAGCGCTGCAGTAAGAGTAAATGTCATTCAGTCTAATGCCTTTATATTTTGAGCGTGGGGAGCATCAGACCAATCACAGTGAGGAGGAGGAACTGTTGTATTCATAGATAGTCGGCATATACACATTAGTATTATGTACAAGCTTTTTATTGTGTGTATACCTTACACATTCATTAAGATTAATTAAATAACGGTTGAACTTTATTTGACAGTCCTGTTCCCCATAAACATTCTGTGTACTTCTAGGTTCAACTAACCCTGAACCTACTCCCAAACCTAACCTTAAGTAGTTCCCTTTTATTTTCCCCAGTAATTTCTTAGGTAAGTACACATTAGTGCATGTACTGTAAAATAAAGTGCAACCTCAATAATCGTATAGTAATGTGTTTAAGCATCAATTGTATTAAAATACATGCAGTCAAATTCTGCATGCATTAGCAACATTTAGTAAATAATGTAAGTAATAAATATTGTAATGTGCAGTTAAGCTTTGCCAAATGTGTAGTTTATTCAACGAATTAATGTAACTTAGTAATGTGCATAATTTACCAAAACACATGAGTATTTACAATCTGTGCATAGTCTACAAGATCACATTAAGCACTTACATTAAAGTTATACTGTTCAGTGAACATTAAAAGACTCACCAGATGATGCTACAGATGAAAACAGAAATTACTGTTACACTTGATGTTCCATTTAATTTCTTTATTTGAAATTTAGAACAAAACAAGCGACCATCACCAAGGGTAGAAGTGATTCACACAAATGATTCATGGTTTTTCATTATTACACATACAAAAAAAACAACTTGTTCACAAGCACTCGTATCAGTGAATCCAGGAAATCCACTGGACGCAAACACATTCATGCGTTGCTCCTTTTTGAATGCAACTCTGCAGAGACGTCAGTAAAGTGCGTAAGAACGGCTGTGGGGTTCTGGCCTCTTTGGGTCTAAATGCTGAAAAGTATATCGTGGCAAACGAGACACGTTTTGAAGCTGGTCAGAATGCTGGTGTCTTGATGGATTGGGCAGGGATGAATCCTAAAAAATATGATTAAAAGTGAAAAGTACAAAAAGTGAAGTGACCAAAAATATTGAGCTGACACAAATCATCAAAGATAAACAGTTACGAAGCCATGTTATTCTAGTTAATCTAGAAATACCTTGCTTGTAGTTTCTTGTACACTAACATGTATATGCAGATGTGATATTAAAAGATTCAAAGGAACAAACATTACAGATTTGACACACAAAATTCCCAATGATTTTAGTCATTTAAAAACATTTTAGTCATTGGCCATTCAAAAGAAAACAGTCAGATTTCTAAATAAGGTGAGATGTTTTTTTTCTTTCTTTCAGGATTTCCCAGGAAACTACATTAGGTTTTATCTCTGTTTACTGACTGTAAAGTAAACTTGATATAGATTATCTTATTTGCATGATGCCTGGATTCACCCTGACACATGATGAATATAAAACGGTTGTAGCCATTAAACCAGTTGCATTATGAAACAGACATTAACAGTAAGATAAAATACATATTATCAACACTACTGTTTTCATTTAAAGTGATATTGAAATGCCATATTAATAATTAACAAATTGACAACTATAAATATGTAGTATCTGCAATGGTCGCTTAACACCTGGACTGTGCTCCCTATAATGTCTCACCAGTTTATTGTCAAGCCAGGATGAGGATGAGCCTCTCGAGGCCGCATGTTTTGCCATTGAGCCCCGCAGATCCAGACTGCTCATCTGAGAGCCAGAGTTCAGGGTGGGATTGGACCACCCGGACAAACAGTGCTGTAAAATTCATATGTGCATGAGAATAAATAGTTAGCAGATGTTCATAAGCATCATAATGATGTAGTCATTGTGATACAAAAATGATCAAACACTGAAAAATGTGAATTATCCATTAATAAAGCTGACAGGCACATTATTAGGCAATGGCGATGATCTCAAAAGCCAAATATCAACCATATAATAGCTTTGGTTGGTATACACGGTACCTGTAAAAACGTTTTGAAACATAATTTTTTTTAAATGTTTTTGAAAGAAGTCTTTTACGCTCACCAAGGCTGCACTTATTTAAACAAAAACACAGTAAAAACAGTAATATTGCAAAATATTACTATTAATTAAGAGAACTGTTTTCTATTTTAATAGATTTAAAAATGTAATTTATTCCTGTGATCAAAGCTGAATTTTCAGCATCATTACTCCAGTCTTCAGGCACATGATCCTTCAGGAATCATTCTAATATGATGATTTTAAGTTTTTACTGCTTCACATTTTTGTGGAAACAATGATACTATTTAAACATTTGTGGTAAGATTTAAAAAACATAAAATTATACTTTTTATTCATTTAAATTAATTTAATTGATCAAAAGTGACAGTGAAGACATCTATGAGAAATTAATGTTACAAAAGATTTCCATTTAAGAAATGCTTATGGTAAATACATTTAATAAATGCTATTCATTGAACTTTCTATTCATCAAAGAATCCTGAAAAAAGTATGACAATTTCCACAAACATGTGCACATTGATAATAATCAGAAATGTTTCTTGAGCATTTTCTTTGAAACGTTTTCAAACTTTTGACAGGTACCGTATATATATATATATATATATATATATATATATATATATATATATATATATATATATATGTTTATCAGTTAATGCTGATTTCCCAAAATGAAACTCACCGAGGGCAAACTCAGACTGTCAGAGGAATCAAAACTGCAGCGGCGATGGGCTTTGTATTGGTGAGCTGACAGCAGAGTTGAGCGAGGAATACTGACCCTGAAATAAACGCAGAGACAGTCAGACACTGACGCTCAAACAGTCACTCATTCACAGAGTAATATGAATCAAGTCTTGGAAACGGCAATTTTATGAGCTATAATGTCTACAGACCCAACTGCACATTAATTTCTGTCTACAATTGTTTTTTTATAGTATAAACATTATTTCCAAACATATTTCTAAAGAAAATGGCATATGCATTTTTCTCTTTCATAATTTTCAGACATCTTAATTTGTCATTGCCCATTTAAAACAATTTAACTAAACCACTATTGACTATTCTAAACTATTTTAGATGTTTGTATGAAACACTACAGTTCAAAGGTTTGAGGGAGGGATTTTTTTATGTTTTTAATAAAAGAAGTCTCTTCTGCTCCCCAAGGCTGCATTTATTTGATCCAAAATACAGTAAAAACTGTAATATTGTGAAATATTATTACCAATTAAAAGACATATTTTCAATTTGAATAACTTTTCAAATGTAATTTTTTCATGTGATCAAAGCTGAATTTTCAGCATCATTACTCCAGTCTTCAGTGTCACATGATCCTTCAGAAATCCTTCTAAACATTTCCTATTATTATCAATATTGATATTGAATTCTTGTGTAACATCATAAATGTCTGTAGTCACTTTTGATCAGTTTAATGCATCCTTGCTGAATTAAGTATTAGCTTAAAAAACATTCTGACCCCAAACTTTTTACCGGCACCGTATGAATAAGTTTAAAAAGAAATCGCATAAACACTTTGCTGTGTTCACCTGATTAAAGCAGGCTCTGTTTCAGTTTGAGGGTGTTCAGATTTGGGCATCTTGCACACCGGACAGGCGGCCTGTGCATCCAGCGGAACCGCAAACAGTCGGCTGTTTATTCTGTAGCAGAACGTGCCTGTGGACCAAAGGCCAAATGAAAATGAAGACTTCAACTTTCTAGTACCTTCATGACGTGCAAAAGCGATGTTATGGAAACACTAATCAGCAGATCTCTTACACTGATGTGTGTCTGCAGGCGCCTGCGGCTCCTCGCCATCAAGTGTGGAAGACACAAGATCAGCAACAGATGGAAGCCTGTGAAAAGAACACCATTTGCATAATCAAAACAACTTTTGACATGGAGGACTTGAGATGTCTCCGAATTATGCAACAAAAGGCCTGTGTGTTATAGTGATTTTACCATGGTTAGGTGGTTTTAAACATCGAACCTTCATTGGATTAGACAATAAATCATTATTTATCAGGGTTTCACTGTCTGACACATTCTACAGTTTTCCAGAGAAAGACCGACCCTGATAACAAGTTGTTGACGCACTCGTCTCGGTTGACCTGACGGAAGCTGCGGAGCTCGCTGAAGAACTGCTCAGAGCGATCGGCAAGAGAGCTCTCAGCGTCCAGGAGGCCTACAAACAAATCAAACCAAACGGTTTCCTTTACTGGTTTTCAAACAGCACCTGCACGGAAAACTGTTGAGTTGAAACTAATTATTTAAATGTTATTCAAATAACTTACCTGCTATCCAATCATAGCCCAGTAAAGGCTGTATGTGTCTCTCTGATACAGTATCCAGTCCAGCAGTCGATGCGCTGTCAGGCTCTCTCTGCAGTCCCAAGCAAAGGAAAGGAAAAATACACAATACACATCTGGTACTCTTGAAATGAAAACACTCTGTAGCAGATGGGGGTTTTTCTTTGTAGGTGCTTTTTTTCACTTCTTTGAAAATCATTATAAACCATCAGATCTCCATTAGATTAAGTAACCTCTTTTTCCTCTCTACTGTGTACTATTCTTTTTGAAATTCTCAATGTTGAAGTACACATACATGGTGACTATCCGCTATGGGAGGTGCAGATTTGGGCAGAATCAGTCTCACAGATCGGCTCTGTCCCATCCAGCGACTGTTGCCTGTGTCCTGCAGTAGTGTGCTGTACGTAGTCACCTCTGAACTTTGCTTGTGTTTGGGTTTATGTTGGTCCGATGTGGGCTCTTCACAATGTTCAGAAAGTTGTTCATCTGAAGATACAAAGACATTTTATCAGCAAAATGTGATACACACATACATACACAGTATATATATATATATATATATATAGAGAGAGAGAGAGAGAGAGAGTATATATTTATTTTTTTATTTATTTTTTTCAGACTCATAAAAGGTCCATAAGAACATACAAGGGAGACAGACAGACAAATAAAAACAAAGGATTACTATAATCCATATAAACAATTTCTCCAGTGCCTCCAAAGCAGCGAGCTGTACCTAGTACTGCTCTGATCAGGCCATATAAAAACAGTTATAATTTCATTTTGCCAGTCAATAAGTCTCATCATAAATGTATAAACAACAGCATTTCTTATTACAGCATTTAGTGTGGTCACATCATTCTGCACAACTGGCTTGCACTGGTCCAGCGAGGTACTTTCAAAAGAATCCTAAGAGCATCGTTATATGCTACTTGTAACTTGTGAAATACAGCTTTTGTGTAGCAACACCACAGGTGAGCAGTGTAGAGTGGTGTCCAGTAGGCTTTAAACAAGGCTATTTTTACATTTTCTGTACACGTTCCAAATTTCCGTGCCAGCATATTTGCCTGTGCATACAATTTACAGTACTGCCTCTGGATGTCATCATTATCAGAAAGGTCACTCCTTATAATGTGACCAAGGTACATCACTTTTTCCACAACAGCCAGATCCCTTCCTGACAAGTGGAACTAGGGCTGCACGATATTGGTAAAAAATCACATTGCGATATTTTATTTTTCTGCGATATATATTGCGATATAAAAACAATTTCACCAGATTACTTAAATAGCTCTATTTGGAAAGAATGAATAATTCTAGAATGACTTGGGTGGTTTTGTCATGGAGTAAATCTGCATAGAAACTAATATTAATAGTATGTTAACTAATGTAGTTAACTAGACTTTAATAAATGGAACCTTATTGTAAAGTGTTTCTGATTTATGTCTCTTGAGTTCAGTGTTGGACAGATCAGTTGTTTTAACCATTCATTAAAGTGAATCGGTTCAAATGAGTCATTAGTTCGCGAATCGGACGTGTCATTAACGGACCACATCGCACAAGATTTGTCAACACAGAAAACATTTCATCACTGGATGAAATCCATCACTGAGTCAACTCAACTCAATTCATTAATATGCGCGAGGGAGGGAGAGCGAGAAAGACAGTTTGAAGACGGTGAGAGTGCGCGCGCGCGACCGGGGCTTTCACTCTCTCTGCTCGCTCTCTCAGTTAAACAAGCGCAGCAGTCAGTCTTTACATCAGTCACCGGTCAAACTTTGGCGGGACAAAAATACGCTTTAGAGGCTGACAGAAAACAGCGCGCAAGTTCCAGTCTTCTTGCGCTTTATGTTTAAACTGACAGGACTTGCAAATTGATAAACTCTCACACTATGATGGTTGAACTTTGCAATTAATCCACGAATCACAAGCGTTAAGGGCCGGAGAGCTGCTGGCACGTTGCCTACTGATCATGAATCACCATCAACTACGATCCATACTTGACATCGTACATATCTGCGATGTGACTATCGTGGATGCGCACATCGCGATATCGATGTTAAAATGATACATCGTGCAGCCCTAAGTGGAACATGGGAAATACAGCATTACGCTGCTCTCCAGTCCTCACAATCATCACAGCAGTCTTTTTCGGATTAAACTTGATGTCATATCGTTCACCATATTCAGTACACACATCAAGCAATTGCTGGAGGCCTGCAGAGCATGGTGACATAATGACCAGGTCATCAGCATAAAGTAAATGGTTTAATAGTCTTTCCCCTATCATGCAGCCGGTCTTACAGTTTTTCAAAGTTCGGGAGAGATCATCCATATATATATATATATATATATATATATATATATATATATATATAAATATATAACTGGTCAGTACTATTATAGTACCAGAAACATTAGCTACTATTTATAATGTTTTTGAAAGATGTCTCTTATGCTCATCAAGGCTGCATTTATTTGATCAAAAAGAGAGAGAAAAAAACCCTGTAATATTGGATATAGGATATATAAATATAAAATATAGGATTTTTTTCTATGATTTCTTTAATTTGTGTATATATATATATACTTTCGCCACAAGCGTAAACCGGTCAAACTCAAACAGTGTACGGAGAACAGTGATTGGCTCCGGACATTTCCCACAATGCATCTGTGTGACCAATGGGCTGATTTAAAGGGACAACAATATCTATCTATCTATCTATCTATCTATCTATCTATCTATCTATCTATCTATCTATCTATCTATCTATCTATCTATCTATCTGTCTGTCTGTCTGTCTGTCTATCTATCGTTTATCTAAGTTTATTTAAGAAATGCACAACAATAAAATGTGTAAAATTAAATGTTATTTTGTAAGAGCCACAGAAAGAAAAACAAAGAAATATAAAAGTCTATACATTCAATTCTATTATTTTATATATATATATATATATAACAGCAATGAAAAGACATACAGGGCCTTTTAAACAAGATTAAAAATAGACAAGAACATGACGTCTATAAAAAGACTAGGTAACGTAAGCAAATATTACTAAATTATTTAAATACACTATTTACAGATAAGTTACCCATGCACACTTTAAACTGAACCCATAAGTTGTAAACAACACCTCACACATCTTAAAAGAGATCATCGATCATCGGGATAAGAAGTTTAATGTTCTGACCGGATATTTTGACGGTTTTCTCTGCTGTTGGTGAAGAAGGTGAAGCTCGCGCCTCACGCGCTCCGTTTCTCTCCGTTAAAGGCGCTCGACGAGGGACAATACCGACGTTAAACGCTTCGTACACAGTGCGGTGACTTTGGTCTTCCCCGTCCGGCCATGAGAGAGTCAGTTTATGGAGTTTTTCGGTTTGTTTCTTCAGTTTCTTCAGTAAATCTTTGTTCTGCTTTCGTAAACCGTCTATCTGCTCGAGCGCGGCCATTCCGTCGCCATAGCAACGAGTCAGAAAAACAGCACGCGAATCAGACGTGGAACAGATTAAGCACACTACATCGGGTACACTACCTCTTTGGAATCTGAATTCTAGTTTATTAAACCATGTTGTGTGGCTGTGAAATATGCTTAAATAAAAATAATAAGAGATTCTAAACTTTCGCCACAAGCGTAAACCGGTCAAACTCAAACAGTGTACGGAGAACAGTGATTGGCTCCGGACATTTCCCACAATGCATCTGTGTGACCAATGGGCTGATTTAAAGGGACAACAATATCTATCTATCTATCTATCTATCTATCTATCTATCTATCTATCTATCTATCTATCTATCTATCTATCTATCTATCTATCTATCTATCTATCTATCTGTCTGTCTGTCTGTCTGTCTATCTATCGTTTATCTAAGTTTATTTAAGAAATGCACAACAATAAAATGTGTAAAATTAAATGTTATTTTGTAAGAGCCACAGAAAGAAAAACAAAGAAATATAAAAGTCTATACATTCAATTCTATTATTTTTATTGAGTTTCTATTATGTATTTCTAAAAACCACAGCCATTCATTTTGGGGGGGAAATGTCAGCATCTGACAGGCTACATGATTTTACGAGATCGATTGAAATAAATCCTCTTTATTACACCACAATCAAAAGAAAATTAGAGGCTTCAAGCCTACATCACTGGCAATACACTCATTTTTGCATTTGTTTAAAATCTCGCATTGATTTATTAGCTACTTCATATTTATTTGTGCCTTCGTTTATTGTTCTTGTGTTTTGATTCTTAAGTGTCAGTGTTGTCCAGACATAATGTCAGTGATCAAAGCACAGCATGTGACAGCTCGTGAGGACAGTAATGATATGGGTGCAGTGCAGACTAGTGTAGGCGCAGTAGCTCTCCATATTCAGAGCACGTATCTAATGTGTCCAGGCAAGTGCAATGTCATTAGACTGACCACTGCACTGTTGTGTTGCATCCCATTAACTTTAAACAGTGCTGGTCGTGGAGCCAGGTCACCTCTAACCGTCCCTATAATTTCTCGCTTCACAGTTTGTGCTGTGGACAATTAATGCATGCTGCTTGAATACTTCATAGCTCATTACTGAGGGATCATTTATCACGGCAACAGGGAGAAAAACAAACATGATGTGCATGGGCAAGATGTAAATAGTGGAATAATTCAAAATAGGTTGCAGTAGCAAACAGAGCATTTCGGCCATAAGAAAACATATCAGTTAAACTAATTGTGAAATGAAGTCTGTTATTTGCATGTGTATGGGAGATATTCCAACAGAGGGCAGTATTTGGCAAATTAGACAACACGTTATGGTGAATGCCTAGATTTCTGTAGGCCTCTATTGTGTATATATGACAGGCTGAAATCTTAACTGGTGTAAAATGCATGCTGTGATGAATTTCAAGGCATAACATTTAAACAGAATAGAAAGATTTAGCATGAAAATGTGAACTTGTGAGAGTGAAAAAGTCGAGTCAACCCGATAAGATCAGCAGGGGCGGTTGCTGTACAGAACAGGTATCCTGATATTGAACAGGCTGTGAATGCACTGATAAAAGAGCACTTTTGGGTCGATTGTTTCTGCAATGTGCCAGATAGATGCTGGATGTTATTAAGATAAGACGGATTAGTCGGGTAGATGAAAAGACTCCAGCCGAGTGCTGATGAATCTAGCAAGAACACACTGGATGACGAGCACATGCAGGGCAACAAGGTCTAACGGTTTGGCATTATCAAAATCACTTCACTGCAGTATAAAACAACAGCAAAGTGGCTGTAATGATGCTAAAGAAAAATCCACAACAGGCATTTTCCGAAGAGGGGTCAACCTCTACACAAGGGAATTCACGCACTTCCTCGCATTGCCTTGGAAACATGGGCAGTAATAACAGGTTAGCGGACGCCTAAAGTACAGCATAATTATTTTGTTGTGCATGTGATTAAAAGTGCTACTGCAAGGCACTTTTGGGAAGTGCAGCTTAGCGGTTCAAGATCCTGGCTAATAATCAGGGTTGAGACCCTGAGACCTTGAGCAAAGCACTTTGTTGTACTAGGAGAATTGGAGTCACTTTGGATCAGAAAGCGTAAAACCCTTCTGAGATACATTTTCCGTGGTCACTTTTAGAAAAAAAGGTTCTATATAGAACCCTATGGTTCTCGACTCAGAACATTTATGCCAAAAAGGTTCTATATAGAACCCTATGGTTCTCGACTCAAAAACCTTTATGCCAAAAAGGTTCTATATAGAACCCTATGGTTCTCGACTCAGAACATTTATGCCAAAAAGGTATATAGAACCCATATGGTTCTCGACTCAGAACATTTATGCCAAAAAGGTATATAGAACCTATATGGTTCTCGACTCAAAACATTTATGCCAAAAAGGTTCTATATAGAACCCTTTGGTTCTCGACTCAGAACATTTATGCCAAAAAGGTTCTATATAGAACCCTATGGTTCTCGACTCAGAACATTTATGCCAAAAAGGTTCTATATAGAACCCTATGGTTCTCGACTCAGAACATTTATGCCAAAAAGGTTCTATATAGAACCCTATGGTTCTCGACTCAGAACATTTATGCCAAAAAGGTTCTATATAGAACCCTATGGTTCTCGACTCAGAACATTCTATATAAGGAACATTCTATATAAGGTTCTAGGAAACACTGAAATGATTGCTTAATACATGTTTAACAGGCTATTTAAAAAAAATTCTAGTGATAAAATATGCCGTATGTTTAATTCATAAAATTTAAATTAATTGAAAGTACATTAATTAAGTAAAAATAATTAATGAATAATTGTATTTTGATTGCATTTTATATAACAGGTGGTTGACGGGGCTGAAAAATAAGATTTTTCATTGAAATAATGTGCACCAATAACAATTTTCACAATCTGACCAAGAGTATGAATTAAGAAAACAAGAAAGGTTCATTTGATTCTTGTTCCTCACAGTATTTTGACCGCTTAGCTTAAAGAGTTTAGCCAATAGGATTAAATTTAAGACCAAGGCTAGTTTAATTCTAGGTTATTCCCGAACTAATTGGCCGAACAAAAAGTTAGGTTGTGATTACAGGGTGTACTTTGACTGATGGCCTCTCGCCGTCTCCTTGTTTTGCAGCTTGTCTGATGAGTTCAATTCGAGCAGTAAATCTCCTGAAGGGAACATAGCAGTCAGTCAGGATTGGAATGAGTGTGTGATGGAGGGCAGGTCGCCACACCATGACCAAGGCTCATGAATCTGCCAAGAGCTGCTTGCACAAAAGATGGACGTCTTCAGCATTCGTGTCGCTCACCTCCAGCAAGCAATTCCTTATCTTAACTCGAGCCATCATAGTAAGGCGCATTGATTTGTTATGTTAATTTGGTCATTTTGTGCATATACAGTATATCACCTAATATGGAAATGCATTTGGTTATGTAAAAAATCTGGCTCATTTGAACATAAATTTGTAGTATAGTACAATACGTCATAATAGGTTTCTTTCAGGTGCAAATAGTTAAAATAACATCATGTGCAAAATTTTCTACATGTATTGATCAATACATAATTGAATGCAGTTACTGAAACAGCCAAAAAAGGTTATACAAATGTATACATACACACACACACACACACACGCGCAAACAAGGTTAAAATAGCATAATGTGCAAAATTACAGGCAAGACGTTTGATATAACATTCATTTAGACAAGTTATGTTTTGTTATGTTTGTTCAAATCACTAACCCTAGTAATAAACCTCATTGCATAACTCGTCCTGCATCATTTGTGCTACATGAATGATATCTCAAATCATGACAAGAGCGGTACGTTTACTTTTCTAAGCAATCAGACTTTGTTTTTCACCTGGCGGATGATAAAATGCATGAAAACTCCTTGAAGTTAAAGTGAAACTTCACCTAAAAACCATCCACAACACCCTAGCAACCACATAGTAATGCCCCGGCAACCACCCATAACATCCTAGATGCTCATGAGTTTTAAAACCACTCACATTTTCTCTGGAAAATGTCAAAATCCAGTTTGATTGTCACCATTTAAACCGCATTTGCCCGAGTGTTGACATTCATATGCTGCTGCACAGCACTGATTTCCTGGAAACAAGATGCATGCTTATTAAACGTACATTTCCAAGAATTTCGTTTAATCTTATGTAGCACAGTAAACTCTTATTAAAATAAAACCTTTCCTGCATATAGGCTTTAATGTGAAGTTCTAGCTGAATCGTGAACCTGCGGCCTCTAATGTGACACGAAGCAAAGATGAATGCTGTTGGTCTCAGATGTCTGCTTGCACTTATTACTGGCTTCATGGCTTGTCATTTGAATGCTCAGGCACCTGCAGGCAGACTGAGGACTCGGCTCTTCTTGGCAAAACGTGTCTAATTGTGTACCAGTGCAGGGAGAACGAATTCAGTCATTAGAGATTTATTTGCCATGCTGTGTAAGACCGGGGATTGAGTTCGCTCAGGTAAATACTTCACTGTCTCAATGATTAGGAACATAGAAAAAACAAGCTTTAAAAGCTTTTTAATTAAGCTCTTAAGGCGGAACTCGTATCTTAAAAGAGCAGCTTAGCTGATATTTGTTAAAAGTCCATTATTTAAATGAGGTTTCTGCTGATGAACTAATATTTATTGCAATGATATTTGGTTTTCTGAGTAATGCTTGTTCTTTTATGAGTCTGGTTGTTAAATAATACAATAATGCATATAAAATCGTTTTTTTTTTTTTTTTGTGACATGTTGATTTGAATTGTTCAAAAATTTATAATTTGATGCTTATTGCTTTTTATTAATATTATGGTTTTTTATTATGTGTTCAGATTTGCACAATTCGGGTGTGTAATTTTCCCACTTTTCACAATCCAAGTCCCTTCCCACATTTTTTGTTGTTGTTTCATTTAGAAATGCATCATATTATCAAATACATCATATTGTGAATGGTAATTCACGTTGATTTTAAAGGAACACTCCGACTTTTTGGGACTTTAGCCTATTCACCTTATCCCCCAGAGTTAGATAAGTCCATACATACCTTTTTCATCTCCGTGCGTGCTATAAGTCTGTTTGACGCACCCACCGCTAGCCTAGCTTAGCACAAAGACTGGATGTAAATGGTTGCAGCTAGCATACTAATCCAAATAAGTGACACAATAGCGCAAACATGTTCCTTTTTACATGTTGTGATTTGTATAGTCACAGAGTGTACAAAAAACAAAGTCACATGAGACACAGACATATTTTAACCGTATAAATACTGGGAACTATATTCTCTGAAGGCGAAGCACTGCTACTTGGGCGGAGTGATAACCGCAGCACCTGAGACGCGCTGTGGTGAGGAGCAGAGAGTTCGGGTACGGTACGTACCGTACCCGAGTTTGGGTACGGTACGTCTCAGGTGCTGCGGTTATCACTCCGCCCAAGTAGCAGTGCTTCGCCTTCAGAGAATATAGTTCCCAGTATTTATACGGTTAAAATATGTCTGTGTCTCATGTGACTTTGTTTTTTGTACACTCTGTGACTATACAAATCACAACATGTAAATAGGAACATGTTTGCGCTATTTTGTCACTTATTTGGATTAGTATGCTAGCTGCAACCATTTACATCCAGTCTTTGTGCTAAGCTAGGCTAGCGGTGGGTGCGTCAAACAGACTTATAGCAAGCACGGAGATGAAAAAGGTATGTATGGACTTATCTAACTCTGGGGGATAAGGTGAATAGGCTAAAGTCCCAAAAAGTCGGAGTGTTCCTTTAAAGGTGAAGTGTGTAAATTCTGCACCATATTTCTGTCCTAAAATGTAAATGATTAGTGCACAGGCAAGCATAATTTTTTAGAGTTTGTTCAGATCAGTTAAGGAATAGTTCACCATTTACTCCCCCTCAAGTTGTTTCAAACCTGTATGGGTTTCTTTCTTCTGCTGAAAACAAAAGAAGATATTTTGAAGAATGTCGGTAACTAGACACTTGATGGACCCCATTGACTTCCATAGTATTTTTTTTTTCCTACTATGGAAGTCAATGGGGTCCATCAACTTTTTGGTTACAAACATTCTTCAAAATATCTTCTTTTGTTTTCAGCAGAAGAAAGAAACCCATACAGATTTGAAACAACTTGAGGGTGAGTAAATGATGACAGAATTTTAATTTTGAAGTGAACTATCCCTTTAAGTAATATGCTTTCTTTAGCAGGCAGCACTAAACTGAATACATTTGAAAATAATATATATATATATATTTTTTTTTTTGCAGAGCTGAGCATAGACACACTCATCTTGTTTCTATATCCATGTAAATCTGAGTAGAGATCACCCTGCAGAAGTTCATCGTCTTTAATGGACGACTGTAATTAGCAGCCATTCACCCATGTTCCCTATTGTGAGCTAAAGGTTGTTCTCGTTCTATTCTGGTCTCTAGCATTTATCCCTCGACTTGTGTTATGATGGGCTAACTGATATGGACAGCTGGGCAGTTCTGCACCAGTGCTGATCATCGCCACCGGTGGCTCTGGCTTTCTCTAATATCAGCTAATTACAGTGGTTAATCAGGCTGGTAATGAGTATGGGCATCATGCCATTTCAATCTGACACCGGTGGGAGTGAAGCTCACTTCCCTGCCAAGCTGATGTCAGTTCCTGCCAGCTCCCCGACTGCGCTGCGGTCTTCAGTCCACCTGGCCTGTGAATAATGAGAGGCCAGCGGACATTAACCTGTGCTGCTCTTCCAGATTTGGACTATACCTCTGTTTAACAGGTGTTGTCGGGTGAAATAAAGACAGTTTTATTCTGCTTCACTGTAATACTATTAATAAACCACATAATTCTAAGTGTTAAACATTGGCTCATCATAACTCATGCAGAGCAACAATACACACACACACACACGTTGTGTTTTCATGTATAATGGCAAGGCAAGTTTATTTATATAGCACATTTTTATACACAATGGTAATTCAAAGTGCTTTACATAGAAGAAATTAAAATAATCAAAACAAATAAGAATAATTAAAATAGTTTAGAATAAAAAATAAAATAAAGTAATACTGGTCCACGCCAATTTGGGTCACAACTTCTTTTATGGGGACTTTTCATAATGATTTTTATGCTGTACAATCTATATCTCCTGTCCACTTACACTAACCCTACCCCTAAACCTATCACACAAAACTTTTTGCATTTTTACATTTTCAAAAAACAACACACAAAAAAACCCCCACTTTGTATGATTTATTAGCTGTTTTCCTCATGAGGACACAGAATTGTCCCCACAAGGACGAGGATTTTGGATATTGCCATCTTTGGACATTATGTCCCCATAGGGTTTAACAGGCCACACATACACACACACACATATATATTACTGATACGGTCTAATTGACCCTCCTCTGAAAGCCCCTCTTGATTTCTCCTAAAAACACCCATCATCAGGCACAAGCGTCTCTCGATCGCCCCTCCTCCTTTACATCCCTCCTTCTCTCTCTCTTCCTCTGCATTTTCCTCACTCACTCATACACTCACACACTCAGTCAGTCAGTCAGTCAGAGGAACATCAGCTTCCCCGACACCCAGCTGTCGGACGCTGCTTCATTTCACCACACACCAGCTCTGGGTGCAAACTCAGAAGGGGTGTTTGTGAAATTGAAAGGCGTCCTAACAGGGCAAACAACGACTCCATCATCAGAGAGGTACGGGCGCTTCACATTCTACAGCATGAGGGTGTTTTGTGTTGGAACTGAAGGGAATAGTTTTTCTGTAGTTTACAGGTGGAGTTATGTGCAGAGATGATGGTTGCGAACAGCTGTTTGTAAAAGGACTTTAATTAATGATTCACTGATTTTGCACATCAATTATTGAGTTATTGTAATGCAGATTCCTTTCTGTGCAGCTTTCTGGTTTTTCTTGACTAGATTGTTTGATCAGAGGCATTGCAGCAGGAGATACAGCTCTAAAGCCATCCTTTACTCTCAGCTCATTCTCCTAATGCACACATGCTGATGAGCTGGACTTACAAGTGCTTCCCATGATAAATGCAAATTGCACGCATGACAGTGTGACATGCTGTACTTCATTTAAAACTCTTTTAAACAATTTATCACTACTAAATGTACAGTTTTTATGATGTCTAATTGCAATTGACAGAAAAGCTAAACTTATATGAGGGCATTTTATTGATATGGGCAGATGTTTAGGACTGTATACACAATGTGTAACACTATATAAATAAATGGTAACACTTTGCGGTTCATTAGTTAATGTATTAACTAACATGAACTAACAATGAGGAATACATTTGTTACAGTAAAAATCCAGCTGTTCATTGTTTGTTCATGTTAGTTCACAGTGCATTAAATAATGTTAACAAATAAAACCTTTTTTGTATAATGTATTAGTAAATGTTGAAATTAATATTAACTAATAAATGCTGTAGTATTGTTCATTCTTAGTTCATGCTAGTTACCTAATGAACCTTATTGTAAAGTGTTACCAAATATATATATTCAAAATACAAATGTGATTCTACTGATTTTTCCCATATAGTAGTTTAATGCAAATAGTCTCTTCAATGATATAGTGCGTACACATACACACTGTCAGGAGACATGTATTTGTGTGTTTTTATCAAAATGGATTATCACAATCAAAAAGCATACATTTCATTTTTGCCTTGTGCAGCGGAGAGCTTTAAAACCAATGTGACTAAGAATGCAATAGGAAAGCAACTAATTTCTATGAGACTGTTTTCTATGATTATTGTTTTGCCTTCAGACATCAAATGAGTCCGGAAATTAAAAATGTTGCAGGAAATTTATCAGCACTTTCCAGCTTCCAAGACAGAAAAAGTGCTGATGCTGACATGAAGCAAAAACTCTTTTCTAAAACCACAGATTGCATGCATGTCAAGTCACCCCGAGGAAGGTTCATATTTACCCTTGTTTTGATCAAGCCATCATTAAAAATTAAACACAACAAAGCCGTTGCTCTTTCTGAGTGCATTATTGTTATTACAATAATATAACCATCAATAGATCAACTACATTAACTTTTATCAGCTACATTAACTGCCTCATGTTTTGCTTGCCTAATGTCTTTAAGTCAATTTACTTTCTTAATATGCATTCTTGGTCCTATTATTAACGATTCACCATTGCAGGTTATTCAAAAGAAAGAAAGAAAGAAAAAATATAAACAAGCTCCACTCTTTCAGCTGGTGTCAAGACTAGTGGAAAGCCTGGTTTTGTTGTAGCACCATTCTGGTGTAGCCTAATGCCCTCTTTTCACAATCCAATCAATCGATGCATTAAATCATGCATTAAATCACCCGCCTCACATTCTTGTACTGAATGTGTCGTTTTATTTAGGAATGATATCATATTATCAAAGTAAATGCATACTAATATATATAGCTAATCGTCATCGAGTTATTTATATAGGCTATATTAAAAAGTCAAAGACTGGAAAAAGTCATTGAAATACGTGGGGCAATTGCAATTCTAGTCATGTGTATATCACGTGTAGTCCTAATTCTCAGTGAAATCTCTTATTCAGTAGCGGCTGCCGCATTAACCCGTTGTTTCTGTGGAGGTAAAAGAGTAACGCAGGATCCTGATGCCCACCTGTGGCTCTCTGCGCCCACTCGGCCCTCTCACACACTTAATCCTCTGTTCCACAGCTCCGAGAATGGGAAAATCAGAGAGCCAAATGGATATCATGGAGAAAAGCACTAAACCGAGGAAGCATCGCTGGACTGTGGTGGAGATCGGACTGTCCGTCATTGTTCTTCTGATGAGCTGTGCTCTGGCTGGACTCACAGTGCTCTACACTTCAGCTCTGAGAGGTGGGGACGCGTCACAATCGCATGCAAAACACCCAAAAAAGAAATATCCCGCGTTTATTCATTTATAGCCCACGTGGAGCAGCTCGGTGAAACCTTTCTTTTGAAGAACTTTCAAGAAAACCAGAATGATTTTTTTAAATTATTAATGAATTATATAAAAATTATATGATTGCTTTTGTTTATTTAGTTAAATAATATTATTTAATTTAATATATATTAAATAAATTATATATTACATAATATATTACATAAATAATATATATATTAAAAGGTAGCTATATGTTTTATATATATAGGTAGGTAGCGCAACGTAAGTGTATAGAGTTATCATATAATGATATCTAATAAATTTTCACACAAATATAAAATGTAGAATTAGCCAAAAGCATCTATCAAATGGTTCTCACATCCAAATATATTCTTTAAGATCTTGCATTTTCTTTTTATATTTCAGAGCGTTTTAACGTAAATGAATCTTCAAAAGGTAAAGTATGCTGTTAAGTTGATCATAAATATTTTTATCTGATTTTAATCCACTTTAAATCTGCTGTTTTTTATTTTACTTTGAGTTTTGCCCTGCCATAAATTTTGTATATTCACTCTGTAATGTATTTGCACATAGTATACTAGACATATGCACTGCTATTAACAATTAAAACCAACCACAGTGTGAGGTTTACAAAATGTATTTCTCATGGCGAACTTTTGGTAAGTGAGCGAACAACTGAAGCTTTATTTCAATAAATTGCATTATATTACATGCAAGCCTGCAGTGTTAAGCTGAAGCAATAAGCTCTGACTATAGAGCTGGACTTTTGAGTGGATTATGTCACATGATCTCAGTCAGACATTAACCTCAATTGTGTTGTTTATCTCACCACATCACAACAGGGCTGAAATATCCATCAAAAGCTGACAGCAATGTCTGTACAACCCCCCAGTGTGTCACTGCCGGTAATGTCTGAAAGCTTTCCTTTTATATACCATGCCCAAACTTATATTCTAGATCTGAAATCATTCCCTGATTCATGTCAATGCCACAGCGGCCCGACTGCTCCAGAACATGGACCCCAGCGTGGAGCCGTGCCAGAACTTCTATCAGTACGCATGTGGAGGCTGGATCGAGCGGCACGTCATTCCCGAAACCAGCTCCCTCCACAGCGTGTTCAATATCCTGAGAGACGAGCTGGAGATTGTGCTCAAGGGTGGGTTACGTCAGCTTCACACAAACGCCACAAGTGTTCTTTCTTTTAAACAGTTTCGTCTTGTTGGTGCTGGTTCATTATCTCACAGGAGTTCTGGAGATGGAAAGTAAGGATGACAGAGAGGCCTTCAAGAAAGCCAAAACGCTCTACAGCTCATGCATGAACGAGAGTGAGTACACACCACTGTGATCGACGTATACTCTATTATATTGTTTCTGTTATGATTTACCACTACTTGTAAAAAATAGGATTTACTTTGAAACTCAGAAATCACATATAATTACAGAGAAATGTAACACATTGAATTAAACATGTTATTTAGCACAAGAAAGACTGAAATAGTATTTTCTTGTAAAAATCGTTTTGTTTACAACATCGAAAATTAATTATTTTACTCGTATAGTAGTGTCCAATTCCACAAATCATTGCAGATGACATGATGGAGTTTCATGAGCCTGTAATCATTTGTGATATACTTAATTGAACGCGTATGTTATACTGTAAATCAATGTGTTCTATTATATTCCAATGCCATTTTTGAATCTGCTACATTTTTAGCAATGCTATATGCGTTGAGTTCAAATGGCTAGTTTGAATTAAACACTGTAATGTTATGATAAGTCTCAAAGCTGGTTAGTTTCAATAGTTGACTAAAAAACTATGACTATTAAAAAGATTTGAACCGACTTGGCCTCGTCTCTCTGCTTCCCCCTGCAGTTCTGATAGAGCAGCGCGACTCGCAGCCTCTTCTTGGGCTCATTGACAGTATTGGCGACTGGCCCGTGGCTTCTGAGGTCTGGAACGGCACATCAGGTACTGGAGATAGCGCAGGCCGTCTCTAATTCACTCACGCAGTGAATGGCAGCATCTTGAGCTTATCTAAATGGGATAAATGCAACCGCTCCAGCCGTGCTGTCGCTGGGTGTAGATAAGGCGCTGGACTGATGGGAAAGTCCAGCGGTTTCACTGAGCAGTGGCCGTCCTGCTCATCTGTCATGTGTAGAGGGAGATAGAGGAGGGTGAGAGGACGAGACTGCGACCCGCCGTGATTATTGGCACTGTGCCTCATTATAGACCTTGAGAGAGGGCAGAATAATTAAATGTAATAGAAGAAGATCGCTGGAATAGAATCTACATATGCAGACATCAACCCAAACACACACGCTGGCCTTTGCTGACAGATTTATTATGTGTCTTTAAAGCAGTGGACAGGTAATTAATGCTGGTTTTAGACGTTTAACCAGAACTGGCCTTTGGAAAACCAGCCTGTAATCATGTTTTACTGCATCTACTAGTATCCGTCTGATTGTGCAAACAAAGGGCAATTTGGTACAGTGGGTTTTATAGGTAATTTTTGAAATAGTTTCTTCCCAGAATTTTGAATAAAAGAGAAATTGACCAGTGATGATGTGCAATGCAGTCTCTTGGCATCATTTGTGGTTATTAAAGTCATTGAAACAGTGTTTGCAACTTATTTTTTACTTCCAGAATGTGATGCATTTCATTGTAAAAACAAGAAAAATGTAGGACCTGATTGTGTCCATTGGGAATTAACTGGATTGTGAAATGGAGTATGGAGCCACAAATGAGAAAGCTGTCTGAAAAGTAAAATATATTTGTTTTCATTGGAAAACCTGCACTGATGAATCACATGCAAGAAAAGTGTATTTATATGTTTCACGTTGCAAGATCCCTTAAATGCTTCTACAAATGCAATTTTCTTTCTTGTTTTGATTTATTTCCTAATGAAAAAGAAAGTCGAGGCAGGACAGATTGAGAGGATTGTTCTTTTTAGTGAAATATGAGACAAAAATGCATTTGATCTTAGCATTTATTTTCCTTGTCAAAGTATTACATTTACATTTACATTTATTCATTTAGCAGACGCTTTTATCCAAAGCGACTTACAAATGAGAACAATAGAAGCAGTTAAACTAACAGTAGGACAACAATACATAAGTGCTATAACCCCTCTCAGTTTAATTTTAGTGCAGGTTTTTTTTTTTTTTTTTTTTTATAGAATAGAAGAGAAGAGAAAGTGTTAATTCTACTGAATCAAGTGCTGCCGAAAAAGATATGTCTTCAGCAGTTTCTTGAAAGTGGCTACTGACTCAGAAGCTCTGGTTGAGTTAGGCAGATCATTCCACCAACAGGGAACAGCCATGGTAAAGGTCCGAGAAAGAGATTTTGTGCCTCTTTGAGATGGTACCACAAGACGACATTCGCTAGCAGAGCGCAGGTTTCTGGATGGCACATAAGTCTGAAGTAATGAGTTTAGGTAAGAGGGAGCAGTTAAACTGACAATTCATTTCATTGCATTATCGAAAGACTAATGGTGCTATAAAATGAATATAAAACAACGCAGCACGGAAAAGAACGGGGTTTCCTAAACTATTAAAAAGCAGTGCAGTTGGACGCAAAATGCATTCTGTGTGAACCAGCCCTACTTTATTGAAGTAATGATGCATTGACATGGAACTTGCAGTTCAGTAAGTGAGTCCTTTCTTGATTCACTTGCCATACTGACAGATTCGTTCAGTGAAGGATTCTTCAGGCTGATTCAAACTGGCAATAACTCTGTTTTTAATGATTCATAAGAATCGACTCATTTGTTCACGAATCGAACTACACAGATCGCGCTGTAATGTTTGCGAGTATTTTTCCGTATCTCTGAAATGTCACGAACACAGCACCATTTCTCATAGTTTGAAAACTGCCGATAATAGAGTAATAACTAAACATAATAAACGCATATCTGCGCCAAAAATTATTTTGGGAGCATGCTTATGTAATTGTAAAGCATATCGATTGCCTCAAAGCAAACAGACATGGACTAAAAGCCACAAAACTTTGATCTTACAGAGCAAGCGTGGAGCCTGGAGGACACACTGGCTGTTCTGAACGCTCGGTACAATAAGAAGGCCGTGCTTGAGATGTTTGTGTGGCCAGATGACCGCGACTCCAGCCGCTACATTATCCATGTAAGTTGTTGAACATCCTTTAAAATATACATTTATATGACTAGCAAAAAAACATGTTTTTGGACATGTATGATGGTACTTCCATGTTTTCTATGCCACACATCTAAAGCGCGTCCAGAAAGCCAAAGTGCGAATACTAAACTGAGCTCTCTTTCACATCTTCTTGCACTTGAGTGGACAAATTCACACAAAATTATGTCAAAAAATAGCGAGTATCCTATTAAACATAGTCGGCTATGTCTTTATTAAACGTAAACAATTAAGAAAGTAAACAAGTGTGTTCAGTATCAGTATATTAGATCTGTATTAGAGACCATTCACTCTTAAAGTGACAGTAGCCTAATCTGCTTCTGTCTGTGTTTCTAATGTTAATCAAACAACAAAGGATGAAGAAAAAATCACTCACTGCTCTAGACTGAATAACTTTTGTAACTTTAATAAGGATGTTTAATTTATAATAATGAAGTCTATGCTGTGTTATTTTATATTTGCTTACTTAATTAAATTTCTGTACCTGAAAACTACTGAAAAACCTGAAAAGCACTGTTTGTTTTATTATCACTGTTTGTATCTTATAATTTGTCACCGGCCATTGGCAGGTGTGGCAAAAAGTTAGTTTTAGGCAGGGGCGGCGCCAGATAATTTTTAACGCAGGTGCTGAGGGGGTGCTAGATCATTGACAGGGGGAGCTGCGCAATTAGCCTATATATATATATATATATATATATACACTCACACACACACTATTATTTAAATGAGCAAAATTTATGATGAGATGTGCTCCAGTTCACGTGCAATGCAATCGCGCCCGCGCCTCCTTATCTTTATCATATTGTCTGCTATATGTGCTTCTTATTTAGGCTATTATACCCAGTCAATTGGTTGATGAAAAATTGATTAAAATTAAGATACAATTTATACAAAACGAAATTCACTTTAAAAAAGGCTTTCTACAAAACAAAACTTAATTTATACTTAACATAAAAAAATAAAAATAAAAAACTTTTTCCTTTAAATCCTCGCTTGTCTGGCTTATGCTACTCCGAGCAATGTCCGAACTTGGTATTTTGAGCACTTCTTGCGTTGTTTTTGCCTTTTCACGATGACTCGCTTGATTTAGTCCTCAGTTGAGTCGCTTTGGATAAAAGCGTCTGCTAAAATAAATGACTAAATGTAAATGTGAAAATGTAAATTTAGTGGTCAAAATCATGTCTGACCCATCATATCTTCCGATATATCGCGCATCTTACTCATGCTGTTGAATTTTCATAATCAGCATATGTAAAAAACAACAAAAAAACATTATAATATTTTAACAAAAATGAAATTAAATGCGCTTATTTAATGGCTACAACACACATATAGTGGGCCTGACTCTCTAAATATTGAAACAATTAACATTAACAATGCTGAAGTGCAGTTAATTAATAGTAAATGTTCTTGGGGGTGCTGAAGCACCTGCTAGCCCCTCCCTAGCGCCGCCCATGGTTTTAGGCCTTGTGTATATGGTAATACCATTTTGGTTGTACTGTATGTACAATAGAAATACCATGTTTATCATGGTACTATGGTTTTCTGGACGTGTACCTATATTCAATACCATGATTTTGGACGTACATTTAAAGATTAGCATATAATCATTCAGCATCATGGTGTATATCAAAGTAGCATGGTATTGCTTTATGATGCCCTGGTAATCACATCAGTACTTGTCGGTTTGATAGATTGGTTGTTTTAGTGGCACATCACCTTTCAAAACACACAGTGGCTAATTGCAATTTATTTCACATAATACACCCTGATTACAATGCCATTTGGAGCGTTAATGAAACCGAGTGTGATTTTATGTTGGTTTAATTATGAACAGAGCACTATTGGATGATCTCACCCAAAAGCGATGCAGATAACGAATAGAAGATTGTTTGTCATATAACAAATGATTTTATCATTTAACTACGTCTTTCTGATTGCACAGGTTGACCAGCCAGCACTAGGAATGCCTTCAAGAGATTATTACCTCAGCGATGGGAATTATAAGAAGGTACGTTGTGTCATTTTGTGAGAGCCATTCTCACCCTCAATGCTTTCGTTATAATTACACGAATCAGCAGATCCTCCGCCGTGTTTGTGGGCAGGTGCGCGAGTCCTACCTGGAGTTCATGGTTTCCATGGCGAGGATCGCACGAGAAGACAGGAACTTGACCCAAGATGAAGAGCGCGTGTGGGAGGACATGACTCAAGTGTTGGAGCTGGAGACAGACATTGCAAACGTGAGTTTAACTGGAGATGGTAAAACACAACAACCAAAAAAATAACACGCTCGAAGTTGGCCAGAGTGTCTGAAATGCGTTCTGGTGCTGTAAATGTCACACACTTGCATCTGATTTCTGCCCCGTGCTTCAACAGGCTACCTCACCCGCAGAAGAACGCAATGACATCACCGTGCTTTACAACAAAATGACACTGAGAGAAGTGCAGCAAGCTTTCAACCTCAATGTAAGTGTAGAAAAGCATGGGGTTTTAATGGAAGGGGATTTTTTAACTTTTACACTTGGTCCCCCTCAGGCTTTAGTGTAGTCAATGAAAACTGCACCAGTAAAAGCTGTTATAATATACACTACTGTTCAAAAGTTTGAGGTTTCTGTAAGATTTTTTCTCTTCTGCTCACAGAGGCTGCATTTATTTGATCAAATATACAGTAAAAACAGTAATATTGTGAAATAGTATTACACTTTTTAAATATTTCTATGAGAATAGAAATTTCAGCACCATTACTCCAGTCTTCAGTGTCACACGATCCTTCAGAAATCAAATCATTTGGTGCATTTAACATTATAAATGTCTTTACTGTCGCTTTTGATTCATTTGATGCTGAAAAAAATAATAATGTCTTTTTAAAAAAATCGCACTGACCCCAAACTTTTAAACAGTGTAAACCTGAAGAGAAATTATGGTTGTTAATACAACAAAATAATTGCGAGGAAAGGGACAGTTCACCCAAAAATACAATTCTGTCATTAATTACTCGTCCTCATGTCGTTCCAAACCCATAAGACTTCAGTTCATCTTCAGAAAACAAATGAAGATGTTTTTGATGAAATCTGAGAGCTTTCTGTCCCTCCATTGACAGCTACGCAACTACCAGTTTGACGCTTCAAAAAGTTCATAAGAGATCGTAAAACTAATCCATATGAATTGAGCGGTTTAGTCCAAATTTTCTGAAGAGACTCGATCAGGTTATATGATGAACATAATTAATTTAGGCTTTTAAACATTGATCATTGATTTCTGTCCCTCTGCTTCGTGGTGCTCTCATGAACGACTAACTAATGAAAGAATTTACATTTTTGGGTGAATTATCCCTTTCATGTCATGATCTCCCACCAGTCTTTAGAAGCCAGAATATAAATGTAATAATGTCAAGTTTTATATATTATAGTTACAGTTTTTTATTATTATTGTTTATTGTTTTTGCACTTTCCCACAAACCCCTGTTGATCCAGGAACACATCCTACTTCTCCAAATGATCGTTGTTTTCTCATTAGAGCACATATGCTCCTCGTTTCTCTTTATGAAATGTCAGGGCTTTAATTGGACGCGCTACATCCAGGGAATCATGTCCAGCGTGTCAGTTACGGTGCGACCAGAAGAGCCCATGGTCGTGTACTGCTCACCTTACCTGGAGAAGCTCCGCAACGTTCTTTCCAAGCACAGCCACAGGTGATGTTCTTAGCTGACGCTGTTTAACACGTGAAAAATATGTCAATAATGGCCATCCAGAAGAAATAACATATTGCTCAGAGGTTAAGTGAGACAACTTAAAAGGTGAATGTCCCACTGAAGTATCAACTTTGTCACCTGTCCTGATCCTAAACTTGCTAAAAGGAGAAAAAAGAACGAGACAATAATTGACACGCATTGGGTCTCATTCATGAAACATTCGTAAATATACGAGTGATTTGCGCGTAAAGAGACCTTCCTGAAAACTCATCTCCTGATTCACAATTACTTCGTAAACGTCAGATGTGATAGTGAAATGTGTGTGTGTGTTAATGAATTCCAATCAGTCGCAAATGGGATGCGCGTGCACGTTCATTCTCAATTACCATAAATCCCGCCCATTAAATCCGACTTACAACTATATATGGGCATCATATTATGACACCAAACGAAGGATTTCAACATGTCTTCTCAAAAGCGAATGAAAAAGAAAAATTTCTCAGATGCAGAAATCTAAGTTTTATTATCAGAAGTTCATTCAAAACACCACATTTTATTTTCAAGCGTAGGCTACATAGTGGCGTATCAGGTCCTAAAGAAAGATTACAGATGCAGTTACTGGAGTTTCATCTGTTAATCAAACAGTCCCAGAAGTAAAAAGAAAAACCTTATGTAATTACTATATATAATATTTTTTCAAAATGCTGTGTAAATATGTACCCGATTAAGGTGAATTAAAATGCAGCCTTAGTTATTAATGAGCAAAATGTTCGGAGGTTAAACTCACTATTTACGCGTGGCTGGAGCAGGTGTAGATTTATTTCGTACCAACTAACATTTGGAAAATACGAACATTTTAATGAATCCGAAAATTTACGCCAGAACCACTTTACACACGATTTACACACAAATTCGTTCTGCTCGTGTTTCATGAATGAGACCCTATGAGTAAATGAATGCGGATAGCATAGAATTTGAGTTCATATTGAGATTAAGACTAATTTGCGCTCCATTTAATCATATTAATATGGAGGAACAATTTAATTATTAAGGAGATCTTCTCTACACTATTAATATACATTTACATTTATGATGCTTTTATCCAAAGTGATTTACATTGCAATCAAGTTTTTATAGTATTTATTCAAATTTAATTTTGAATTTAGTTCTAGTAATTTTGTTGTTTTTATTCATTTTTAAAAAATATTTCTATTTAGTTTTTACTTCAGGTTTAGCTTTAGCAATTTTAATTCTTAAACATATTTCATTTAATGAAAATGTTTTTAGTTTTCGGTTAGCAATAACAACACTGCTTCAATAATCCACAACAAACACGTTAGTTGAATGTAAGAAATGTAAATGTCAAAATGCACGTTGCATATTTTTGTGCTGTATGGGATTAAATGATGTGCACATTTGTGATCTCGGCAGGACGCTGCAGAACTATCTGGCATGGATGCTCATCATGGAGAGGGTCAACAGTATGAGCCGTCGCTTCAAAGACGTGAGAGCGCACTACAGAAAGGTCAGTCGCACTCGGAACAAACACAAACAGAGGAGAGCTCTCATGGCATTTAACTTCGCCGGCTTTAAAACCCACTTTTGGTGATATGCTACTGTTTCAGTCCAATAGGTTCTATTTATTTTTATTAAACGGTTCTTTGGAATACTTGATTCTGATTGGTCAGTCGCAACATTCCAAGTTGTGTGATTCCCTGATATTAGACGGCTCTCTGGAATACTTGATTCTGATTGGTCAGTTACAACATTCCAAGTTGTGTTATGCCCTGATATTTCACGGCTCTCTGGAATACTTGATTCTGATTGGTCAGTTGCAACATTCCAAGTTGTGTGATTCCCTGATATTAGACGGCTCTCTGGAATACTTGATTCTGATTGGTCAGTTGCAACATTCCAAGTTCTTTTATGCCCTGATATTACACGGGTCTCTGGAATACTGGATTCTGATTGGTCAGTTGCAACATTCCAAGTTGTGTTATGCCCTGATATTACACGGCTCTCTGGAATACTTGATTCTGATTGGTCAGTTGCAACATTCCAAGTTGTGTGATTCCCTGATATTACACGGCTCTCTGGAATACTTGATTCTGATTGGTCAGTTACAACATTCCAAGTTGTGTTATGCCCTGATATTACACGGCTCTCTGGAATACTTGATTCTGATTGGTCAGTTGCAACATTCCAAGTTGTGTTATGCCCTGATATTACACGGCTCTCTGGAATACTTGATTCTGATTGGTCAGTTGCAACATTCCAAGTTGTGTTATGCCCTGATATTACACGGCTCTCTGGAATACTTGATTCTGATTGGTCAGTCGCAACATTCCAAGTTGTGTGATTCCCTGATATTACACGGCTCTCTGGAATACTTGATTCTGATTGGTCAGTTGCAACATTCCAAGTTGTGTGATTCCCTGATATTACACAGCTCTCTGGAATACTTGATTCTGATTGGTCAGTTGCAACATTCCAAGTTGTGTGATTCCCTGATATTACACGGCTCTCTGGAATACTTGATTCTGATTGGTCAGTTACAACATTCCAAGTTGTGTTATGCCCTGATATTACACGGCTCTCTGGAATACTTGATTCTGATTGGTCAGTTGCAACATTCCAAGTTGTGTTATGCCCTGATATTACACGGCTCTCTGGAATACTTGATTCTGATTGGTCAGTTGCAACATTCCAAGTTGTGTTATGCCCTGATATTACACGGCTCTCTGGAATACTTGATTCTGATTGGGCAATCGCTCCATCCAGCGGTATGTTATTCCCCAATAACAACTGGTAAAACCTGTTAACGCAGGCTCATCCGTGTAACTGACGTAACTATACGCTTGCTAAGAACGTTTTTTCTTTGAATAAGTTTTGCGTTTGGTGAGCCAATAAAATATTAAAATGAATTATTACTCAATATTTTGTGTACAGTTATTTAATTATGTCATCCAGGATCGTGGACTCGCTCTTTTTTGTTTCATACAAACGAAGCTGCTGCCATTTTGCGACGATTGTTGAGTTATAAGATAACAAACAGGTAATTAATCTGAAATCAATATCAATATCTCGATAATTATTTCTGTGGCGAATCGCTGTGTAATAAGTGGTATGACTGTACCGTATCCCTTAAATGTCCGTCTTGTTTGAACTTGCCGCGCCGCAACTGCTCTCTCCGTGGAAGCTTTGTGTTTAAAGATCTAATAATTCGACAATATTTCATGTCTTTATTTACTTGTGTGCCAAGTAGCTGTGTAATAAGCAGGATAATGTACATCCAGCCGGTTTTTATCTCAGAATAAACCCCTTCAGGCTGATGCAAGACTGTCCTGATCATCCTGTCAGAGTTTATTCTGCGATAACAACCGACTGGATGTATATTATCCCTTATTTTGGTCCCATTTTTCTTCATTGCATTGTGTGTGTGTGTGTTCACTCAGGCTTTGCATGGCACTACAGTAGAGGAGGCGAGATGGAGAGACTGTGTCCGTTACGTCCAGGGCAACATGGAGAACGCCGTCGGAGCCCTTTACGTCCGGGAAACCTTCTCTGGAAACAGCAAACGCATGGTAACACTAAAAACATCAACTCTGCCCTAAAAACACACACCTAGACATAACAGGAACATCCTCCTTCGATGCTTTACACCAGGGGTCACCAACACGGTGCCCGCGGGCACCAGGTCGCCCCCAGGGACCACATGAGTCGCCCGCAGGCCTGGTCTAAAAATAGCACAACTCAGTAGTGAGCTGCGTCTGAAATGTAATTGTATTCTGTTGATATTCTTTTTCAATCACACCTGTTGCATTTATATAGCATATATTTATATATTTATATTTAAAAATGACAATATCTTCTGTTCATTATACATGAGTTTAGATAAGTTTAGGTGAACTCTGACTTACTCTAGTTCAGGGGTCCAAACGTCGCTCGCGAGCTACCAGTAACGTTAGCTCGTGGCCTGATTGGAGGTTGCTCGTCAAGGAGCCGTTCACATATCGAGTCTTTTGCGTCCTCAAGTTCGTTATTTCAAATGTAGGTGCGAGGCAAGCGCGCTCATAATTAAAGCGACGCGCTATTTTTTTCCAGGTGCAGCGAGATGAAAAAAATGCAACTATTCAGTATGCCGCAAACGTACCGCAGGTCAACCAATCAGCTTCACCCTTTCCATAACAACATTGAAAGCTCAGTCAACATGAAGGATGGGGGTGCACCCAAACACTACGGGTGTTTTTCTCTTCTCCGTAAATAAATCTTGTAGCAGAGCTACAGGAAGTGTTTTTCGGTGGTGGAAATCTATTAGCTACTAAAACTTATTTGTCATTGTGGAGAGCGCAGTGCATGGTTGCATAGCAACGACAGACGCCACGGGAAAATCAGATCGAATTTTACTCTTAATAATAAAAGATAAGCTAATGTGCATTGTAAAAGTCAGTAATTTATCTTTTTTGGCTCATTCTTTTTATAAAAATGATTTAAAGGCTGAAATATGTGAGGTTTATATTTTTATAAAACATTTTTTGTCAAAACTTTATTTGAACTTGTACATACTTGTACAGTAGGCTAGATAACATGTTGCAAGACACTCCTTTAAAATCTAGCCATGATTTTTAATGTTATTATTTTAATGTTTATGTAAACAAAAAGTGCATATTGATGCGGATTTATTTGTTATTTGCTGGTTTTCGACATACAACTTAGTGAATTGATTTCATTGTGTAGTATTAGTACTTTTTGAACAGGAATCTGTGATTACCGTGATCATTTTGGTCACTAATGAAATTAAATTATCATGCCATTTCATATCTAGTCATGATGAACTATAAAATCAACTATAATTATGTGTTTTTACAATATAATATGCAAAGTACAATTTTCTATAAAAAAAATAATCTCTGATTCTGTTCTTTTCTCTGACATTTAAGGGTGACATAGGCATACAAAAACCCTTTTAGGTATAAAACAGTTTAGATAGTTGTTAATATGCGAGTTATGAGACATTATTTCAGAGATTTAAGTATTGTATTACATGAGTAGCTCTCGGCCACTTTCATTTTTAAAAAGTAGCTCTCAAATGAAAAAAGGTTGGAGACCCCTGCTTTACACAATCAGAACAATCACACAAATGGATTGTTTAGACCGTTCCAATGATGGGTTCAGCGATTTGACTGTTAGTCATCTCAGTTTATTAAGTTTATTTTTAATCTGGGATGATTTTATGTAACTCTGCATTGAATATAAAGATGTATGTGGCTTTATATAGTATTTCTAGGACAGTCAAATAGTTTTATTCATTTTAAAGTGCAGCATGAAGTCGAAATTAATCTTAATGACTTCATCATCTTTCATTGAAATTATGGAAAACGACTTTGGAAAACTGACATGACATAGGCCTTCTAAAAATTTTTTTAAATAAATATTATTCCCTTAAACAATTAGTGTTATTAATCAGTTAAAATTTTAAGCTGATTTTATATTTATTTATTATATAATATTTAATAAAATTACATTTTTAATAATAATAATATTTGTATTATAATTTGTATTTAATGCATTTATAAAATAATTGTATAAATAATTTTAATTAGATTAATTGAATGATATGCCAACTATAATAGCTATTTCTGCTATTTAAAAAAGGGCCATTTCCTGTTTACGTGAAACGTGTCTCTCCGCTGTTGTTCAGGTGGGTGAACTGATCAAAAAGATTCAGGAAGCTTATGTGGAAACACTGGAAGAGTTGAGCTGGATGGATGAAAAATCCAAGGAGAAGGCCAGAGAGAAGGTACGATGGTTTTAATGGCCACAACAAAATTCTGGAGTTCATTCCTTAATCCCAGGGATTCCCAAACTTTTTTGTCAGCTGAACACCTTTAAAATAAAATATTTACACATTTGCATGTGTATGGTTCTCTAATGTCGGTTTATGGTCACACGACATGCAGGTAAACAAATGAAATAAATAAACAATTTTTTAGTGTTTTAATTTGATACTTTTTATTTATTTAATTTTTTATTTTTAAAATTTAATTAATTATTACCTTTTCATCAACTCACAAACCTTTGCCGTTCCCTCACAAATCCCAGTTTGGAAAAGCCCACTTTATCCTATACACAATTAGCTTGGTTTTTAACTTCCATTTTTGTTATGCATTTTATGTATATAGATTTGATCTTTTGTTATTATCATTATTAGGTGGGTTTGATCTTTAATCTTACATTATATTAATTATGGTGTTTTTATTTGCTTTTGGTGTTTACTATAATGCTTTTTTATTGAAAACATTTTGAGCTGCATTTATTGTATGAAATGTGCTGCAAATAAGGTTTATTATTAATATTATTATATTTGCTCTTACTATCCTACAGTCTGAGCTATTCTCGCTTTCCAACCTCCTGTTTTGCAGGCCATGGCGATATCGGAACAGATCGGTTATCCCGACCACATCCTTGAGGAGGAAAATAAGAAACTAGACGAGGAATACACACATGTATGTAAACTCGGAGAACCTTGAGCTCAAAATAAAACACCATTCAAAGCAACTTGTATCTCATTACATAAATACAAGAATGATGCATCTCCGATATGTGCTATTATGTTTCTGTTCGCAGCTTAATTTCAGTGAGGAGAACTACTTTGAAAACATTCTGGAAAACCTGGCAGCATCAGCCCAGAAAGGTCATAAAAAGCTGAGGGAGCCCGTGGATCCTGACATGTACGAAACACATAAATATAAGCTTGAAAAGACATTTTCCTCTCTTGACCCGTCACTGAGTAATTGCTTTTTTTCTCTGTCTCTATTAATGTTTTAGGTGGATTATTGGTGCAGCTGTGGTCAATGCATTCTACTCACACAACAGAAACCAGATTGGTAAGTTCATATAGTTAAAAATGTATCCATTATACCATATAGTTATAAATATATACATTACATCATATAGATTGGTAAATGGACTGCATTTATATAGCGCTTTCACAGACCCAATGGCCACCAAAGCGCTTTACATTTTGCCTCACATTTACCCATTCATACACTCATTCATACACCGAAATATATCCATTACATCATATAGTTATAAATATATCCATTATATCATATAGTTATAAATATATCCATTATATCATATAGTTATAAATATATCCATTATATCATATAGTTATAAATATATCCATTATATCATATAGTTATAAATATATCCATTACATCATATAGTTATAAATATATACATTACATCATATAGTTATAAATACATGACATCATATAGTTATAAATATATACATTATATCATATAGTTAGAAATATATCCATTATACCATATAGTTAGAAATATATACATTATAAGATATAGTTAGAAATATATACATTACATCATAGTTAGAAATGTATACATTATATCATATAGTTAGAAATATATACATTATATCATATAGCTAGAAATATACATTATATCATATAGTTAGAAATATATACATTATATCATATAGTTAGAAATATATACATTATATCATATAGTTAGAAATATATACATTATATCATATAGTTAGAAATATATCCATTATATCATATAGTTAGAAATATATACATTACATCATAGTTAGAAATATATCCATTACATCATATAGTTATAAATATATCCATTATATCATATAGTTAGAAATATATCCATTATATCATATAGTTAGAAATATATCCATTATATCATATAGTTAGAAATATATCCATTACATCATATAGTTATAAATATATCCATTACATCATATAGCTAGAAATATATCCATTATATCATATAGTTAGAAATAAATCCATTATATCATATAGTTATAAATATATCCATTACATCACATAGTTAGAAATATATCCATTATATCATATAGTTAGAAATATATCCAAACATAGGCATTGTTAATTCATGTTAGCTAATGCATTAAGTAAGGGTTAATGCCCTTCGAGGTGTCCATTGTCAGGTATTAATTGGACGTTGGACGGTTGCCTCCGCCGAAGTCCATTAATACCAGACAATAGACACCTCGAAGGGCATTAACCCGCTTATACCATGGTCACTTGCCAAATAACACATTTTTAAAACATTAGTTTATATTTTAATTAGTTTTACAATCGAAATCTAAAGTTTTTACAAACAATAACTTGGTTTCACGAGCCAGAAAGTTAACGTATTTTATGACAAATTCTCCAAAAAGGTTTAAAGAAATAACAGTCGCTCATTGTTGTATTAGTAGGCTATGTATAACGGCTAACTAGATGTTTGTTTTGATACAATAAATTGTAAACGGATACTTTGACTGCCTGTTGCTATGGTTACTCACAGCTGATGCAGCCAGCGCATTTATTTATTAATTTCGAACGGTAAACAGTCAGTTTCACCAGAACTCCTTTACTAGGTGTCCTCCATCACTTTTTAACGGACACCCTGCAGCCAATCAGAATCGAGTATTCACCCAGACCATGGTATAACTAATGTTAAAGGGATACTCCACTTTTTTTGGAAATAGGCTCATTTTACAACTCCCCCAGAGTTAAACTGTTGAGTTTTACCGTTTTTGAATCCATTCAGCCGATCTCTGGTTCTGGCGGTACCACTTTTAGCATAGCTTACCATACAGTACATCATTGAAGTGGACAAGACCATTAGCATTTCTAAAAAAAAAATGACCAAAGAGTTTCGATATTTTTCCTATTTAAAACTTGACTCTTCTGTAGACTCAAAATAGTTACGTTGTGTTGACGGAAGGTGGCCTATTTTCAGGCGCTGCGTCATATCATTACGCCTGATGCACTCATGGTACGGCAGTAAAGTTTCTTGATTATTACGCAGGAATGAGAGTATAGTTCCTGGCCATATCAGCCTAGAAAATCACAACTTTACATTTTCCGTCGGTCTTAGTGCACGATGTAACTACAGAAGAGTCAAGTTTTAAATAGGAAAAATATCGAAACTCTTTGGTCATTTTTTTTTTTAGAAATGCTAATGGTCGTGTCCACTTCAATGATGTATGCTAAGCTATGCTAAAAGTGGTACCGCCAGAACCGGAGATCGGCTGAATGGATTCAAAAACGGTTAAACTCAACAGTTTAACTCTGGGGGAGTTGTAAAATGAGCCTATTTCCAAAAAAAGTGGAGTATCCCTTTAACAAATGAGACCTTATTGTAATGCGTTACCAACAAACAAAATGAAACAACAAAATGGCTGAATGCACTTTACAATCCTTCCAGTCTATTTAAAGCAAAAAGTCCCCCAGCTAGATCAGCACAAACCAGTCTAGTCCAGATTCACGGTGGCCTGAACAGTGGTGTGTTTCCGGAAAGCATCGTTAGTCAACTATGGTCGCAAGTTCCATCGTTATCAGCAGTTCAACGAGTCGGTGTTTCCCAAACCATAGTAAACAGCATCGCAAAGTTGTGTGTTTGGGACGACAGCTCTCGACCTGTGGTTAGAAGAGTAGTTTCATGTTTTCATGACATGTGGACTCAATAAATCTTGAGCAAAATAAGCAAGCTGACATCTTTTAGTTCTAATACATACAAATGTCCTTTACGTCTTTTAGTTTGTCAAGAGATTTAAAGTATGTTTTTGAAGAGTGCGCATGTGCGTACGTGCTCTATAAGAACAAGCTTATGATTCAATTTGGAAATAAAGCAAAATAACTGAGAAAAATGAGAATGAGTCCTCAGATGCCATGTTCATTATTTATATCAAAAAAATCTAGCATTAATTCTATCGCAAAAGGATTCATTAAAATAAGTTTAATCATCGTGCGTGACATCGTTAACCAACGTGGTTAAATGACAAATTTGAGACAATACGGTTTGTGGAAACTAGTTGATTTCTTCATCGTATGGCAGTAAAGCAGCGAGTAGTTACATCATTGTTCGGGAAACACACCCCTGATCTTTCCACAACCGCAAACTAAAAAAAGCAGCATTGTCCAAACGCGGGTCTTTTGTGAAGTATTTGTTCTGGTCAGATTTCTCCTAAGCTTTTGAGGGCTCTCGATACAAACGCTTTCTCAGCGCATTGTCATAATGGCTCTGATGCCTGTAGTGCTTTTCTCTTGTAGATTAAACAAAGCTAGTTTCAGGCTCCAGTGCACACAAAGCTTGTGCTTCCAGAGATGGGCTGCGGACGCCAAGCGCTGGTTAATACACAGATTACAAAAAGCCAAGTGATTATGCAGATTTTCAGCGGGAGAAATTTCCACATAATTACTCTTAGATTGCACATTTTAATGTTCCTGGACAATCTGGGAAACACTTGAAGCTGAATTGCCATTTTGGAGACGAGAGCGGCAGCTGTAACTGCATTTTGAGCCGTATAGCTGGAGGACGGTACACATTAGAGATCTTTCTTTCTGTCCTTCCAATATCGCTTCTGCTATCCAGCGTTCACCATTACATCACATTCTTTCAACTGAGCACTTTTAGAGTCTCTTAAAAAGCACTTTCCACACTCTCATTTATCTAATTTGTCCTCTAACACGACGTCCATCAACTTTTGACATTTCTTCTGAACCGACAAATGTCACATCCACTAAATCTCAAATCCCCATGCATGCTGTGATGGAAATGACATTTTAAACATTTGTGGAATAATGGACTCCTTCCAACATTACATGACTCATAATTCACTGATGGTTTTCTCATGGGTAAATATGAATGCTAACATTTTGAAAAAAAAACCCCAACATAATTTGGGGAAATTGTTGATTGATGTCACAAATAAGCACTGTGGCATCAAATAAATAAGTTATACACAATAAATATTGAAATGTGTATATGCAAAAATATATATATGTTAGTATAAAATTATCAAACTTTAAATTTAAAGGGATAGTTCACTTTGAAATTAATTTTTGGTATGTTTTAGCTTACCTCAAGGCAGGGCTCCAGACTAACTTTTTTTACTAGGAGCGCTGTTGGCCCTGACTGAAAATGTTAGGAGCACAAGCAGAAAATTTAGGGGCACACCTTAAATCAGCTTGCAATGCAATTATTCAAATTTCCCCCAAAATAACTGTAATACTGACAAATTCTTTAATAATAAAGAGACTTAACGTACAGATATTACGATATGCAGTTTTATTTTAAGTTCACAGGGCTCCAGACTCAAATTTGAGGGCAGCATCATCTCAAATGAGAACTCACACTGAGTTCTAAAAAAAAAAAAAAAAAAAAAAAAAAAAAATTCTGGTAGCACTGGGGCTGACAATAAATCACTAAGCTTAATTTAGGGTGTAGATGAAATTAACTTTTGTTATTATTATCATTCATAATGTCTTAATATTAATAAAAAAACAAAAGGAGTGAAAAAATGTATATTAAAAAGTGAACATAGCCAATAAACATCCTACTGTTTACAATGGTATTTTTTTTTAAATAAGTGTTTAAATAAGAGTTATCCAACATCTTACATTTTTTAGTTTTAAGACAATCTTTGAAGGATGAACAAAAAATGTGTTGGTCATCACATAAAAAATAAATTTAAAAAAGCATTTATATATGATATTATAGTTTTGAAGTGCTAGAAAAGATGTGTAGGCTGCGTTTGACTATTTCTGTCATCATATTTATGGTTAGAGTTACTTACTACATTAGCCTAAATCCATGGTGAATGTTGCTGATTTGTGGACTGAAAGCCTTCTATAAGTTTCCACGTCAGCACTGTTTGATCTGATATCTATGGTTTATAACAGAACTCTGCGCCGAATCGGAATGTTTCTCACTGGATCTCGTAGCGATGATGTTATTAATTCTGAGGCGAATTCAATGGATTTCTTCACTGGATCTCCTAGTAAGTGTCGCGTGAGCGAGATCGGCCCGCGACTGGCAAGTTCGGGTCTTTATTTTACTGTCAATGGTTCGGGGCGCTGCTCCATTGATATACATAAGAAAGGCTATGCGCTGCTCTGTCTATTATTGGTCCGGAATAATTAACGGTCCGTGAAGCATAAATGAGTAGCGTATTTTCGTTCCACTTTCATTTTGTTTGCATTCGCTGCTTGGTAACGAGTCGATAGATCGCTCACAGACGCACATAGCAGCTTGTTAGGGGCCAAGCACCGAAGGTGCGGAGGCACCTATTGTATCTGTTCCGGTTCTTATTATTATTCTTCTTCTTCTTCTTCTTCTTCTTCTTCTTCTTCCGACTGGGCGTCTATGGCAGCCCATAGAACCGTATCCGGGAAAGTTGTTCCGGTTTGACATTCTGATAGAGGACAGTCCCAACAGTAATTGCACCAATTTTGGTGTCTCTAACTCATTGCCTCTAGCGCCACCACCTGTCCAAAATTTCAAAATCATTATGCTAATAACTTTTGAACTGTAAGGCCTATCAACAAAATTCTTTTTTCCTCTGATTCCTGAGCTCATGACGATTCGATCCCACCCTATGACGTCATTTTCCGTCATAAAAATATGGCCGCCATTTTGAATTGTTTAAAAAACCTACTTTTGCGAACTCGTCCTAGACGGTTTGTCCGATTCTCACCAAAATTGCACCAGATCATCCCCAGGCAGTGCCGACAAAAAGGTATGGAATTCAAGTTGATTCGCTTAACGGTTTTCGATAAACGCGCAAATTAATTTTACGTAGCGCTTGCGAAAACAGACGTAAGGCTGTATCTCCGCAACGCTTAATCGTATTCAGACCAAACTTGGTACATGTCATCACAAGCATGACCTGAGGCTACATGCTGCGTTTCGGCGCAGCGCCACCTACTGGTCCGGAGATATGAAAAACGGCTATTTTCGCTCATAACTTCTGAACGGTTTGTCCAAAAATCATAAAATTGGTCTCTTTAGATTCAGGGCGTCATGCCGAGTCGACTGATATCCAATTTTCCCAGATCGGCCATTTTGGCTGTCGGCCATTTTGAATTATGTGCTAAAATGCTGTATTTTTTGAACGCATGAACGAATTGTTACGAAACTCGGTATGGGTCATCAGTACGATGCCCTGAAGGAGCCTGAGAAGTTTCGAAACAGCGCCACCTAGTGGTAAAATTTATTTTTCAAATGCTTATAATTCTGGCTGTGGTTGACTTATTTTCACGGAAGTCATCTCGTTGAGGTCCTGAATCGTTGCCGAGTCCAGAGATACCAAATATGCTAGGTTTCGACTTACGGTTTGTGTAGCGTTGTGATTTAGCGCTTAAAAAACATTTGCCGATATCTTCGAAACCGTTAGTCCGATCGAGACGAAACCACCGTCAGAAAATTGGAAACATAGGTCGATAGCTATACGCCAATGCCCAAATGCCAAAATATTGATAGTAAAGGGTCGTAAAATTCAATCAAAGTCACGTAGCGGTCATTTTTTACGTGTTTTTTCACATAAATGTCTATAACTCTGAAGTTAATCGAGATATCTTCACCAAAATTGACACACAGATGTAGGGGCTCACTCTGAGGACACATGAAAAAAATTGTGGGATTTTGCCTCTTGGTGGCGCTATAATAGAACAAAACATGAAAATCCCATTGATTTCAATGCAGTTTTGTGATGTGAAATGCTATACTTAATGAACACATTGCTGTAACATTACGAAACTCAGAATTTGTTACCAGCACCTTGCCTTGAAGGTACTCAAAAGATTTCAAGACAGCGCCACCTGTTGGTCAAAAGTTAAAATTACATTTCCAAAAATGCTAATAACTTTTTTAAAAATGTGCTTATTGTAATGACACTGGTCTTAATAGATTCCTTGGGTCATGCCGAGAACATAGATACCAAGTTTGACGTATTTGGACGAACTTCCTGTCCGCCATCTTTATTTACTTTCAAAACCTTCTTTTTCGAACTTCTCCTAGACCATTCGTCCGATTTTCACCAAAATCGAATCGTGTCATCTCCATACCGTGCCGACTAAAAGTTATGGATTTCGTGACGATAGAGGAAACCGTTTTCGTATACCGCAGCAGCAAAGTTGAGGCATGCTGCCAAAATGACTATTAAGTCTTTATCTTTGCAATGCCTTCACATTTTGACACCAAACTTTGTATGTGTCATTGTCACCTCACTCTGACCACATCACATCGATTTCGTAACTGCGCCACCTATTGGTCGAAAGTGATAATCCATTAAATCATCTTAAAAGTTACTGTATATATGATTTTTTGGCCATTTGCCCAAAATTATCTTAAAATGTCTTTAATTGCTCCTTGCTGCAATTGGTCTGCCACTCCCACCCATGAGGGCATCTGTTGCCGCTTCTTGCGCTTGGCCCCGGTAATGGCTGCTTGCAGCTATATTTATATTTGTCTCCGTCTCCTTCCCACAGACACGCGCGCTCTCTATTCTTGTCACACTCACTCATTCCGGATTCATTGACGCGCCCCTTCCACGCTTAACCATGCGTTTAACGTGAGGCAAATTTACTGGTCGCACATGTGCGACTGGATGTAAAATTCAGTCGCACACTCTCAAATTTTAGTCGCAAAATGCGACCATTTGGTCGCAGTCTGGAGCCCTGCAAGGGCATCCAAGATGTAGGTGTCTTTGTTTCCGCAGTAATTTCAATTTTGATATTTTTAGGTCAAACCGTTCTTGTCTGTCAGTCATATAATGCAGGTCTATGGTCATCACCTCAAAGAGCATGCACAGAGAAGTCCAAATTAAACATGATTTAATGACTCGTAAATGTAAGTACACATTGATGGCCTAAGACACGAAACGAGCGGTTTGTGTGAGAAAACGAACAGTATTTATATCGTTTTTACCTCTTGTAACCACAGCCACGTCCAAGTGATCTGAGGGCGCCGGCGCTTCGGTCTGGGCAAGATTTCTCGCGCGGTTGCGAAAAAAATTCAACGTTGTCTGTCGATATATCGAAATCGTCTTCCATTGCGATTTCCTGTATATCTAAATATGTTTAGATCTTCACAGTGAAAGGTAACACTTCCGAAATCTCTGTGTAAACAATGAGTGACGTACACACGCGAGAGATCACTTCCGGCGCTTGCGCAGACCGAAGCGCCCTTTAAGTAATAATTTAAATATATTATATTAAATGATCATACTTCAGAAGATGTTTTTACTTTAAAAAACTATATTCCATGCATTCTCTGAAAATAAGTCTTCTTTTAAGACATTTCAATATTTTTACTGACTTTTAGAATTTACTCGAACTGTTCTCAAATATCATATTTTAAAGATAACAAATAATATAAATATATCATGCTAAATGATCATACTTTAGAACATGAAATGTATGTATATTTTAAACATCAAATATAATATTTTGAAAGTCAGAGTCTGGGACGATAGTAATGTTTGTTCATTTGACCTTCAAAAAAATGGTTTTAGAAAAAAGCTGAAACCTCTGGGACATAAAAGTTTCCAAAGTTAACACTCTACTACTATTAAAATGAGTTGTTTTCTCATGTGACTCAATTAGTATCTCAAAAACGCATTTCCTGGTCAATTATCCATGCATTATGCTGAATTCTATCTCTTTCTATGCATTCATCTTTCTTTCCTTCAGTGTTTCCTGCTGGCATCCTCCAGCCTCCCTTCTTCAGTGAAAAACAGCTGCAAGCTCTAAACTTCGGTGGAATCGGGATGGTTATAGGACATGAAATCACTCATGGATTTGATGATCACGGTAATATGGGTCTCATCTGATGGATTGTACTAATTATCAGTTAGCTGTGGATGAATAAACTGTGGATTTGTTGATTATCAAACTCTGTGCTGAATGACGGGGTTTAAATATCACGGATAAATTCTCCAATGGACCAAACCAGCACGCCACTACGCTTGTCTGTTTCAAATAAGGCTTTGTTCCACAAAATTAAATATTTATTTTCATAGGCCGGAATTTCGACAAGGACGGGAACATGAACAACTGGTGGAGCAACTACTCTGCCGAGCAGTTCGAGGATCAGTCTAAATGCATGGTGGAACAGTACGGCAAATTCAGCTGGAAACTTGCAGGAGGCCAAAATGTAAGTTGAACCTCGGTTCAGTACAATGGAAATAATATGAACTTCAGAAAACAAACAATTAAAACTGATATTAAGTTTATACTTGCAGTGCTTGCAGAATGTGCTTGCTTTGGGTCCCATCTAAGCATTTCCACTGCCCTAAAAAAAAAAAAAGCAATGAAATTAAATGCAGAGGAAATTAAAACTTTTGCTGACATAAAAATGTCAAAACACTTAAAAATTAGGGATGGCCCGATACCGATACTGGCATCGGGGATCGGGCCGATACTGTCCTAATATACTCGTACTCGTACTCATAAAAATTCGCCGATACCACGCACCGATACCACGTACATTTTGCAAAACGAAACTGGCCGCCGCGAGTGCTTTGTCGAGGTGAACTGAGGCATAGGAAAGTATAATGTCGGCGGTTTGGGCTCATTTCAAGATAAGGGGTGATGACAACAGCAAGGCAGACTGTGAGTTATGTTCAGCTAAGGTGTCGAGAGGAGGGAAAGAAAGTACATCGTTTAACACCAGCAATCTAATTAAACATCTGAAGACGCATCATAGATCTGATGGCCGAGCGCGCGCGCGGGCGGTAATGCACTCACTCTGTGTGTGCGGGTTACGGGAGAATAAAACGATTCGCGGGACTCCCGCAAACTGGAAATATCTATGAATAAAACATAAAAACTAAAAGATTTGTATTCATCTCTTGCAGAAAAGCAACAAGAACAACTACAACAAAATAGAAACGATTTACAGGACAGAGTTTCTATTCATAACATGGTTGCAGCGTTGAGCGATGTAGCCAATCACAGACATAATGTGTTGATTTCTTGAACGCAATGGCCAATCAGAAGCATTTAAGATAGACTCCCCTCACCGCTCAAAACTGACTTTTTTGTTCAGTGCTGAATTCTGTATGCTGGCAAATCCTCTAATTATAACAAACAAAGTGTGGATATTATGAAAGATTGATTGTGCAGTCAGCTTCATTGATAATAACAGAGATGTGTGAGATCGCGATGAACTGTCAGCTTTTAGGATTTATTAAGGGAGCGCACTTTGCGCGCATTCAGTCATGCCAGACCATGCACGCAGTAGCCTGCTTGCTTTTATGTTAAATTAACAGTGGTTTGTGTGTTAATACATTTATTATTTTACTAATTTTTATTTATTTTTAGACTTGTTAAAACAAGCAGAGAAGAAAATAAAAACAGTCTTCTAACCTGTGTTCTAAAATAGTCGTCTTCTTTTCTGGGAGCCTATTACTTTTGCGGTAGAAATATCGGTATCGGTACTCGGTATCGGCAAGTACACAAATGTAAATACTCGTACTCGTATCGGTTTGAAAAAAAATGGTATCGGGCCATCCCTATTAAAAATAGAAAAAAATCTGCCGGTTGGGCAAGCGAAAATAACTTAAACATCAAATAAATATCTAGCCACTAAAAATGAATGGATTTCTAGACAGAAATAGATTAATAAGTTTAACTTTTAACAAACATTGAAAATACTCAAGTCACCACCCCATTGGCATTTTTTACAATATTTATTTGTGTTTTGTTTTAAGAGGGGCATTTATTTTTATTTTATTTTTTACAGTAAATAAGATACTGTATTCAACTTGTTATGGACATTTTGCTTCTTTTAAGACTTTTAAGACCTTAAACATTGTTATTGACTTTGATAAGATACCCGCAAATAGAGCTGCACAATTCTAGATTAAAAAGGAGATCATGATTCTCCTGCGATTCTGAAACAACTAAACAAAATAACATAATTTAATAGGGATTCTGCCAAAATGTTAATTGCTGCTGTCTATTTAAAAATATGTCCTTTTTATTTTATTTTAATTTATTTTATTTAATTATTATAAATAAAACAGTTTGATTAAAAAATTCAATGACTCACTCATAAAGACTTCACTTGTTTCATTAATGAATGAATCAGCATTTTTTAATGAATATCTAGAATGAATGATTCAATGACAAATACATTTTTTTAACAGTCACTTGTCGCCACCTACGATGTAAATGATTCAATCATTATTAGAAGCGGCAAGCTACTTACAAATGGTGATTTACTGTGATTTTGACCATAGAAATCAGTGTTTATATCTGAACTGTAAACTTCTTTCCCAATACTTCTGTGATAACATGAATGATTGTAAGACAGATATAATTATATTGTGTGTTTGAAAAGATCGTATTTCTTTGTCAAATGTTTAATAGACATAGCCGAATCGTTGTCATTATAAGATCGTGTGGGTGCTTGAATCGAGAACGCAATCTTTTAACGATTAATCATGCAACTCAAACTGTCCTCAGATTTGTCACGACATCAAAGTCTGTAATTAAAAGATTTTAATATAAACTCACACATTCCAAACTTGATACTTGAGTTAAACTTTGGATGCGATTTATATATGTTACACAGTGTTGTTATTGTAAGCTAAAATTTAAAATTAAGCTATTAAAATCGTTTTTTATTAATCGAACTGAAGCTGAAAATACTGGATGAAATACTTAAAATAGTAATGTTGCCAAATTACTATTTATATAAAATAAGTTGAAGCTAAATTTAAATATAAAAAAAGTAATAAAAATGACAAAAGAACATAACATTTAAATGAACAATCAAAATGTAAAAGTAATTCAAAATATTAATAATTACTATACTAGCACATGTAATAATTGAATAACACTAAACAATGTTACGTCATGTCGTTGCAGGTCAGTGGCATCACAACATTAGGAGAGAATATTGCTGATAACGGTGGAGTTCGGCAAGCATATAAGGTTTGCATGATTAATTCCCTTTAAACAACCAAATAGTAACCTGATAAAAACTACTCAACACCTTAGCAACCACATAGTTGTGTTGCTAATTGTAAGTGGCTTTGGATAAAAGCGTCTGGTAAATGAATAAATGTAAACACCCTATAGCAGGGGTTTTCAAACTGGGGGCCGCCAGGGGGGCCGCAGCAAGTTGGAAGAAAAGTAAAAAAAAAAAAAGTAAAAAAAAAAAAAAAAGTAAAAATATTTATATTTATATTATTATGAGTATTGTAATGAAATAGCATTATAATAATTTGTGCATAGCCTATCTGAACATTATACTTGTAATGCTAATCTTTTAGAGATGCACCGATTGATTGGCTGGTGACCGGAATTGGACGATTTTCATGTGATTGTCGACCGGCCGATCAGTCTGACATGCTGATTTTATGCCGGTCTAATGCACTCGGGCGCCGCATGATTAACATCGCGCAACATCAGCATCCCACATGCACACGGAACGCACATGTAGGAAACCTCGTGAATTACGGCCGTTTCAGATCTCAAGCGCGAGAGGCGCGTATTTTTTCGGCGTACATGTTATCAATGCGCGAGCTTCATTCACAGCGCGAGCAGGAGCGCAAAGCAGGAGCGTAAGCAGCAGTGAAGCGGGTTTCGGCACAATCTATTTTTGCTACGCAGCTCACACTCAATTAAAGTGAAAGCACACTTTTGATGGACAAAATAAATATGATTTCACACAAAAAGTGCCTAAAATGCACATAATTTGCATGTCTAGTGTGTTTTAACAAGAACTGGAGTAGGCTATGTCAGAAAAGAAAATGAAGACTCAAAAATATTTATAGAAAATTTACCCATTTAAACTTAAACTTGTCTTAATTATTCAGTTTGGGTAAAACTATATGATGTTATATATATATATATATATAGTATATATATATATATATAGAGAGAGAGAGAGAGAGAGAGAGAGAGAGAGAGAGAGAGAGAGAGAGAGAGAGAGAGAGAGAGAGAGAGAGAGAAAGAAAGAGAAAAAAATATTTTTGTGTGTTGTAAAGTGGTTAGAAAAAAGGAAATCAGATCGGCTAAAATCTGTATCGGCAGGTCAAACTCAATGAAAAATTGTAATCAGCCTAGAAAATTGTAATAGGTGCATCTCTATAATCTTTCTGATAGGCTGGTATCACACACCATCACATAATCTGATGTTCACCTAGAGGTTTTATTTATTTCTACATTTGCTGTAGTAGTGTCGATGGGTTCAATAACACATCCTGCAGAAGGGGGGCCTTGGCCAGAAGCTATTGCTATTTGGGGGGCCTTGGCATGGAAAAGTTTGGGAACCCCTGCCCTATAGCATCACGGCAAGCACTTTTCATGTAAAAATCTAAAAATTAGTTTTGTGTGTGTGATATTAGGCGTATATAAAGTGGGTGGAGAGGGAGGGCGAGGAGCCCCTTCTTCCCGGACTGGATATGGATCATAAACAGCTCTTCTTTCTGAACTTTGCCCAGGTATGTGACCATGAATTACATATACTTTAAAACTCCTGCATGTGTTCACCTTGATGCCCGTGCGAGGTCAGTTTCACATAGACTGCATCAAATTAAACTGACATCACTTAAAAGATACATGTGCTGGAAAATAAATGACTACCGGCTGTCTAATATAAGCTTAAAGGAATAGTTCACCCAAAAATGAAAACTATCCCATCACTTACTCTACTTTTTAGGTGAACTATTCCTTTAAGGCATGAAATCTGAGGCTGAATCATGTCATCCGCTGGGATGAGACTGGGACTGGGATTTGAACAGTCTTTATTTGGACAGCCACATGTCAAAATATGTGTTAAAATACACAACTGATCTGTTTTGCAGAATCCTACAAATGTCATTCAAGCATAAAGTGCATATTAGTTCAAGTTAAAATCCCTGTGTTCATCTGTCCAGCTGACTTTAATATGACTGGGTGCATTGTATTGAATGTAAAAACATCTCACGTGTTGTTTAGGTCTGGTGTGGCGCCTGTCGCCCTGAATACGCCATTCAGTCCATCAAAACAGACCCACACAGCCCTCTGGAATACAGGCAAGATCTTTCTACAAGATTTGTGAATTAAAAATGAAAAAACGTATCCAAGTCACACTTAAAAATGTCATTCGATTAGGTTACAGATAGCACATGCTTTTAACTCTTTCCCCGCCAGTTTTATTATTTATTTATTTTAAGTTGCCAGAAACCCCCAGCATTTATGATCATTTACACAAAAGTTTCATGGCCTAGTATATTTTGAATATCTGAACATGCAATATATCAAAAGAAAGAAAGAAAGACCCTCGACTTTTAAACAAAAAAACCTGTTTTATTCTAGCTTCATGCTTTCTTTTTTTGATCAACACTTGAATGTGGGTAAGTTTCATCAAAAAGCAAAATTCAGAGAAAATCGTGTGTTTTTTTAAGACTTCGTCGGGATCAGATTCAGATGATGATCAAAACACAGATAGAGTAGATCGAGTCCATCAACACCCCATAGCTTCACAGTCCTGTAGCTCGTCCTGGGTCGACATTTCATTCAGTAACAGTTTTAATTGATATGCTCTTTAATGTTGATGATCACGTTATTTCACATATGCTATCTATCACTTGTTTCTGCTTCTCCTTCGCCTATGATCTGGAGATTCAGCACTCTTTCAGAAGATGTGTAATAGCGCCCCCTACCGTATAACAGTAAAAACACGGAAATATCCGTCAATGGCGGAGAAAGAGTTAAACACAAGCAAAAAGAATAAGCAAAAATTTGTTAGGAAGAATTCTTGAAACTAACATACATTTCTAGCCACTAACATTTTTAATGGATCTTAAAAAAAAAAGTTTTTACAATTATACACTACCCTTCAAAAGTTTGGAGTCGGTAAGATGTTTTTGAAAGAAGTTTCTCATTCTTTATTTTAAAAAGTAATATTGAGAAATATTATTACAATTTAAAATAGCTGTTTTCTATTTGAACATGTATGTAAAATATCATTTATTCCTGTGATCAAAGCTGAATTTTCAGCATCATTACTCCAGCCTTCAGTGTCACATGATCCTCCAGAAATCACTCTAATATCGCTCAAGAAACATTTCTCATTATTATCAATGTTGAAAACAGTTTATTTTTGTGGAAACAATGATACATTTTTTCAGGATTCTTTGATTATTCGAAAATTCGTAACAACAGCATTTCTTTGAAATAGAAATCTTTTGCAACACTATAAATGTCCAATTCTTCTTATAAATTGAATGCGTCCTTGTTGAATAAAAGTTTTGTAAAAATCTTACTGACCCCAAACTTTTGAACAGTAGTGTATAATATATATATGAAGCCACTTTATATTTCCTAAATAATATACGTGTGCTAAAACCTGAGCTAACTGACTTCATACATCCACTAAAAATCCTCAAAACAGCTGATTCTAGACACTAAACACAAATGAAGAAAAGTCACAGTCACCTCTGATGAGAAATCACTCGAAGTTTGAATGTAGACACATGTGAAGCTGCTTTGAAACAATATGTATTGTGAAAAGTGCCATACAAAAAATGTGAATTGAAGAAAAGTGCCTTAGCGAAGAGAAAAGGTCCTGCAGCGAGTTTGTAGTTTAATGCAACGGCATTCAGACATGTTTAAAACACTTTTTATAGGGTGTTGTATAAAGGATTGAATGCCATGTTGTTTTGTTTTTTAACAGGGTTCTCGGTTCCCTGCAGAACTTTGAGGCTTTTTCCGAAGCGTTTCATTGTGAACGAGGAACTCCCATGAACCCCGAGGAGAAGTGTCGCGTGTGGTAACCTGCCGTCGGAGGAGGTCCTGGAGTCGTGTATATTTTAGGAGGAAAGGCAGCGGTTAGGAGAGCTTGTTGTGCTGTTATTGCTGCCTGTCTGTTAGTCTGACGTGACAGACATGACCGCGGTGTAGACACCTACATGTGTGACTGCATAGATGTCTACTGTGAACTTTCAAAAGCGCACATATAACCAACAAGTGCAGGCGTCGTGAACGTGCGCAGTGAGGGTGTTGTTTTTCTGAAAAAGAGGCATGCTTTTTCATCGTCTGTTCAGAGACTTTTAAGCAAGATTTCGTCCTGTCCGCTTGTTTCTTTTGACACATTATTAGTTTTGGCACCGGAGAATAAATAGTTTCATTGTAACGAGAGGGAGGGTTTTATTGACATCAGATTATTTTTCCAGATTATGTAAACGGATAAACCCCTCCGTTGGCTTGGGATTCTGTCGGCTCTCCAAGAAGATATCCGTTGTGCTTTTGAGCGATCCTAAAATCAGCCAACAACCGGAGGCTTGGAAGCGGTTTGTGGTTTGAATAGAACCCAGTCAAGGCATCATGTTTCGTTTCATAATAAGCAGCCTTGAAGTATTTTGATTATGGTATAAGACATTATTTTGGAAAGCCAGAGTCCTATTGAGCGCCGTTTTCCCCCAAAAAATCCTAATGTAATGTACGTTTCACAGAAGAATCTGTGTTTCTTTGAAAGCGAGGGCTTAGCGTTACGTAAACGGGCCCGTGTTGACAATTACCTGACAACCTTAAGACTGTTAAAACCATATCGCTTAAAGCTTCATGTGTTTTTGTCCATAAATAGATCCTATTCATGGCCTTGCCTTGTAATTGAACTTCTGTGAAAGCCAGCAGATAATGGCAGGAAGCCGCTGCAATACAGGAACGAAAGAGTTACAACAAGAACTCAGACTGGACATTTGTTTCATACAAGCTGTGTGTTCTGCCAGGGAGCGCTTCTGTACGTTGCTGTTGTTAACACTTACCTATGGATGTTTTAGCATGTTTAGGGATGAGAATCAAATCTGTACTGAAACTGAGGGGTCTTCAACGCGTCAGTCCTCCGGTTTAGTTCGGTTCTCTTACTAAAACATCATCACCGCATTGACTTCTGCAAATAAACATAGAGAAATAGTGTTTTTTTTTTTAGTACATCAAGGTTACTTTCTTAAGCAGCATATTTTGTAACCAATAGTTTGGTCATGAATTAGTTTAGTTTTAATACTTTACAAGCATTTGATCATTGGTGGAAATGTTCATCATGTCACATGCTGGGGGAAAAACAACTAATTAAAGTGGTCAAGTTGGAAATTCCTAGTAAATTTCACAATTTATTCCTGTGATCAAAGCTAAATTTTCAGCATCATTACTCCAGTCTTCAGCGTCACATGATCCTTCAGAAATCACTCTAATATGATGATTTACTGCTCAAGATTATCAAGAAACGATGCAAGTAAGCCTAGTTCCAGACTAAAATGCATTATTGAGCTGTTTTAACTGAAATCAACTTGCACTAACATGCACATCAGTAATGTTGTTTCTAAAGAAAAATGTTAAAATCTACTTAAATGTCCTAATTGAACTAAGGCTTAATCCTGGCTTAATCTAAGACCTGTCTGTGAAACCATCCCCAAATGTTTTCCTTTAAGTCTGTTTAAAACTTTTTTAAGTCAGTTACATAAAAACATGGATTGATCTAATTTGATACCGAAAAGTAAGACTAACAGTAATGGCTATGTCTATGCAACTGGCCCCAGGTCAAATTCAAGCTGATGAACCATCTAAACTAGCCTGGACCAACTATAAAATCTCATAAACCTTGATTTTCCAGCAGGAAATATGTCATTTTATTCCTAAAAGGTGGCATGTAACACCAAACCATTAACAGACAGGCAAAGGTCTCGCTCAAGGATCTGTAAGCCAGTGGGTTTGTGATTTTAAGGAAGTTGATTTCATACATTTGATCTGAGACGGAGGCTAATGGGGCAGCAGGGCTTCATGTGTTATCTGGAGCGACAGCCGACAGTTGTCTCTCAGATGGACACTTTCAGGAGGCGGCCCCTTCATTAGAGACCCGGTCAAGGCCGGGGACTGTTATTTTCCGTCTTGATTAAGCCGTAATGACAGCAGAACTAAAGAGCCGAACAGGACGCAGCGAAAATGATAGAATGGAAAAGATAAAACGGACGTCAGACAGAAAAAAAGCCGATATTGGGTTGCCTTGGGTTATTGATTATGACTGTTATCTCTCACGACAGAGACTTTGATCATTTGAATGTTCATATCTGCCTTCATTGCAAGCCAATCTAAACCTCGACACCACTCTAATGGCACGTACTGTTTGATGCACGGGAGATGAGCGATATAGCTATTCAATGCAAGCAACTTTAGAACAAATGAAATATTATAACTTCAGATTCTGTTAGCGGCGGAAAGGGTTTTACAGTGATGAAATGCCAAATAAAACATAATCCCTGAATTATTAGTGCATGCATTTTCCAATGGAAAACCTGCCAGGAAATTGGATATGTAAGGATTTGAGCTTTAAAAGTGCTGGATAGAATCCGATGGTTTAGAAACAACAGTAGACCCAATAATGCACATACTCGATCTAAATGTGCAGTATTGTAATGTTTTAATATGGTCAGGGAAGAGAATGTGCATATTGGTTTTATGTACAGTATTTAACAATGCTTGGGTTGATTTACTTGCCAATCACGTCAATGCTAAGTCAGGTGCATTATGGCAAAATGTTACATATGCATATACACAACATTATCAATTCCCTGATAGCACGCATTCATCAGCCAGACGTCTATTTGTGCAGGTTTTTTTTTTTTTTTGCCTTAAGGCTTTTAATATTATGACTATTAAGAACAAATCAAATGAGGTGTGATGTGAACTACCTGTTCTTTATACCGCATTAAAGAGCGACTTCTCTGTGCCAAGGATTGCTGATTGCTTTTGAGAAAATCGCATTTTAAAATAGCTATTTTGTATCTGTGAAATACTAAATCACCCTCTGTGATCGTTTGTTTATACGACTGCTTTGAAGAAATCTGAACTGAAGGAAGAATAACTACATATAATCTATCAAATACTTTGCCAAGTGTGAATTGTAAAATATAATTTGTGTGCATTTTAGTGTCTTCAGTGTCGTTGGTTCTGAAGGTGTTTAAATAGAAATAAGCTTATGATGATTAAATATGAAGTCTCTTTTTCAATGCTTTATATAGGGACAATGCCAAGAACTTGTCAGACTCAAGAGTTTTTTTTATTTCAAGGATGAATCTCATTAAAACATGTCTAAGTTACACTTCATTGCAAAATCAAAAACTAGAGGTAGTTTTTATATATATATATATATATACTCTAAAAATGCTGGGTTTTAGGTCAACCGTTGGTTTAAATTGTTTAATTAAATTTGATGTTCATATTTGACCCAAGCATTGGTTGACATAACCCAGCATTATATATATTATTTACAGGTTTTGTGAGATTCACCCTTATGTTAAGACCACAGATGCTGCTATATGAATATATGTCTGGGGGTGTTCTTGTTCTGTTCATAGACTAGTTGACTGTTGAAATGTCTCAGTTAATACGTACTGACATAAATGCTCTTGATATTATATGGGGTCCACGTTTGATCGAGACCATATATGTTTTAATGACTTTCCAAGTGAATGCTTTGTAATGATATTGTTCTGCCTATATTGATTGTTCAAGCAAACATATATGGCTTAAAAATGTTATTTAGCTACCTTAAACTTACTGAGATATTGTATGATATGTAAGAGAAAATATGTAAGCATCAAAAATAAACTTATATAAAGCAACAAATATATTTTATGCATGTGTTTTTTTCACATTCAAAAACCACAAATATACTTTGGTGAGAGTTTTAATATGTACATCTTAAAAAAAATGTCATTCACATTCTTAAATTAACAAGTCACATTTGGTCAGAAGTGTTTAGGAAAAAAATCAATAAATTCAGGTTTATAAAAGAATCTCATTAAATGGAGTATCTTATGACAAAACACAAACTTTGAGGATTTGAGGATCAAACAAAAATTTGAGGATCAAAGCAGCATTAGTGTTTATTCACACACCTACTGTGAGAGCTTAATTACTCATCAACAAAAGAAAAATAATGCATAAAAAATGCTCATGATCAGTGAATTATATTTTAGCATCAAACCAAAGTATCACATACATGTAAAAGATGATTTGAATCAGATTATGGGGAATATAACACTGGATAACCAGGAATCACAGTCCATTCGTCCCTGAAGAACATTGGATCCTCTATCTTGTGCAAACATCTTCACTGCACTGTAAAAGACACAGAAATATTATGTATTAATAATGAAAACTTGGGTATCCTTGAGTATAACATTAGACCTCATTTACTGTATGGAAAAAAGAAAACAACACTGACACATTTTTTAAATATCTTTGAGTTTGATACTGGTTTGGATTGACATGACGGTGAGTAAATGACAGAATTGATGGTAACACTTTATTTTACAGTTACATGTAGTTACTAGTTACTGTAATAACTCAAAATTATGCATAATTACATGCAACTAACCCTCAAATCAAACCCTAATCCTATCCTAACCCTATTGTAAGCACATGTAGTTACTTAATATTACTTGGTAAATATATTATTACTCTGAAACAATGACACCTTCAAATAAAGTGTAACCGAATTTACACTTTTTAGGATGAACTATCCCTTTAATAAAGGAAAGTCGATCTTTCAAGCTACAATGAAAGGAGAACTCAGACGCACAGGTCAGTCTGTCACTGCATTTACAGTCGTGTGAAAGTAACCAATCGCACGGAGGAAATGGCATCGGTGGCTCAAAAATGACAACAGACACCGGCAGTCTTTAATGGATAAACAAGACCCGCGACACGTCCTGTTATTGAACTTCAAAGCAACGTCGTCGACTCCAAAAGTAACTTTAATATAGAGCAGCTGTGGTGCTTCGTCATATTAATAGAAATATATCAGTCACCATTATGCATGCAGATCGACCTCATGCATGTCTGCCACACAAATATTAATGTTCATTCGGAGCATCATCTAATGGTTGAAGACAAAAAAAAATCTGCAGGATATGAAAGTCTCAAAATCAGAATGCCCTTGACAGATCTATTATGGAATGCATACAATTTAATGGTCGAATCGATTTCCCTTGAGACTCTCCCATGTCATCCAGTGACGACACTGGGTTTGGGCTCTTGACCGTGTGTGTTGGGCCCTTCCTTCCTGAGAAGACCTCTGGGGCCGATCTGCTCTGAGATACGCTGCTGAATGACACCATGTTTATTCTTCAGATGGACTAAAGGTCTTTTGGTAGATCTAAGGGTGTGGTACGACACAATGGATTCTTCTCCAGTGGCCAGACTTTTGACTTCGGCATGAAGTAAAACAAATGAGACCACAATAATAGCTCAGAATAAAACGTTCTAAAAATATGGAGTGTGCGACTTCAGAAAATTAGCTCAGAGAAACCTGATGAAATTAATGTCTCTTGCAATCAGAATGGCTAATTAAGTAGCAAAAACTGTTTTCAACATTAATAATAAGAAGCATTATTTATTGAGCACCAATTGATAGCATATTAGAATTATTTCTGAAGGATCATGTGCTGGAGTAATGATGCTGAAAATTCAGCTTTGATCAAAGGAATAAATTACAATTTAAAATATATTCAAATAAAGACCAGTTATTTTAAATTGTAATATTACAGTTAGCAATGTATTTTGGATCAAATAAATATAGCCTTAATGAGCATAAGACATAAAAAAAACGTATTATATCTTTTGACCGGTAGTGTATGCAAACTTAACTAATTTTATATTTCTCAATGATCACAGGCTACAAACTTGTTGCATTTTGGCAAATCTGGTGATTAATTCCTTATAAGTGCTCATAATATCAATGTGATTAATTACAAGAACTACTAACCATTTAATGAAAGAATAGCACATTTTTGTTTTTTTGACATTAAACGTTTCGTCCAAATGAGAACAAACATGTTTCAGAACATCTGTAAGCTTTTTGTCTGGTTCATTTGCCTTTACCATTCACCTCATTAAATCTCAAGAACAACAATCCAGTGGTGTAAGACATTGATTAAGGCCAGAAATATAAGGGAATACATGTTTTGTCATCTAAATATACATGCAAAGACAATCAGTATGATGAAACTCCTATTGGAACAAGGAAATTAACAATTTAGTGTGTATTCATAAATGTAAAAAAAAAAAATGTTTAAGTTTAAGATTTATACAAAATGTTTTATTAAAGGATTAGTTCACTTTAAAAAAAACTTTTGCTGATAATTTACTCACCCCCATGTCATCCAAGATGTCCATGTCTTTCTTTCTTCAGTCGAAAAGAAATTAAGGTTTTTGATGAAAACATTCCAGGATTTTTCTCCATATAATGCACTTTACTGGGCACCAAACGGTTCAAGGTCCAAAAGACAGTTTCAGTGCAAACTGCAAACTGTTCAAAGGGCTTTAAACGATTCCAGACGATGAATAATGGTCTTATCAAGCGAAACGATCGCTTATTTAAAAAAGAAATAACAAAGTTTAAGTTTAATAATGTCAAATGCTCACCTTGCTCTGTTCTGTGTGACTCTCCTGTTCGAACTCGTTCATCAAAATGAACAAATCTTTTTCCGAGTCAATTCGTTCATTTTGTTCGTTAAATGAACCAAATGACTCGAAAAAAGATTTGTTCATTTTGATGAACGAGTTCGAACAGGAGAGTCACACAGAACAGAGCAAGGCGAGCATTTGACATTATTAAACTTAAACTTTGTTATTTCTTTTTTAAATAAGACCATTATTCATCGTCTGGAATCGTTTAAAGCCCTTTGAACAGTTTGCAGTTTGCACTAAAACTGTCTTTTGGACCTTGAACCGTTTGGTGCCCAGCAAAGTGCATTATATGGAGAAAAATCCTGGAATGTTTTCATCAAAAACCTTAATTTCTTTTCGACTGAAGAAAGAAAGACATGGACATCTTGGATGACATGGGGGTGAGTAAATTATCAGCAAAAGTTTTTTTTAAAGTGAACTAATCTAAGCTCTCGTTTTTTTTTTTTCTCATTTAAAATGTTGTCTAAATGTTTAATTACCTTCTCTTTCAAAAAATGATTTCATGTCAGGTTTTACAAGGTTATTCTAACAATCAGTTTCTCTGGGGATTCTCTATAGATAACGTTTTTGCTTCCTCGACGAACCAGATGAACTGCGTCCACCATTTGAATGGTCATTTTGTCTACTTCACCTCATCTTGAGCTTGACAAGGAAAAGAAAGGCCAAAAGTGCCATTTCCTGCAGGATACCACGGTAAAGTCCTTAATTCAGACCATGTGTGACTTTAGGAGTTGCACGTCTATGTAAAAACCCCCTGTAATAACCAGCAGCAAAAATGGCATCTGCTGGTTTTAGTGGGTTTTGTTGTAAGAGGAGCTCCACTGTAATCTCACAGCCCAGGTGCATCATGGGACCTCGGGGTGGTTAAGATCACACAAAACCAAGAGATGAGCCTCACAACAAGACTCTGTTCTAGCCCACAATCACTTCACTTGTTCAAACATCCACTTACATAAGCCAAAGCATCTGTGCTCTAACATCAGAGAGATTCATGCCTTTCTTTATAGATTCATGCCTTTCTTTATTGCTGAAGTTGCTCGTTGACATGAATCAGGTCATGCTGCGGCAGAACACGGATTCTTTAGCGTGTCTTGTGGAGGCCTTGAAGGGTTTAATTGTGCTTTTCCTCATATTCTGGTCTACCGGTATTTAAGCCACTGAAGTAAAAGCAAGATATTATTCCAACGAAATTGAGCAAAACAAGGTAAGGATGTCTCTGGTGTCCTGGTTTCACCATGGATGCAATTAAACGGTCTTGTGTGGTTGCAATGGATCAATGCAACTTAAAATCTTACACTCTATAAACTCTTTACAAGGACAATTTCACTGTGGATTTTACTGCAGTAAAGTAACCCAACACAATACACAAAAAGAGTATTTTTAGACTAGCCTTAAAAATACATTAATGTAATAGTGTGGTCACATATTTTTGAGTCAATTAAAGTAGAAACATATACTAGTGGATAATGTTAGACAGTTTGTGGAGAAGAATCACATACAATATCAAGCATGAACATGAGTACAATACTGAAACCACTTGTTTGAAAGAATATAGTCTTTTTAAAAACCAAAACTTCAATCTGAGCCATTTAAATCACTTCAGATAGTTATTAGAGGTGGGCAGTATGACTAAAATCAAGTAATTAGATTTTTTTAATACTGATTTCATATATACACTAGTGTTCAAAAGTTTGGGGTCGGTACGATTTTAAATACTTTTAAAAGAATTCTCTTCTGCTAACCATGGCTGCGCTTATTTGATTAAAAATACAACAAAAATCAGTTATAGTATTAAATATTATTCCAGTGTAAATCAGCTGTTTTCTGTGTGAATATATAGTAAAGTGTAATTTATTCCTGTGATCAAAGCTGAATTTTCAGCATCACCAGTGTCAGTGTCTTCAGTGTCAAATGATCCTTCACAAATCAGTATAATATGAGGATTTGATGCTCAAGAAACATTTATTATTATTATCAATGTTGAAACAGTTGTTGGTCTGTCAGTTGTACAGTTTTTTTTTTTGGATTCTTTGATGAATAGGAAGTTCAAAAGAACAGCATTTGTTTGAAATAGAATCTTTTGTAACATTATAAATGTCTTTACTGTCCTTGATAAATAAAAGTATTGATTTCTTTCCTCCAAAAAATTTAAATAAAATTCTCACTGACCCCAAACTTTTGAACGGTAGTGTATATATATATATATTATATAAATACTTTATGAAAGGTACTTTATCTCGTTCATCATGTTTTATTTGGGACATGAACACAAATTGAATAAATGATAAGTCTGGTATCAGTGCAAAAACAGCTTCACGTCATGTAAAACCAGAGTAAAAAATCTAGAAACCGTAACACTAATATTAGGAAATGGTTCTTACTTTTTTCTTTATATTTTCTTTAGCTGCATTCAAAGTCATTTTAATATTACATATGCATGCAAACATTAGAGCGGCACGATTCTGGATAAATTAAGAATCACAATTTTTTTGTTTAAAATAGAGATCACAATTCTCCAACGATTCTGAATAGACAACTAAACCAAATAGCATGTAATACGGTTCTGATAAAATGTTAATTGCTGTAGTCTATTTAAAAAAATATTTAATTAATTTGAATTGATTTTTTCTTTTTTATAATTTTGAATGACTTCACTTGTTTCATTACTGGATTCATTTGAATGTTTACAGTGATCGTACTTGTCAAAGGATTGATAAACAATACCCAAATCAATGTTATTTAGGAATAAGATCGTGTGCGTGTTTGAATGGAGATCGCGATCTTTTAACAATTAATCTTGCAGCTCTAGCACACTTTTAATTAGATATTAATGCATCAAGTAATGCACTTCAGTGGCCCACAAGAAAATCTAAGGCCCCAACATTCCTAGATTCTGTAAATCATAAGTAAAAATTTTTTGCCTGTTTTAACTGATTTTAATGCTTGTTTAAGTCACCTTGAGGCCCTCTTGGAAGTATACTGAGGCCCCTAGTGAAGATCCACTGATGCTTTTCTATCAAGTCCTAATGGATTTCCTTATTTATTGCAATGTTGTTCCTATTACCATAAAATATTCAGAAACAATTTAGAGGAAGAACTCCTGACTGGTTTACCCAATGACAATCACAACCACTAACTTTACATGCGACATCTGACTATACTTCAGTATAAAACGCCCGGTTTACACCTGGCGTTAAGATGCATTTTAGGTGCAATTTGGTCGATTGGATCTCAAGTGGACGACACTAAATACAGGTGTAAACGGGGTCTAAAACGTTTTGAGCTTGTCCACTTTCAACCATTTACAAAGGTAAAATGCATTAGACCGGATTGCTCTCCTAGTATAAACGCTCATGTGTTCAAATGCGTTTGAACAGCCACAAAAGAACCTACTCTCGGCCTACTGACCTAAAGCATAAACATTGTGAGAAGTGCGCTAGCCTAGCCAGACGCGACTTTGTCGGTATTAAGACCCAAGTTTGGTTTGAAGATGAAAAACGTACCAAAGCACAATGCTCTCTCACCATTCTAGTGCTGCCACTAACGACTAATTTTCTAACGACTAATCTTTCGACTAATTTTTCGATTAGTCGACTAATCTAAACGACTAATTAAAAAAAAAATCAAGTGTTTATTTCGTTGTGTCCATCTTTATTTTGAATGGCCAAAACATAAAATGTCACCTGTTCAAAAACATTATGTATTAACAATCTAAGCATTAAGTATCTGCATTTCCATTAGGCTATACCATATTAGTCAGAGTCCTAATCTAATCCTCTAATAACAAACATGTATGTATTACTTAAATTAGCTCTTTTTTCTGCCTTAAAAAATGTACAGTAAGCTAATAATGATTAATTTATGTACATTTCTGAAAAGCATAACTGATAACATCACTCTGAATAGTAAAGTAGATGCAATGCATTTTCTGTGAAAAGCGCTATACAAATAAATTGGAATTGAATTGAAAGAGTCTGGACTAGCCCACTATGAGTCGCGCTGAAAGCAGGCAGGCACGCAGTTATGTAGCTCGCGTTTACACTTGCGTGCACGTGAAAGCAACACGGACTCGGGAGCGCTTGTTTAGGAAGTTAAGTAACCTGCCCATGCGTTTTAGCTGATTATGATGCATTTAGTTAAATAAAACACATGTAAGGGATGATAGTGTTGATGATTTACCTTGGATACGCAAGAGTTGAGTCTGCAGTGTATTCGCGCATTGCGCGTGCAATCAGGGCAACACATTTGGAAATCCACTGTCTCCTCAAAAGAGTCCGTTTGAAAAACACAATATATTGACCCGCGTTCTGTTTTTTATCATGCGCCGTGCACGTTTGCGATGACATAAGATGCACGCAAACTCAACAGGGTTCGATAGAATTAAGTGTGAAACCAGACCAACGCTGCGGGGGGCGCCGGGAACAATCGCGCTCGGACTCGGACCGCAGCAAACGAGCCCACTGTGAAAGCTCCGTCACCTGCCTCCGCAATTTTTCATATCAAAGCAGTGAAGGCGGGCGGGAACGTGAAGGAAAATGATAGCAGATAAACCAGCAGGGCGCGCACGGCGCACAGACTGGTGTGTGGAGGTGAATTACAGTGAGCCGTTTTTGACGGGAGACCAAAAATAAATAGCGGTCAATAGTAAAACGACACGTCGACTAAAAAAATTGCCGTCGACTGATTTGCATGGTTGATTACGTCGACTAAGTCGACTAATCGCGGCAGCACTACACCATTCCTGATATCGGTTTGGTCCTAAAGCTGTCAGAGCAGAAACTATAGCTGATGCACTGTATGTTTTTCAGTCGTCTCCGGTCACGTTCATATATAAATTGCGTGAGCTTATTTCATCCATTAGATCGAAAGATCTAAAGCCCATACATGTACCCGCTCATAGACCCTCCCCTCGAAGAAATCAGGACAGAAGTGGGCGAGAGTCGACAAAAGAGACAGATAAAAAAAACAGGTGTAAACAGGAATGTGTCTGCCTCGTCTACTTGTGATCCGATTGACCAAAACGCATCTCAATACCAGGTGTAAACCGGGCCAAAGAGGTTCGACCTTACCAATGCTCCCTGTTTTACCTGTGGCTTTTCACCAGCCTGGACGTTCGCCGAGATCCCGAGAGCTTTGGTGATGTCCTCCAGAGATGCGTTGTCTGCAGGCGTTTTCTGAACAAAATGCAGCAAAACCTTTTCTCCACCTGAACAGAGTGACACATTTAGCATTGTGATATTGTTTCCATGACAGTTAAGCACATTTAACACGTTTAATGAAAAGTTATGGTGGTACTGTTTAAACGTTAAATTAATCTATCTTAATTAGAAAAACAATCACAAATATTCTCATCACTCTGTTACAGTAATGAGAATCTAATGAGAATCATCATGAGATTAATGAGAATTACAAACAAACTTCAACATCCAGTTGCATTCAAGTAATGAGAGTTAATGAGAGTTCAAGTAATAGGAAAACATGTTTAGTTGTATTGCTGAATTAGTGCTTGCCATACTGTTGGCACCCTGAGACCCAGAAACAGTTCAGAGACTCATCAAATCCAGAAACATCAAGGTATTATTCTAAAATGTTAATCTCTGCTACAGGCAGATTTCTTCACATTATTTCTCATGGTTGAGCACAGAACAGATTTGAATGTGCTACATTTTTTTAATGTGAAGTCATGCTGCCCTCTAGTGACAATATTGCAGAGTGCTAAGATTACAAGTTTCGGTTCTCTTCTATGACACATTTATCAGAGGAAGAAAAAGATAATCACTATAAAAAACAACAAGACTGGACCAATACATTTTCCTAGTGAAAATTATGAAAATATGACCTTTTGCGACGATGAGCAAGCCTCCACTCTGCAGAAGATCTCCACTAAAGTTTCCTTGAATTCCTTCTGCACTTGCCTTCAAGAAAAAACATGAATCAAAAGAGTTATCTAAAAGTTTAGCACATTTTGAAATAAGCTATTGTTTATTTAACACCTTAAATTTGGTCATTATTAAAACTGTTTACAAATAAGACATATCATTAGTCACTTAAAGGTGCTATATGTATTTTTTTTAGCGGCCTCTATCGGTGATGTTTCAGATTGCAACCAATTTTTTCAAGAGCTCTCGTGGTATGGTACCGGTACCGGCCACACTGAGACTTTCAACACACTGGAGAAAGCATCACACAACATGCTGGAAACTCATGTAAACTCCCACTGCAACGTTACAATAATAGATTTCTTTTATCAGCTTGACGTTGAACTAATGCTCCGTGCTCGTACCATGATAACGTTACTGCATTTAGCCGACATGTGGTGTTAGCATAAGGCATTTCACTAACTATTCGTGTCTTTCACAATCAGGCAGCAATGTCAACATAGATTAGAGAACGGTTAGTGACTAGACTGAACAATTTCAGTGTAACAGTAAGATCGTAGGAAGTAACATTACTGAACGTGTCTGGAAATGTGTATTATAAACAATATGATAGTGGGATGAGTGACGTTAGACAGTAGATCTAGTACATAAAAGTTACATCCTAAAGCAGCCTACCTACTTTTTGTTATCCCGGAATAGTCTTTTGTATTCATTTCATGTCTCATGTATGTTGTAGTTTACCTTGCCATTACATTACAGTTTACCATTATTTATTTATTTTTTATTTCAGCATATCTGAAAACTTGTAATTTATCACAATAAAAATAGCGGAGGTCTCTCCATAATTCAAACGCTCTGCCGATGTTGATCCGTGTTTTCGTCCTAAGTCGATCCGATTCACGTTTGGCCTGACGAGCTTCAGCAGATACATTTTTGTTTTGTTTTTTATATTTATGTATTTGTGTTGGAGTGTGTGTTGTGCTGGAGGCAGGTCGTTGTTTGGTGTTATCAGACTCCATGCCGTTAGCTGCAGTGCCGTCGCATGGACTGTATATAAAGAGGAGAGAGGCTCGGGGGCGCGCATGCACGTCACATCCGACGGATTTCGCAGAAAATCCGACCCGGAGACTTCACATAGAAATAGGAATACTGGCCTTCAGAGGTAATAGCAAAACCCGACAAGTGGATCATAAAAAAAGGATTAATTTTAGAAGAAAAGTTACATAGAGCACCTTTAATCACGAATTATCATTAGGCCAGAATTATAATTTGCATTAAAAAATAACTATTAAAGGCAATGTACAATGCGTTATAAATACCTTTGAGGCAATTTCTCGTACTTTCTTTCCCATGGCAGCTGGAACCAAATTCATGGCATTGTACCTGAGATTGGAAACCAGAGGATTTTTGTTAATTTTGACAATCTTGTGTCATGGTCCAAAGGAAGATTTTATGAAGTAAATCGGTAACCAGACAGCTAATGGACCCCATTGACTTTCATTGCATTTTTTTCATACTATGAAAGTCATCCATCAACTGTCTGGTTACCGATATTCTTCATAAAATCTTCCTTTGTGTTCAGCAGAAGAAAGAAATTCATACAGGTTTAGAAGGTGAGTAAATTATGACAGAATTTTTCTTTTTAGTTGAACGAATGCGTGATGTTGGACCATGACACAAGCATGTCAAAATTCTTCTTTTGTGTTCAATACAACATGTTTATAACAATTTGAGACTTTTTAAATTAAGAATTCAATACCACAAATAAAAATAATCATGAATATGCTCAAGTTGAACCTCATACCTTTTAAAGCCTAAATCTTTGTAACACTGTTTCTTCTCATCAATGTAGATGTCTAAAACAAAGAAAAAGTTAAATATTCACAGGATCAGGAAAACGCCTATGACACCTTTTATCAGTGGCAAACCCAAGGTAAACACAGGCATGGCAAGCATAGTAACAGGTACAAATGACAGTAAAAAACACGAGTTTCATCACTAATAAATTCAAAACCCACACAATGAGCTTAACCTGAGGTTATCACTTATTTCAGAAGAAAGAATGCAGTATTGAAATCATTCTTTAACTCAATGGGGTCCAAAAGCACACTTGTGAAAACTGTATTTTGCATTTGATAATTTGCTATTTCCTGCTTTGGAGACGCTTGAAGAAAACCCGAATCCAGCACAAGGTGAATTTGTGCATCTTGTGCTTCAATTAAAGCAAGAAAATTATCAATGTCACTCAGTTAACATGCATTTGATCAAACACTTAGTGTGTTATGTTATGTCATGCATTATTTTGCAGTTTCTTTCATTTCCAGGTTTAAATGTTTAAATCTCTTTTTTAAATATTTGTTTAAAAAAAAGAGATGTTTTTCATAGTCTTGACATTTTTCCAAAGTTTGGTTCCCATACTAAAAACAACGTATTTTTAAAGAAATTTGTATGCATCTCTTCTGGGTCAAATGCATTATGAGTTAAGGCCCGTTCACACCAAGAAAGGTAACTATAAAGATAACGAGTGCAAACCCTCTTTTGGTGTTGAGAAACTACTGTCAGGATTTACTTAAGACACACAGTGAAAAATAATCGCTGAAAAGGCGTGGACAGGGTCAATTTTGAGGCTGACCTTATTGCATATGCATTTGTAGGAGTTTCTCTTTTAGACACAAAACTTATGGGAAGAGAGTATTTAAATGAATCATGCAAGTTAATTCACGAAGGTTTGATGTACTAATTAATGTACTGGTATTTGTGCCATTATTTACCGCCCAAAAAAGCTTGTCTTAAACCAGACGCTCTTGGTAGATTGTGTTGGTTATTATGGAAATGATCCGGCTGCGTTTGTTCATTAATTTGCACGTCGTCAGTAGATCTAAAAGTGATTCCAATGATATTGTTTCTCTGTGTCATTATCATTACATTGCATTTGTGTTGTGCACCCTGCTATTCATTTATATATAGAACGATTTTTAGAACTCTTATCTTTATCATTATCACTATAGATATTGTCTTTGGTCTGAACGGGCCATTATAAGGTAACTACTAGATCTTTCACTGTGGTCTCCGTCTCAGACTTCAATAACCCACTGCATATTTGAGCAACATTAGTGTAAAACTAAGAAATTAGGAATAATATTAAACAATATAAAGCCAAGTGCCAAATCCTCACCACCCTTGAAGAATCCCCCATCTTTGAACTCCTTCACTCCCATCTCTTCAGGTCCGATGCCAATCAGACCAATACCATTTGCTTTCAGGTCTTTCTCCAGTTTACTGACCTCCGCTGCCATCCACCGGCACACCTGACAACCAAACCTCCGCAAGAAGAAGAGAATGACCGTCTGCTCCCGCCACAGAGAACCAACCTCCACCATCTGATAAACAAGACAAGAGACTTGTTCAACAGACATATCGCATTTTCATTCATTAGTTCCAGCTCATTTGGAATAACACGCATATTTTTGGGTGGTTGACACTACATATGAAGCCATGACATGCTAGAGTTCCTTTAAAATTCAATTTCTAATTCATTTAAAATTGTTACACATGCCATTTTTATGAGCTCATAATTAAGAGACTACATATTTTAAATTCTCAGGTGTAACAAAAACCTGAATTCCTGATTCTGAAAAGAATTAATGCTCATGGACATAATTTGTTCATGGTAATTTATCGAGTGACTTACTGAGTGAGAATCATTTATTTCAATAAACTTTAACTTTCAAGTATTTAGGTATTCAAGTAATTTCACTTTTAAGTATTTAAAATAAATTGAGTCACATACATGTTTTAAATGGTTTAAAAAACATGCCTTCAAAAAGACGTAAAACTAAAAAGACTTGAAATTTTAAACATAACTTAGGCAAATAATACATATATTATTTTAAATATCAATACACCCAACCTAGAACAAGAAAATCTCAAAAGAGTCTTAGCATGCAGAATAACTGCATAGGTTTAAAATATTGTTTTGTTGCATTAGATTATAAATACTCATAATGTGTTATCATTGCATTTGACACCTGCGAGCAGTGAATGAGTTATTTATCACAATGTTGTCACAATGTGAAAAATCAGAACAGGAAGTGTTTTTCATGACAACGAATGAAATGATTCAGAACATCACTGTAGCCTGCTAGTTGTATGCTAACTTATAGGAACATTCATTGTAGTTGAATTATTACCTCTCCAGACGTGGTGTTTTTTAGTTGGTTGGCTCCTAGGCTGGTCAAATTCACAGACGACATTTTCTTAGTATATTTTTGGCCTTTGGGTGTAAAAATTGCCCTTGTTCCTTCAGCGGTTCTTTACACTTGTCTTTACACAAGCACACACAAACCCGCCGCTGTTATATACACACGCCCACTTGTGTAAGACATGACGTGAGTGACACTCGTATAGGCCAATCACAGCTTCGGGAATTCAAACCATGCGCTCGAGGGGCGGGGCATATTACATAAATATGACAATGGCAACTATTATCTGTTAGTTATTTAATCACTTCCCGAAATTATTTTCCCCGTACAAACTCAGTATTTGTAAATGTAAATGGATGCTATATGAATCACTCTAGTGTACAATATATATTTTTGAGCCCAAGATCAAGTTAACATATTCTATAAGATAATTTAGGGTGTGGTTTAGTACATCAAAGGTCAGTAACTTCAGTCTGTCTTCCTCAATTAGAACGTTGTAATGATTTACATTAAATAATCAATACAGTCCAAGAGAAAAAAAACTATTTTACTAAATATAGTAAATCATTAACTTCAGAAAGGTGTTGGTTTGCCACTCCTTAATGGACCCCTTTCACAGACTGTGATGACGTGTGTGTGTGTGTGTGTGTGTGTGTGTGTGTGTGTTTGTGTCTGTCTGCTGATGTACAGATATGTATGTGATTATCTGTATGTGTACATATTTCTTTTACACAATTATCATCTTTGTTTTGAAATAAAGGTTATCACTGTTTTGAGTTTCGTTTTTTGAGTTGGCATGCATAATATGGGATACAGAGATTGACAATGTACTGTATGTAGCTGGTTTAACTTCAAACTACTTTATTGGAATAAATGTTTTTATAATTGCATATATAATGCACAAAAATAAACAATTATTAACTATTACAGAGGGATGATTAAAATAAGAAATATAAATGTGCCATTAATGTTTACAGTAATTTTGTAATTTACACAGTGAAGTGCAACAGAATGTGAAAATAAACTTTAAATAAAATACTACACAAATATTACACAATATATACTCTGAAATTCCTTATAAGTTTATCTTAGATCAGGCATAGGTAAAACTATGGATGTGCGCTGTACTCCTTTTTGCTGCTTTCATTGTTACTTTAGAGTTTTTTTTTTTTTATACATTAACATTTTTAATAATATTATGTCAAATTTGCGTATGCGTTTTAAAGACGCGTGACGTCAAAACACGTGATGTCACAGTGCATGCGCCATATCGCGGTGACAGCGTATGCGCATGCGCTGTGACATCACGTGTTTTGTTAACTCTTAAAGGGACAGTTGACCGAAAAATTAAAATTTTCCCATCTCTCCAAGTACTCCTCGCTGCAGACTGTAGCGTGGTGACGTCACGTATTCACGTCACACATATGTGACGTACACAGATTATAATCAGCCTCTGCTGATTATAATCTGAGACACTGCAGACCTGTGAGTATCAGCACTCACAAGGCCCGTCTGTTTAACAGCTTCTTTCCAGCCACTGTTAGGTTAGTGGCACAGGACATTAAGGAGGGCAAAAAGTACCCCATTCCATGTTTTTAATCCAAGTGCATTATCATTATCATTGTAATGACTTGTGCACAGGCACGGATTAACGCACGGGCCTACTGGGCACTTGCCCAGGGCACGGCACTGGGCCAGCAGGGGGCCCTGTAAAATGTACTGTGTCTATTCTTTTCAAATAATTATTTTTATTTTATTTTTATTTTCAGTAAAAATGTTAAATATTGAGGAATAATGTGATTTTTTTTTTGCTGTTGCAAAGTATTAACTAGTAAATAAATCAAATAAATAATTTTGATGTATTGCTGCGCTGTTGAGAAGGACATCTAGAGGCGAGTGAAAAGCATTGCGTAATATAAAAGTCACGCGTAGAAGACGGTTACTCAAAAACCAAAACAAAAATGAGTTTAAAACCACAACCAAGACAGAAGATAGGCTAAGTTGTTTATGTTTTACAATAGTAGCCTATGGGCTTTTTTTTTTTAACGAAATGTCAATCTTCATCTTTATAACAGAAGATAAAATACAATACAACAATCTTCAAGATACAGTAAATCTTCAAATGTGTAACGGATTGTCACCTTAAAAAGTGTATTTTGTGGTGGAACAAGCAATTTAATCTTTGTTTTATTATTTTAGTTCATTAACTAATTGTTAACTCAACGAATTTAACGTAAAGACCTGCTAGAATTAGGCTAGCTTACTAATTAAATAAATGTCAACTAGCCTAAATGCATTGATTAGAATTGCCATTGGCTAAAGATTTTCTAGTCAACGACTAGTAGTCATTCCTTTAAGCAATTAGTCGACTAATCTCACTTTAATATTAATTTCTGCTTAAATACTGAGTGGAGGCATAGCCTATTCCGCGCTCAAGCAAGCGCATGCATAAATATTGCCGCAAAGCACCGGCAAAAGCAGGCTAATGATAATATATGTCTGGAAAAAAACTAGGCATTTTTATTGTTTAATAATAATTTAAAAAAATACAAATTTAATCAGTGTCGGCTGCAAACATATCTAGCTATATCTCCGCTGTAAAGTGGATGCGCCTTTAGAGAGAAATGCACCTTTCATATCATATCAGCCTAATCAGCCGGTATTTGCTTTCGATTCGATTGGACATTTCAAGCTTTATATAGAAATATTAATCATGAATGTGAGGCTATACACTGTGTTTCAGTTCATTTTTGAGACGCGCTCCAGTTCACGCCACGGAGACCATGAAAGCGCGCCCTGTTTATTTTATTTTATTTTACAAAAGCACAACGTTTTCTTGTTATTGTGAGTTTACAAAAATAAAGGTACCTACTTGCGACTGATGCATTATTCTTTTCTGTATAGGCCTATGACCAGAAAAGATTGAGTAGTCCTATTTCAAGTTGTTTCCACTGTTGATAGGGAAATGCAAGTGTTCGCGCCGACGCTTGCCATGCAGTGCGCGCTGCACACTCCGCACACGCACTTGGATATGCATTTATCTAGGTTATAGTTAGAGCGAGCTGCCATGCCAGACGGATAAGTCCTTTTCATGTTTAACAAATCAAATCATGCATTTTCTACCTACCGCGAGTTAGCGCTGCACCAGTTTGAAAAAGGTAAAAGCATAACGAGCGTAACGAGCGAGAGGCTCCACACTGGGGGATGCAGAGATGTTGCTGCGTCTGTTATTATTAACATTTCTGATTGTTTAAATGACCAGCCCTCGGGGGTCCCCTTAAAATGCCTGGCTTGCCTGCCCACTGTTGTCCAAAAAATTGGTGACGGGGGCCTTTGAGACATCCGTGCCCAGGGCACATCATCGCCTTAATCCGTCCCTGCTTGTGCAATAGCACTTTCTTTAGAGTTTCTACAATGTGCAATATTATTAATTTATTTGACCTTTTATAATGTGTATTTATTTAAACTAGAATGGTTATTTACTATACAGTCTTTCTCTTTTGCATTTGTAAAATGTGTCGTTGTTGTTTGCGCTCCTTTAAAATGTTTTTTTTTTTTTAAATTATTAAAAGCTGACTCTGAGAAACGCACAAGATTTCCAATGTGCCTGTACTGTAATGTACCAATAAACTTTCAACTTCTTAAATTTAAACTTCATTTGTGGCGTGAATACGTGACGTCACCGCGCTACAGTCTGCAGCGAGGAGTACTTGGAGAGATCGGAACATTTTTATTTTTCGGTGAACTGTCCCTTTAAGAGTTTGAAGCGTTTTAGACAGGTGTCAGTTTTCAGTTGATGCTGATGCTGCAGATTGGCGCGGGAGGGGCGATGCCGTGACGTCACGGGGGAGAGCCGAGCCTCAGCCGAGGAGAGATGAGAGAACAGGGGAAGACCGGAGGAGCACGATAAAAGCAGAGAAATGACTGCGCCAGAAAGGACGAAAGAGGAAGAAACGTTAAACAGCAGCGTCAACATGATTTGCCGTTCCGTCTGCTGTTTGCAAACCAGTAATGCATGAAGAGCATCCCGGATAAAGGTAATATTTCCATGTGCACGCCTCTCACAAAGAACAAACGAGTGGAGGAGTCGATTGTATAATCTTTACCTTGAAATCAAATGATTGGGGTGAATAGTGCACCACTGAAGTGCAGCTGCTTCGCTCTCCAAGCATCCTCTTTGTCATCCATTAGCCTATTAAACATTTCTATTAATCGAAGATCACGTGCTCTTTTTTTATTCACGCCTGGTGCGTTTCTCAGAAGGCTGCCGTTATGCTTTTTGCTTCCTCAGCTATGAAGAGACCACATGTGCACTGCGCATCTTCACACTCTGGGTCTGCGCATTGGTTGCAGTGCGTCGTGTGCACGAGGGAAGGGAAGTGCCATATCTATATCACTGACCACCTTGAAGCAATGGCGCTTCATTCATCACGATACTTTTCTGCTGATTTGATGCACAAACCCCCTGTTGTGATGCTTTCCGCCATGACTTTATGTAATTGTGCTGTTTATCTTGTCCTACCTCAATGTCACCATGACCTAAGAGCGCTCTGTGCATCTGAGAGCGGTGATGGATTGCTTTTCCATTTTTTTTTAAATTTGCATCAACACTTCTTTTTTTTTCCCCTTGCAGTGTGAGCAGAATGTCATCTCCTGGAATGGGCACCTCGAGCGACCCCCTGTTGTCCAGTCCTGTGGGGGGGAAGTTCGGGACTGCCCAGGATGGCACATGGAGACCCACTCTGTCCAAGACGTCCAGCTTCCCAGCGTCCACCACACGGCACCTCAGTCACAGAGCCAATAACTTCCAGAGGCACCCGAAGCGCCGGAAACTGATCAGGCCGTCTCCTCCTCCGCCGCCGAACACCCCGTGTCCCCTGGAACAGCTCGACCTCACCGAACTGCCCCCGAGACGCACTTTCCCCGAGCTTCTCTTCAATGGATCCATCTTGTTTGGTATCGAGTTCAGCTACGCGATGGAAACGGCGTATGTTACTCCTGTGTTACTTCAGATGGGGCTGCCCGACCAGTTCTACAGTCTTGTGTGGTTCATCAGTCCAATCTTAGGTAAGTAGATATTAAAGGCTCCCTGAAATCATCAAAATGTACGTTTTATAGCTTTTAGTATGAATATGTTAGCCTTAATGTTATGAATAAGCTGGTTTGTTCCAAAACAATGACAAAATTCGCATTTAGGAGATATAAGCATTCAAAACTTAGTCTCTCACTTCCGCTAAAATGGATCACGGATTTTTATGACATCATCGCGGACTTCAACTTCTGTCCAATCAAATGCTCTCTATAATCTAAAGCTCCGCCCTCTATGCTATAAATACCATTTGGCCAAAGCGACCGTTCGGTTGCTCAAACGCTCGAGTTTTATTCCGTTTTCCAACTGTGTTGGTTAAGAATGAAATGGCTAGAATTGATTCAAACCTCTACTATTGAATCCAACGTATCATCAGCGCTCGGATTCGCCTCCATGGCGCTGTCAAGTACGACTCGCAGTCTGTGAGGTAAACCAAACGCTATTGGCTATTTGAAAAGGGGGAGGAGCCATTCAATATGTCCCGCCTTAGCTTCCTGTTTCAGTGGAAATTACGTCAACGCATCATCTGATGTAACCAGAGTCCAGTTGCATAAACAGCCACTGTGTTTAAAACTAGTCGAGGGGTAATCAGTCTCGGATTCAAATTAGACCAATCTACTTTTATTTATGTGCAATCTTAAAGCTGCAGTCCGGAGTTTTTCCTCTTTGTCGCCATCTCTGTTCGAAATCTGCAATTGCAATCATTCGCGGAATTATCAACTTTACGTGAGTTGTGCCTCGGCACGGCACAGCGCGGATGAATCCAATGTTTTGAGGAGAATGTGGATACTGGCATTCGCAATCACAGATTCTACTTTTTGGAAGTATGACCAACATAAGAATTTTTACACTAGAATATCATCTGAACAAGTAAGAAACATCCACTTTTGTTCTTCTGACCAACTAACTGAAAAAAAGCATTGCAGTAAATCGTGCTGATTAAATCTAACAACCGTTTATCATATAAATGATCTTTAAATAAAAAATTAAACGTCTAACCTCTAACTTCAAATCTATGCGTATGCAAGCAGTCACAGATCATTGAGGTTCTTTCAAATACTGGATCCGTCAGATTTGTGAATGAATCATTCATAGAGAATATTCTACTACTACACAAATCAGACTCAAAAATCTATACTTTTCTCCTGAATGTACCAAGCTAGAGCAGATGCCAAGTTTTTGTGTCTGTTCCTCGCACAAAGCGATTATATGCCTTTAGAAGAACACATGGATTACTTTGTAAAAGCATTCACTTTCATTATATTGAAAAGAATGAGCTGGATATGCTGAAAAGGAAATATATATTTAACATGTAACATAGGCCTATTTTTTTTAGCCACTTCTATTGCAGTTGCAGCCACCATTTTGTATTATCTATATATCATTATAGTATTTATTAATAGTTTAAATTGTCTTTTATTTTTATATATGTAGTTTTTTCTAATGTGCTTTTGTCATTTTTATTAATTTTTAAAAAGAATTATATTACCTTTAATTTAGTTTTATTTTAGTTTTTTTTGTACTTTAACTTAAAAATTATTTCAGCTTCAGTAAATATTTATTTCAGTTAGTATGTAAAGACAACATTTCTAGTATTTTAAAAATATTAAGTTTATGTTTTTTATTTTTATATTTTCAGGTTTTCATTTTAATTTAGCTAATTTTATTATGAGCTTTTGTCTTTTTTAAAAATTGGATTTAGCTTTAATCAACATTTCTAGTATTTAAAAAAAAATAAGTTTTTCATTTAATATTTATATTGCAACATATATATATATATATATATATATATATATATATATATATATATATATATATTTAACATGCAACATATTTTTATTTTTATTTTTTGCCACTTCTATGTTGCAATTGCAGCCAACATTTAGTATTATTGATCTATTAAAATAGTATTTATTAATATTTTTATTTATTTTATGTTTATATTTTCAGGTTTTCATTTTAATGTAATTTTCCTAATTTTATTATGAGCTTTTGTCTTTTTTTTTTTTAAAAATTGCATTTAGCTTTAATATAAATCTTTGCCATTTTAATACTTATATTTTTATTTCAGCTTCAGTAAATATTTATTTCAGTTAGTTTGCCAAGGCAACATTTCTTTTCCGTTTTTCATATAATATTTATATTGCAACATAAATATTTAACATACTTTTTTTTATTTTTTACATAAAATATGGAAATTTCTACTCGCACCACTATTCGAACCAGCGTTTCCAGCATGTGCGGCGGGTGCGCTGACAGGGACGTTAAAGCCAGCCTCTAGAGTCAGTCGCTAGTGCACTTCTTGAGGTCGGGGGAGTGAGGTTTACCTGCACAGCTCTCCGTTACACTCACTCCCGTTTGGGGCAGTTGTGGCCTAATGCTTAGAGAGTTGGCCTGTATCCGGAGGGTCGCGGGTTTGATTCTCAGTACCAGGAAACGACTGAGGTGCCCTTGAGCAAAGACACCTAACCTCCAGCTCTTATTAACTGGCCTCTGTTACATATAGCTATACCAGTTTTTTGATTGTCTTTTATGATTGTCAGGATTCCTGCTGCAACCCATTCTTGGAGCATGGAGTGACCGATGCACGTCTCGCTTTGGCCGCAGGAGACCTTTTATTTTTGCCCTGGCGATAGGTAAGCAGTACTGAATTTATCTATTACAAACTTCACTAATTGCTCAAATCAAGCATCTATTTCTCTCTTTTTCTGTCACATTTGATATGTGGTATTGAAACTACAGTTTTTCGGTGAACTTGCATTCTTATTTAGAGAAGTTGGTCATAATGTTGTGTGTTGTTGTGTTTGTAGGGGCTCTGCTGGGTCTAACACTGGTGCTGAATGGAAGAGACATTGGATCAGCGCTGGCGGACACAACCCTGGATCACAAGTGGGGCATCGTGCTGACGGTGTGTGGTGTGGTTCTGATGGACTTCAGCGCGGACTCAGCCGACAACCCCAGTCATGCGTACATGATGGATGTGTGTAGCCCAGAGGACCAAGACCGAGGCCTAAATATACATGCTCTTCTGGCAGGTTAGAGGAAAACTTTGAGATTAAATATGGTTAATTATTCATTTAAAGCATTTTTTTCCCTCTTTTTCTCAAACCAATATATTTAGTCATATTTATATACTACTATAGTATTTATTAATACTTTGAATTGGCTTTTATTTATTTACATTTTTATTTTATATTTTTATATTTGTATTTTATATTTTTTGTTTAAGTCTTAGTAATTGTATTATGTGCTTTTGTCATTTTTAATAAAGTTGTATATGCCCTATGGCCTTTTTTTATAATTATTTATTTTGGCTAATTTGACTATGTTTTCATTTACCTATAAAGGTATAGTTCTCCCAGGTTCATTTAACACATTGTCCCATAATTTAAATAATTTCGTTGAAAATCTGTGCTATTTATATATTAATATAGTATTTATTAATATTGTGAATTAGCTTTTATGTTCAGTTTAATTTGAGTTTTATTTTTAGTAACTTTGAAATGTGTTTTTGTCATTTTATTAGTTTTTTAATACTTTAATTTATTTTTATACCAATTTTCTTTTTAGTAATTTTAGTACTTCAACAATAACTTATTTATTTAAGTTAGTTAATTTTACTGTTATCAGTTACTTATAAAAATATAGTTCTCTCATACCCATTAACATTTTAATTGACCATATTTAAATCAATTCCTTGAAAATAAGTGTTATTTTAGTATCATTTACAGTATACTATAGTATTTAATATCGTGAACTATCTTTTATTTTAATCATTTTTATTTTAGTTTAAGTCATCATTTTGTTATGTGCTTTTGTCATTTTTATAAGTTTTGTTTAGTTTATTGTATTTAACACTTATTTCAGTTAGTTGCGAAGGCAACGTTTTTTTTAAGTTTTTCATCTAACATTTTTTTCTTTGGTTACACTTTATTTTAAGGTGTCATTGTTACAGTGTAATTATATATTTAAGTACTGAGTAATATTAATTAACTACATGTACTTACCATAGGGTTAGGGTTTGGTTGAGGGTTAGTTGCATGTAATTATGCATAATTTACTGTTATTACTATGATAAGCACATGTAACATATGTAACAAGGACACTGTAAAATAAAGTGTTACCTTTTATTTTATTTGAGCTTTATTTCCATTACACACAATGAGATGCACAGTTTTAGTTTTATTTAACAATAACAACACTGACTCATATTACTATTGCATCTATCATTTCACTTCTATTCTTTCATTTAACTATTGCATCTTTCATTTACCTCAGGCCTTGGAGGCGGGTTTGGTTACATTGTGGGTGGCATTAACTGGGACAAGACTGAGTTCGGAAGGTCAATAGGTGGCCAGCTCCGGGTCATATACCTGTTCACCAGCATCACCCTCGCCGCCACCACGGCCATGACCCTCACGAGTATTCCTGAGCGAACTCTCCCCAAGTCCCAGCCTCAAACCAGAAGCGGCCAAAACCTGAAGAGCCCCAACCTCCCTCTTCCGCCCTCCCCCCCGCCTCCTCCTGGGGCTGCTGTCGAGCAGGACGAAGAGGACGAAGAAGAAGCCCTATATAACAGCCAGTTCTCCAATTACCGCTACCAGGATCCACTGGGTCGCTCGAGCAGCGCCAACGCACGTCTCTACGCAGGCCTCACCAGCCCCATCTCCCCTCTCAGTCCTCTGACACCCAAATACGGCAGCTTCATCAGTCGGGACAACTCGCTCACAGGCATTAATGAGTTTGCTTCCTCCTTAGGCACCTCCTACATAGACAGAGTATTGATTGAATGCTACACGGGACAGCAGACTCCTCAGCCAATAGAACCAGAGTCACCGGGAGAAACGCCCCCTCCTCAAGGGCAGAGTGAAACACCTGGTGCAAATGAAGTTTCACAGCAAAACACACACTCGCAGCCTAACGGAGAGTTGCAGGCGAGTGAAGCGCTGCAAGCCAATGAGCAAAATCAAGCCATCGACCCCGCGGAGCCTAATGAGGCGTCGGGGTCCCAGAGAGGCAGTTCCTCAGGGATACTGAAGCGTCCTCAGAGTCTGGCCTTAATAGAGGACCCGCTCATGACTCAAAGCGGTGCCGGCTTGGACAACGGTCGTAGACGCACCGTCACTTTCAGTCAACAGGTCAGTGTGCACTGTAGGTTTGACTGTGCATATTGCATGTACGCAACTTGGCATTGAACTTTAGCATGTTTTTTTTTTAACTTTATCTTTTCCCAAGGTGGCAAATATCCTGCTGAATGGAATGCGCTATGACAGTGACCTCAGTGGCAGCCATGAAGGAGCAGACTCCCAGATGTCAATCCTGCTGCTCTGTACCGCCATCTGCAGGATGCCTCCATGTTTACGAAGCCTGTGCACCAACCATTTCCTGGGTAATATAGGTTTTGAATCTCATTAGCCATATACAAAATATCTGAGGCTCATATTTTATATGCATTTTTTAAATATATATAATTAGCACTGACATTAAAGGTACAATATGCAGGATTTTTCGCCACCAGGGGTCGCTAACCTCTTACAATAACAAAGGTGTATATTGATGACGTATATTCCGCATTAAGCGGAATTATGGATCTTCTCGTCAAGCTGATGGATCTTTTATGGATGAGTGAATACATTGATGTTTTTAACATGACTGTGGTGTGAAGTGCTAGATGTATACCAGCGCCACACACAACGCGAGTCCCGCGGATATAAAGGAATAAGGACATTTCATTCTACCGAACTACACGCAAGTGCTGAATTAATACTCACACAGGTCAGTTTATTAGACGAATTAAACTTGAGGTAACGCAGCGCTGCTTCACTTGCTCTAACGGTTACACTATCACACTAAACGGCATTTGAGTGTTGAATGTTGTTAGTTAGGTTGTTTGTTGGCTGTATGAGACTAAGCTAGATTAACATTAGAATAACATACAGATCATATTCTAACATTTCATCATATTGAACTAAATAACAGTGATTAGTTTTATGTACATTTGCTCACCTGTCTAATAAAGTAACATGCAACACTCGCGTCTCTGTCGAGTCGAAGTTAGTCGCGGACGTGGAGCTCTCGGCATCTCGAAAGATGTTGATCTCCGTTTCAGTCCTCTTTTTGTCTCAAAGTCTGCTTGCCATGGTCCATAATGTTTGAACAAAACAACAACAGCGTGAGCGTCCTGCTAGGCATAACGGGCATAACCCAGTTGTCAACGTCTGTCGCCATGGTTACTATGGAAACCGGGAGTAACGCGGATATGACGCCATTGACTAGCGACTCCTCACCCCTTGGTTAAAATCGCAATTTTCTCACGATTTACAAATAGTTTGAAACATTTGGGATATTGTAAGTAATCAACTAAACAAAATATATAACATTGGCTTAGTGGTTTTTGGATATTTTACTGTAAAAATCCTAGATATTGTACCTTTAAGATTTTGATAACAGCCTAAAGTGTTAGCACAGACCTACAGCTGATTCAATTTCTTAAATATGGAATTTTTTGCACTGATTTGGGAGGGAAATCTGCTGAATTTAGCTTTGTAATTGTTAATTAAAAACTATTACAATTTTTCATGTACATTAAAAGTTCATTCAAATAAAGCTGACATAAAATTTAAATATATGATGAAAAACCTTGCAATTAGATTTTAAAAAATTTGCAATTTTTCCTTGGCAACTAACTGGGAAAAAAACAAGTTTAAGTTAAAGTACCAAAACTACTAAAACTAAAACTGAAAGTTAAATAGAAATATTTAAACAAAAAACGAATAAATAAAGAGACTAATAATAAATTCAAATAAATGTAAATATAAAATATATATTTTTATTTCATATAATATATTTATTTAAAAACAATGATAAAATACAAAATTATCAAGAAATACTATTATAGTGGATAAATAATGCAAAAATAACACTGATTTTAGGGAATGGATTTAAATATGGTAAGATGTATTAAATGGATCTGGGAGTGCTATTCGTTTATAGGTAATCATTTTAAAAACACAAAGGCCCCAGGATGTGTATAACTTTGTGAACGATAAGTGTGAGGGTTTTTTGAATGTGATTCAGGTGTTTTTAAAAGTGGTTATGTGCAACTATTTCATCTCCCATCATCAATTTGGACTAAAACATGATCCTCAGGTTGGTTGTCGTTTGAGGGGATGCTGCTCTTCTACACCGACTTCATGGGGGAGGTTGTGTTCGGTGGAGACCCAAAGGCTCACCACGATTCAGAGGAGTACAAGCGCTACAACTCTGGCGTCACAATGGGCTGCTGGGGGATGTGCATCTATGCATTCAGTGCTGCTTTTTATTCAGGTTGGGGAAAGTGAGAGTGATTCTGTACAACTTGACCATGCACAAAGAAGACTAGTGTGTATTAGCATCTCTTTCTCTTGCAGCCATTCTGGAGAAGCTGGAGGAGCGCTTCTCATTGCGTTCGCTGTATTTTTTCGCCTATCTGGCCTTTGGTTTGGGCACAGGACTGGCCACGCTCTCCACAAACCTGTACGTGCTGCTGTCTCTCTGCGTCACCTACGGAGTGCTCTTCTCTTCTCTCTGTACGCTGCCTTACTCTCTGCTCTGTGAATATTACCAGAGCCCGCAGGTGAGAGGAAGATCATCTGCGACACAGAAACACACTTTAATTAGATGTTTTAAAAACCACACAAAGGGCTGGGGCCAGTTGCATAAACATAGTTAAAACTGTGTCTTAAGAACTAGTCTGACCAACTAGAAATTAGTTCGGGCTAATCAGTTTCAAATTAGACCAATCTACCTTTTTATGTGTCTGATTTAAAAAAAAGTTAGGTGACACTTTATTTTAAGGGGATGTAGTTATACGTTACTACATGCACTTACTATAGTAATAACAGTCAATTATTCATAATTACAAGTAACTAACACTAAACCAAACCCTGACTCTAACAGTAACTCTATAGCATAGGTTCTCAAAGTGCGGCCCGCGGGCCAATGGCGGCCCGCCGAAACATTTCTGGCGGCCCGCGATAACATCTGTAAAACTGTTAAAACTATTGCTTTGAAAAAATGAATATCTCAGTTTAGTGGTGTTTAGCGGCATCTATAGGCATAAGCGGTAATTACATGGTCCGACCGACCGATCGCACTTGACCTCACTCCCAAGGCCACCAGGAACAGTGGTTGTCTACACAGGAATAGGAATCGTGGCCAACCGAAACCAGCACCACAAATCCCATTGCAATTTAAAAGGGTATGTTGACCAAGTAATCAATATTCAATGTGATTTAATAATAATCTTAACAATGTCAAGCTTATTAATGGCCGCGTTTCCATTACCTTTCAAAATGTTCGCGGGCGCGAACACTTGCATTTTCCTATTAACAGTGGAAACAACTTAAACTAGTCTATCATTTCTGGTCATACAGAAAATAATAATGCATTATTCGCAAATACTTTTATTTGTGTAAACTCATAACAAGAAAACGTGCTTTTGTAAAATAAAATAAAACAATCAGTAGCCTAGGCTACTACGCGCTTTCATGATCTCCGTGAACTGGAGCGCGAGAACTGAAACAAAATATAGCCTATGTAGGCTAAAGCTTAAAATGTGCACTTTTAAACAAACAAACTCGAATCGAAAGCAAATACCTGATTATGTAATCCGTATGAAAGGTGGATTTCTCTCTAAAAGCGCATCTGCTTAACAGTGGAGATGGAGATATGTTTTTAGCCGACACTTAGAAAACAATAGTTTATTAATAAACAATTAAAATGCCTCGCTGTTTTTTCAGACACATTTATTATCATTAGCCTATAACTCACCTATAAATCAGGCTAGATCAGACACGTACAGGCTATATGGCTCTTCTCATTCATCACTGCGGGAAAAATATAAATTCCAGGTTCTAATTTGGCCTTAGAAAACCAGTAAAATCGACATGTTTTCCATATTAATTTGTGAATATTTAAAATGTTTAATAAAGGGGCAAAAAGTAATTTAAACAAAAATCTGAAAAAGTCTGTCGATATTTACTTTTTTTGCGCAGCAGTTGGTGTAGCCAGTTCAAATTAAAAAATTTTTCAACTTTGCGTTTTAAAAAGACAACAACCGTTCATTTTTCGTTTTTCAGTTACGGGTTAAAAAAGATAGATAATAATATGCAAATCTGCAATAATGGAAACGCGACTGACAAGCAATGATAGAAATGAATGATGATGATGACTTGTTTGGTAAGCTTCTATTTTAAAAGTTTCTTTCTCTCCCCCCCAAAAGTTTTGCCAGGTTTAGCCTCAGTTATGAATTAAAATGTGTTTATTGCAACTAATGTAAACTGTAGAGATGCAACCTGGTCATTAAAATAATTTCAAATGGGATTTTCTTTTCAGTTTTTTTTTCTTCGTTTTCTCCCCCGCCACTTAGTTCAATGTTGGGTTCCTAAATTGGCCCTCACCTATCAAAACTTTGAGAACCCCTGCTCTATAGTAAGTACATGTAGTTAATTAATATTACTCAGTTTGGTTACACTTTATTTTAAGGTGTCATTGTTACAGTGTAATTATATATTTAAGTACTGAGTAATATTAATTAACTACTTGTACTTACTATAGGGTTAGGGTTTGGTTGAGGGTTAGTTGCATGTAATTATGCATAATTTACTGTTATTACTATGGTAAGTACATGTAAAATATGTTACCCTCAGTTCTTATTAGAGTAAGGACGGTGTAACTACGTCACCTTAAAATAAAGTGTAACCAAAAGTCGAAGAACCAGTCTTGAAGAACAAATGATGACTAAATTGTAAGACTAGTCTAAGAAGTTTATGCAACCGGCTCCTGGTTTCACAGACTGGTCTTAGACTAAGCCAGGATTAGATTTTAGTTCAATTAGGACATTAAGTAGCTTTTATAAACATGCCTTAAAAAAAAACATTACTGGTGTGCATCATGAGACAGAACAATGGCCTTGTTGCCTTCAGTTAAAACAGCTCGAACATGCATTTAAAGGGATACTCCACTTTTTTTGGAAATAGGCTCATTTTACAACTCCCCCAGAGTTAAACTGTTGAGTTTTACCGTTTTTGAATCCATTCAGCCGATCTCCGGTTCTGGCGGTACCACTTTTAGCATAGCTTAGCATACATCATTGAAGTGGACAAGACCATAAGCATTTCTAAAGAAAAATGACCAAAGAGTTTCGATATTTTTCCTATTTAAAACTTGACTCTTCTGTAGTTACATCGTGCACTAAGACCGACGGAAAATGTAAAGTTGTGATTTTCTAGGCTGATATGGCTAGGAACTATACTCTCATTCCTGCGTAATAATCAAGAAACTTTAGTGCCGTACCATGAGTGCAGCAGGCGCAATGATATGACGCAGCGCCTGAAAATAGTTCCGTTGTGTTGACGGAAGGTAGCCTATTTTCAGGCGCTGCGTCATATCATTACGCCTGCTGCTCTCATGGTACGGCAGTAAAGTTTCTTGATTATTACGCAGGAATGAGAGTTGTAACATTATGCATGTTCACATGACACTAGTGACAAAATTATAGTAAAATTATACTATAGTGAACAGTAACTTTTAGACAATACGCACAAGGATACCAAATAGCGATATAATATGGAAAATATGGATATAACTCAACTATTTGCAATAATATTTTGGGAACATATGAAATTAAAAATGTTATACATCTTTACCGCTCAAACAGCACACATAAGAAATACCGTAAGTGCCTTATCAGTATAAACATTAAAATACACACTATTTCAAAAGTATAGCATGAAGATGACGCATTATTTGTGTTAACATGAGAGTAGTGACCAAATTGCTTACTGACCTTGTTTGTGCAAAACGATTTCTTTCACGACTATAGTGAACATGTAACTTTTACGCACAAGGATTCTAAATACTAGGGATATAACATAACTATATGTAATAATATGTTTGCAACACATAAAACGAAGATTATTACAGCTCCTGGAAGAATTATTGTAAGTGCTTTAACACACATTTCTGCTTTTAAACCCTCTGTAATCTTTTGGCCCATAGACTCCATTGTAAGTACAATACAGAACATGCATTTTTTCTTTGTTTTCACTAATTTCACCAATTCAATGCCTTGAATTGATCTCCTCAAAGTTGCAGTACTAAATGTTTTCATCTGTTTGAGTGCAGCAGAGTGTGACTTCGGTTGTGATCGATCTCAGTCACGAATGTCCACATGTTCTCGCAGTTCTGCGGCTCATCCGAGGACGGGACCAGGCGGGGTATGGGGGTGGACATCTCCCTGCTCAGCTGCCAGTACTTCCTGGCTCAAATCCTGGTTTCCGTGGCGATGGGCCCTCTGACATCACTGGTGGGCGGGGCCCAGGGCGTGATGTACTTTTCGAGTCTGATGTCATTTGTGGGGTGCCTGTACTCCTCACTGTGTGTGGTGTACCATCTGCCAGCACCCGAGGGTGAGCCTCCCCAGAGTGAGACGCAGCCACTACTGGTGCACATTTAGATCTGCTCTCTCACACCGGGTCCAAAATTAACACTCCATCAGCACCACACGAGTTACCAGCTGTCTTGATTTGCAACATAACGTAAATCATGATGTAAGAACGCTCTTTGGTATCCAAGAATCAAAGCAAAGAAATTACAGCAGTCCTCTAAATAAAAGATCAAGGACTGTTGTGCATCTTCAATTGACTTTAGGGTAAAAGTGGAAAACGTACCATCAGATGTTTATAGGAAGCCAAAGGGGTTTTTTTATTGACAGTGCACTATAGACAAACCTACAAATTTCACCAAAACAAACAGAACCATGGTGGTTTTGTAACAATTTTCATATATGACACAAATATGTAAGGGATAATCTTTTTTTTTTCACAATTACAAAAAATATACATACATTAGGGTCCTTAAGTCTGGGACCACATTAAAGTTGTTGTTTTTTCACACATACAAATAAAGAGAAAGTTTTAGGATTTATATATATATAGTTAAAAAATAAATAAATAATATGTAGAATACGTATTATTGAATATTTCTAATTTCTAGGTGTAAATAAATGAGGTAATTTTATTATAGTAAATTATGCCATTTTCAAATCATTCTGAAAAAACATGATCATCTGGTTTTGTTTCAAATCAAATGGAAGCCCATTACCGCCACATAAGAAAGTAAAGACATGCTTTGGTAAATCATAGTTATGAGATGAAAAATTTAAATGATTACATAAAAAGTCAAAATTATGAGACAATTTCTACATAAAACAGTCGAAATTATGTGATGAAAAGTCAAAATTATGACTTTAAAAGTCGAAATTAGGAAATGAAAAGTCAAAAATGACATACTAAATGAAAATTATGACTTAAAAAGTCATTATTAAGATTTAAAAAATTACAAAATTGACAGTCGAAATTGTGACATTATGATTAAGTCGAAATTATGATTTAAAGTTGAAATTGTGACAAAAAGTAAAAATTATGACAAAAAGTTTAAAAAAATTATACCGAGTCGAAATTATGACTTGAAAAAAACCCCGAAATGATAACCTGTCACAATTTTGACCTTTTAAGTCATCATTTCGATTTAATATGTCAAAATTTCGACTTTAGATCTCATTATTATGATTTACCAAAGCAAGATTTTTTTTCTTATGTGGCGTAAATAGGCTTCCATAAAATAATCTAAAGTGCTGCTGTCATGCAAATAGACAAACCAAAGTTTACTGAGAGAAACATTTCAAAGAAATATCACTCAAATGTAGCTAATTGTTTTAAACTAGAAAAGAATGTAAAAAATAATACAGCCTTTTGGACCCACTGTTGTGTATACATTGTGCAAAAGTGGTCAACAGCCGTTGGCAAACATGGTAAAAAGTTAATTTTGGACCCCGTCGACACAAACGAACAGCTCAGACTCTGCGCTTGCTTCAGACACCCCTTCCTCACCTCACGAACGCAGTGCTGGAGATGTGAGAGAGGGAAAAAGAGCGTTTTTGACTATGCATCTCACTCAGATCTCTTAACGCAAGCATGCTGCGACAGTGACTGCATGACGGCGCGCTTGAGTAGTGTGTGTATGAGAGACAGTGTGTTTGTGAACATGTGATGCCTTGTTCTTGTACATGTCAATGTTTTTTTTTTACTGTCGATTCCTCAAAAAAGAGGAAGCCAAAACTGTTTATAGCTCTCTTTATATTGTTTTTGGTCAGCTAATTGTTAAAGCTCATTGCTTTTAATAAAAGTAAACCCCTCTCACATGTCCAAAGCAAATGTATCCTGTCCACATGAACTTTGAAGATGTCACCTGTCGGTTTGTTTGCATGTAAAGCCGCATTGATGCCTTACTGTAGGCCTCTGTTTCAAACTGTACGACAGTAAAACAGAGAATGTGTGTGTGTGTGTCTATTGGTTCTTCGGTTTGCTTATACTGTTTTAAAGTGATTAGGCTCATCATCTGAATACTGGCTACCTACTACACGCATCCTTGAGTAGCAATATTCCTTTCGCATGTTTGCCATGCTGTAACATGGCTCGTAGCTTGACACTGGTGGACGCTCCAATGACATATTTATAAGAAAAACATAAATGACGTATTTATGGTTCCCACTACTGAGCCATGTCATGGAACGCACGCTCTCATGCCTGCTTTCCTGTGGTCTGGCGTGATCGTTGTAATGACCGTCGTTCTTGTCATTATCAGGCAGAGCGGACGTTGAGGCTGAGGCGTGAGTGATCGGAAACAGGCCCTGTGCGGAAGAACAAGACAAATGTATTGTTTGGTGACTACAACAAATCTGGACAACAAATCCGGACTCTCCACCTCAGAAATGTGCGCCTGTATTGCCAAGCATCTTTTTATGTTTTGTCTGTTTTGCTTTGCAATACATGCGACACGTCATACTTTTTAAAAAACTCATGTTCACCAGGTAGCAAGCCAATCAAGAAGCGACGAATAAAGAACTGAACGAGACGAAATTCATCACTTTTTTGCCTAATCTACACAAGCATGTACAGATATGGCTTTGGAAATGATGTAAATAAGTGGCACTGTACAGGTAAATGCTCTGAGAATTAAACAGCTGTCACAGGAGGAAGGTTTTGTGCTGCAGATGTCGTTCTGATTGACTGGTGGTTTCTGGTAAAAAACATGTTTAAGACTTTAACCAGCAGGGGGCGCAGTGGGACCAAACCGGCTCTAACCAAAGAAAATCCTAAGATACTTTTAGATTTTAGCAAGAGTGCATCTCACCAGCGGTTAAGAGTCAATCCTCTTTCAAATACTCGGTGCATGTTCAATCTCGTTTTAAACGGCTCGTGAATTGGTTTGCAACCCTCAGAGCAAAGCTAATAAAGACCCAAGAGGCACTTGTTTTTAAAAAGACAAGACTTGTTTTTTTTTTATTTATAATCCTGAACCAAACTATACAAAGCAGTGGTCAAAAAGCAACCAAAACACAATAATAAAAAAAAAGGTTTCGCTTGAAGGACTGAAAGAACACCAGTACCAGCATACAGTTCTGTTATAGATTGTTTTCATTCTGCACTTCCCATATAAAACACAATGATAAAACAAAACCCCCCAAAACTGTACATAAGGATAGAAAGATATAATCCTTTTAAATGCATATGGAACAAAAGACCTTCAAGATTTAAAAAGGGGTTAATTAACATGTTAGAGGCCGTTCAGAAAAGGGGGCGGACGGGCGATGCGTTGACTAAGGAAACCCTCATTCATATGAGCCATCTGTTATGTTAACTGATCTGCTAAAGCGAGGGATTAACTTCTAGCAGCACAACCAGGTTAAACATTGTCTATTAGCCCCTGCTTAAAACTCATCTTTGGTCTTTAGTGGATCAGAAAAATGTCACCCATGAAAATGACGAGAACCTCAGGCTTTCAGTTGCTTGCGTGTACATCCGCTGGTCAAATAACAGAGTAGAATGTGTGCTTGTTAAACGTGTGCTAAAATAAACTGTCCATCGTTTCTTTTAATACAGGTTTCTAATGTTGGTCCTACACCAATAAATAAGGTCTTACAAAAGGGGACAGGGTCATGATGATGTTATGGGCCTCAGTGCAATAAAAAAAAAAGGTCTTGTAGCGGCAAAGGAATGTCTGTGAAATATACAGAAAAGCACAAACTCTACTAGGTCGAACTGACCATACAGACAGAGCTACTGAAGGGCAGCGAGAACTTTAAGCTTTGACTTCAGCCTCTGTGGAGTCGCCGTTCTCCTCTGTCTTCTGTTTCTTTGTTTCCACTGCCTCCTGGAAAAAGCAGAAAAGCTAAGATTAGACGTGCTGGAAACATGAGGGTTTGTGTCCATGTGTGGATTGAAACTCAAACCCACCTCCTCTTCTGCTGGACGTTTCACGGGATGTTCATCTGCCTCTTTCTCAGCACCGTTCTCTTCCTCCTCCTCCTCTGCCTCTCCTGCTGTTAACAACCAAAAAGTGTGTCATTAATCAGTTTTTGCACTAGTAAATTCAGTAATGGTGAAAAAATGCACAGTTTACAAGTCAAACTCACCCTCCTCATCATCCCCACCCTCTTCGTCCTCATGGGTTTCCTCTTCTTTATGTGAAGCACCATTAGTAGTCTAAAGAGAGAAAACACCGTGAGTGAAACCGATACCAAGTTTGTTATGTCACCAGATGACTTGGGGATTTATGAACAAAGTCAACGATTAAGTATCATTACGATAATTTCCAAAGTTTGTGGGAAGGTCAGTTAAGTAAATAACCAGCCTCAAAGCTGTTTTCTCATGAGATGCATCTGTGTCAGTTCTCGAACCCTAAACAAAGAGCAGCATGATGAACGAGGGGGAGGGGGGCCCTTCAACACCTGCGCGGCGAGCGGGTACTAGGGGACAAAAGCCACAAGGCCTGCTGGGAAATACTCAACGCTTACTGTTCCATTTCCATTGGCAGGTGCGTCTTCGCTGCCGTTTTCCTTTGCGGCCTCCGCCGCCTCTTCAACCACCTCCTTCTTTTCTTTCAGGTCCTGAAATAAAGCAGAAGTTTATCGGTTAATACATAAACCACCTCAGACTACATAAACAATGCAGCGTGTGCTTATTTCACAATGATAGCATTCGTGTTTTTCATGGTAGTAAAGGGGAAAGTTTGTTTCCGTGAGTTACTTCCCCACCCACACACACAGATGAGGCACAGACCACACACACCAGCTGGATGCCTGCCTGTTAAAATACATTAAATGGCAAACCAACAGGTTTGGCTTTAAATACACTTTTAGAAACTATGCCATCATTTTTTATGATTTACCTTTAATTTATTTTCATTTAGCACAGTTAGTAACTGAAACTCAACGTGAACTACTGAAAGTGGGAAAAATAAAATATTTTTTTTCCCCCTGTAACGTTGTCTGTGTTCTTTCTCTGAAAACAACACCACAATAGATCTATTATATAAAGACAATCAGTTTAAGTTCATGCCTTCTTGAATTAAATCTATTGTTTGGACACACATGTCGAGGTCACTTGAGGTTATTTCGCGCCGTCTTGCCCCATTGCCCCCTTTATTCCCCGGCAGTGGTCGTGCACGCGCATGCGCGCACACGCGCCGAGCTGGAAACAAAAGGAGGCAGAGCGCGCGCCAAGACAACGTGCTCGAGAGACTGGGGGCGGGAGGCGCGCGCGAGCGTTTTATAGCACGCGGCGGCGATATTCCCGCCTATTCGCGCGGCATAGATCAAGAGCCTTGACTTTGCACACACACACACAAAATTTTCAAAGAATGAAAAAAAAAATCTGGCAGATGGTTCACCAATTCACCCCCACACCCCCCGAAACCCCATACTTAACGTTAATTGGATATGATTACATATGGGAATATATGTCGAAATTTTCCCTCATAGAGGTTTGCCATATGTTGTACGACTTACTCTTGAATTAAACGTTCGTAGTGGTTCTTCTTTTAACCGTTAATTTAAACACGACTCCGCGCGCAACACGAATAACAGAAAATATGATGCTGGCGTTCGTATTATACTATTTTAACATTTTCTCATTGAATAGAACATTTGCCGCTGATAAAACCCCTAGGTTTTGAACCTTTTTCTCGGTTTTAATTTTCAGACAAACCCACTTTACTCAAATATATCGTTATAAAGGTTACTTACCTTTGCGGTGACCTCCGTGGTGGTGGTCGTGTCAACAGCGGTATCAGCCATGGTGGTTTAAAGAGATGTTTTAAAGAAAAATGTCCGAAAAAGCGTTAGAAGTGGTGGGATGAGGTAGGAGACGGTCGGACGTGAGGAGGAAGAGTGAATCAAAACTGCCAGAACCTGAGAACTGAAAGGCGAGTCGAGCGCAGCGGCAACATCACTGACATCTGATTGGACAGAAGCGTAGCAACGTAAATCCTTTCTTCGATTTGATTGGAGAAGCCACTGTCAATTGTTTCATAAAGTCCCGCCCCTTCGTTCGTACTACTTGTAATGCGCCCGTCTTGTCTTATTGGTGGAATATTTAATTTTACCCTTTACTCGGTCTTTTAAAAATACTGTTTTAAGTGTAAAAATGGACTTTTTATTATTATTGTAATGTATCAAACAATAAACAGATAGAAAAGACAGAACAGATAGAACCTACAGGAATGAAATTACATCAAATCTCCTTGTAAAGGTTCACAAATAAAATAAGAGAGACAAAAAAGGTAAAATTATAAACACATACAGAGGAAACCATTATGCACCAGTGGCATTACCAAAAAAATTATCATAATACTTCAAGAATCTGTCACTTTTTTTTTTTTTTTTTTTTTTGATCAGCCTAGATATAAGGAATGCGTCAATTTCAATTAAGAAATGTAAAAAAGTATACTCTAAACAGGCTGCATTAGCATTTAAATAAATAAAAATCCCCCCCCCCCCCCCCCCCCCCAAAAACAATAATGTAATTCATTGGAGTATTAGTTGTACATTTATAGTAACAGATTATATCTTTTACCTGAAACTGAAAGGATGAGTGTCAAAAGAGGTCAGGATCAATTCAAGCTATTCTGGTGACGTCAATATATATTTCTGGCACCATCGTTGTTTTGGTTCCTTATTTTAGGGGCTCATTCTCTATAAAAATTAGTGCAAATAGTTAATGCAGTTAGTAAACTTAAAAAAAGTTTATCAAAAATATAGGCCTAATAAATTTGTAACCTTTTTCATCTGTGTATTTTTAAGTTATATTTTGTGTTGGTCTGTCATTATTTCCCATACTCTTTGCAAACTGCACAAATCTTTTTCTATATTCCTTGACCTTTCTTTCGACGTCATCTCTTGATAGTTGTTTTGTGTGGTTGGAACCTGCCTTCAAGCTTGCATAGATGAATTCAAGCTTCTTTGGGGGCTTTGTTTACAGCCACAGTTTCATTAGCATGTTGTATTCAGAGGCCATTGTGTCCCAGATGGAGACGCACCAGGCAGCTGTTTCATTCATAATGAGAAGTCACACTAAGATGCTAACATGACTATTCCACACCATCAAACATCTCAGCACACAGATAACCAACTGATTTATTGCTTAACAGATAAGCCACACAGTCATCTTGCTTCTCCGTTACAGGAAAAGTACCTGTTGCACAAGGAACAGTTTTCGGTTGTGGTTAACAATGTTCCCCTTTCAAGGGGTCAAACGAGTCAAACCCTGCCTCACATCTGCAATTCCTCAAAAGGAGTAAGTATACTGAACTAGAAATCATATTTTTCTCTTTCTTCAGACAATTTAAGTTGAAAATGTCCATATAGGCAGGGTTTTCTTTTGAACACAGAGATAAAGACCCCCTCCCCATTTGAATCTCATCAGATCTGCCGTACCATAACAAAGCCCACTTGGTGGTCACAGATGGTGTGGGCCTATGGTGTGCTGTGTGAGGGGTCAGCAGTCTTTGTTTTATCAGATGGAGTATTATGCTCTAGACCACTGATTTAAACCTCAGCTTTGGCTCCAATGTAAATGAGAAGCTGAAAACAGTCATTTAATT